AATTCATCAATTATGTTAAAGCACAAAAATCACCTCGACCCCATCGTCGTTTATAATAATCCAAGTATTGTTTTCATTTTCAAAATTCATTACACGTCTCAAAAAATTCTCACGACCCCTGTAATATATTAATAATAATACATTGAAGTTCAAACTCGTAAGACTTGATTAATGCATTTTATTTCAACGGGGATGGCACTAGCTATAGACTACAGGAAATAAAAAAAAACAAATGTTGGAACTGCATTTAAGATGTAAATATTACTTGTCCAAGTAAAAATAATAAGGAAAAACTTAACAACAATATGGAAGTCACGTTTAACAATTAGAATTTAATGTGTCATTGATAAGGACTTTAATAATAAGAATCAATAGATTTAATATTCACCGTATCGATGAAAGAAGTAAACTCATCATTACAATGTAATTATCAATAATAAGACGATCATTTGTGCTATCAATTTCGATATATGACTGCAGTAATGGTGCCGCCCATTGAGATACTGGTGAAACTAGACGAAGCATCTGGCACAACAAATATTGCTGATCAGAAGAGGTACATGCTTTCAGAAGAACGGCCACCTAAATTTTAAACTTTCAGAAAATTCCTTGAAAGCTATTTCTCAAAAAACATTCATTTTCTACATGTGAGCTGAATATACTGGTTTTGAATCTGAAGCTAACCAATTCACTGATCCATCCAGAAACGGCAGTAGTGAATCGTGAAGGAAGATCTGGATAACGTAAATAATGGAACAAATCCGAAAGTGCATTACGAAGATTTCGCCTACTTACAGTATCAGCACCATCAGGAAGAACTAAAATTCGAATAAAATCACTGAAATTGTAAGAGAATTTAGAATAAGTTTCAACTAAATGAAAATATCCAAAGATACCTTTTTTTTTCGAAGAATTTTTCTAATAATCCTTATTAAAAATACGTTTAAAGAAAAAGTGAAGGAAACATATTAGGCATTATAAAAATGATTTCTCTTTCATAATATTGCTACTATTCTGGTGGATTTATGGTAGAGAATGATATTACTATGATTTTCTGTGGAATAGAACAAAGATTAATAAACTAACAGCATGGTGGACTATTTACATTGCAACGATGTTCCACCATGAAGGCATTGTTACATTCAACAACATGCCATTGAATTTGTAATGCGAGAGAACGCATCTACAATTTGGTAAAATATGCCTTATTCATATTTAAGTTATAAAAATATTAAGCTACTAATGAGTATCTCAATTTATAAGCATAATGTAGCTAAACTGTCAATAAAGGAATTAAACGAGATTGTTTAATATTTAGCACAAACGTCTGCTTTAAAAAAAAAAGAAAGGATTTACGTAAATTTCAGATATATACGTAAAATATATATATATATATATATAAAAATACGTAAAATTTCACACTGAAATTTTTTCCAGTTCATATTAATTAATGCAGTACTTTGTAAAACAAAAGGAGTTACTGACTATTTAAGGTCGCAAATAATAAACAGTAAGTTGAAGAGACTGCAGAAATACAGTACTTTAGATACCTGAATTTGTAAACTTAATGACGAATCAAGACGAGAAGTTACATCATGCTTCAATAAATGAGACAATTCCGTGGCTTTTTCGGGATGAAATGTCGCAACTAAATAAGTTGCGCTACCTGTTGCATATTTCTGCTCTCCACATCGCCCCTGAAATGAATTTAAAAATAAGTTTCCAACAGATAAATAAAGAGTGATCGCTAAATTACTATTTCCAACATGTTCATAAATTCCTTCTATAAAGCTTTTGAAGTAATATCTGAAAATACTAATAGTATCTCAAAGATTCTTGAAATCTGCGTTTCGCTATCCTAAACTAAATTGAATTATGTCGAGTATTAATTCATTGTGTAAAAAAGCTCTTTTAACTCGAAAGCTTCGTTTTTTTGAGATGGAGAATTCAACAACTTTACTCAAACATGGCAAACGCAGTGGAGACATGTTAGAGGAAGCTGGAAATGTTTTATCACCTAAATCCAAAATGTGAAAGTATATTTACTTAAAAGCTCTAAAGGAACATAATTTAAACAATTTTCAACTGTTTTTTTTTTTTTTTTTTAGAGTTTGAGTAGATAAAGTTTGAAGTGAAGATGTCAGTTTCTTGAAATTGTACGTACTTCTTGCTTGATAAGCCGATTTTCAGCTGTCCATGATGCTTGGGTACAATCTTTCACTAGGCGTTCACAATCCATAACGTCAGTTTCTTTAGAATCAATATCCTCACATACTTTTTTATATCGTTTCAAATATTCGTACAAACTATGCTGTGGAAATTCTTCATGCTATAAAAAAACTTATCAAAGGAATAGTATTATTTCATTTCATTTTTTTTTTCTACATAAAACACATTAAAGGTTCAAATCTAGAAAGTTACTGATTCTGTGATAAAAATTTTGCAAAAAGTTGTTAAATGCACATGCAATAAGGAAGTGAATATATACATACACTTATTTTTAAAACAGGACAGGAATTCCACCTACTTCTAAAAATTTATCCACAAACTCTTCAACAGCTTCATATAATTCATTCTGGTAAAATAACAGCAACTGGTTTTCTGTCAGCAATCCGTATTCATTGCATTCTAGGAAAAGAGACGGATACGTATTAGCATTAGCTGTGTGCTCATACGTAATCTCATTCCTTCAAATATAATTGATAATAAAGACTCAGCAAATTAAATCACTGATTTTCATATTTTAGGTTAGGCATAGGTTAGCATCAGTTATCGATCCATGATATTAAGTACATAAGTAATTCACTTCAACTTATTATTTATGGTCAAACTTTTTGCAATTTGATTTTACCAAATTTTTTGTGATTTCTTTATGTTTTATATGAATTTATCGGACGGCTTTACAACTTCGCTAACTTCCTTATTAAATTTCATTTAAACACACTAATCTCCTCATTGCTGTAGCTCAGTAATTCATTCCACACAAAAAGGAAGCAATGAAATAAAAAAGCTTATACTGAATTTCGGATGATTGTTGCATGCCAGTTATGTCGCGTTCTTGCACTCGTTCCGAGTTAGTTAACGTTGACAATTCATCGATAATTTGGGAAGACGCAGACTTTATTTCATTCAATTGCATAATGGGATAGATACTCGGTCTGTAACTAAAGACAATTAACACAGTCAAAATAAAAATTTTTTAAATAACTAAGATTCTGGCATTTAGCAGTATATTTTTTAGCTAATGTATTGCATATAAGACAGCAATCGTATATTTTCTTTCTGTCTGAACCACTTGACATTGTTCAATTACCGATTTAATTATCGTAACTTCATGCAACAATATAATGGTAAATCAGAATTGATCTATTGATCTGCTGTGGTACTAACGCTATGTTTTCCATCGTATCATCTGTTCTTGTTGCATCTTTGCTATTCATAAGTGAAATGGAAGCAAATGCTGTCGGAGCCGTCGAATATATATTATCTATGGAAGAAACATTTTCCACATTCTCTTCCTTTTCCGTTCCCAATGGTGCATCATGATCCGGTTTCTCATCATACCCTGTCCTGAATTCAATAGTTATACGTGCAAAATTATTCACATTTTTCAGTACAGTGTCTTCCATTTGGTGGCATAATTTCACACACAGAGAACCTCTCAAAATCTTCAAATGTCAAAATGAAGTCTAAAATTATTAGGTTAAAATTATAGCGCCAAATTTGAGAAAGTGTACAAAACTTCTTTTTTTTTTTGAATGACAACGAGAAGTGATAAAATATTTCCTACTTAGGAAAAGATTTCCTCCTAACTATATCTTAAATCTTCTGATTTCGGTGCTGATGACACAATAGCATACGCTAAGATGTCGACTGAAGGTTTTCTAATATCGGAAGAAAAACAAACTCAGTTTCGCTAATTTCTTTTGAACCAATGGGTGATATGCATGCTGAAACAGTGTCGCTAGGTTTCACTTCTAATTTTTCAATATTTCTTGCATTTGTAGATGTCTCATCACTTCCTCTCTCTTTTCCAATGACAGATGTTGATGGCTCACGTTCATCAACGTCTGCAAATCCTTTTTCCAATTCATCAAGAGTTAATATAGATGGCGGCGGTGAAAGTTGACGCGGTTTTGAATATTTTTTTTTTGGCCGTTCTAATTCCATTACTTCTCGTACGAAGAAAACTGGAAGTATCGATGTTGAGAATGAAAATATCACAAAATTAATATAATATTAGAAATTTAATTCGAATGAAATATAACATCCCGACTGGTAACTATCACTAAAGTCCACGATTAGATGCGACTATTGGAAATGATGAACAAACAAAGTGTCCTCGCATTTCATCCTATAATAATTCATTCCATAGAAAGATACATATTTCGCTGCCCTTTTTCACGATGAAATATGATGATATGAATTATTCCCACTGTAATGCCGGCTTTATCAGTAGTTTACTGATGCTTAACAACTGTTGTAAAACGTTATAAAAATTTTTAACTTGCTTTATTCCATTAAAAATGTCCATAACAGTTAAGCAATGCTTTAAACGAAAAAATCAACAAAAAAAAAGGCATTTAAACGCCTGAATTAAGTCTCAAAACTTCGAACAGAAGAAGTACCAGAAGCGACGATCATATCGATAAAATAAATGTTAAGCTTCATCAAAATTCAAAAAAAGTATTGGGGTTTTCATTATTCGGTAATTTATCAGTTATCTAATGATCATTACAATAGTCTAACCAACGAGTGCAATTAACTATTATATTTTGCTACAGCAACTTGCTATAGAAAATAAATACAGAACTTTTTGTTCAAAGCTTATACATTAGCAGTGAAAATGGAAATCACGTTTCTGCAAAGGTCTCTACGACGTGATCAAATATGTCAACAAATTTATAGTTTCAAAATGATAAAAAAAGAAAGAAAACTTCAAGAGAGCAATAAAAAAAAAGAAACTTCACGAAAGCAATAAAAAAGGAAAATGTGGAAAATCAAGAATCAACAACAGGATTTCCACCACTTGAACTAGCGCCATCATGTTTCTTTATTCCTGAAACGATGTCATCGATTCGTAGCAACAATACTCCCGTCTCAATCGCTGTCTTCAAAACTTGCAGGCGAACCGAGAGAGGATCCCAAATATTTAATTCGTTCATATCAGCCTGAAAAAGTTCCAGTCACTGAATACTAGAAAGCGCATATAATGAATAATAAACGAAAACTCTTCAAAGATGTAAGAATTTGACTGATCAACCACCTACGAAATTCTAAATTTCTAAGTTTTAAGAGAGTTTGCATAATCCCAGCTAATGTTTCTAAGAGTACACTTGAATAATGATTTCCACTGATGATGAGTAGTGAAATCGTTTACTTAGTGAAGTTCGAAACCCCATATCATATTCTATAGTCCAACATGCTTGAGAACTTTAAAGGAATGGTTTTTTAGACAAAATATAGGGGATATCAACTCACCAACTGACCGGTACACCCATCAATTCCCCAAGTCCAATTGCTAGGAGCCTGAGCATGCTTTGCTCTCAAAGCTGTTAACTGTCTAATTGTCGAACCACCACAATTCTGCACCAGTGTTCTTGGGATAACTTCAAGAGCATGAGCAGCTGCTTTGTATGGCCACTGACGCACGCCCTCAATTGATTTGCCTTTCTCGTTTAAGGCCTATAAAAAACCAGTTCATGTACGTCAAGTACTTCTCTGAAAGATATTTCTGGCAACCTGCAGCATGCAAACGCTGGAAATCGTTGAAAGCTCGAAATCTATGGAATTTAAACAGAAAGAAACTATTTCGCCAAATGACTACTAAGATTCTCTTTTTACTGAACAGCACAATAATTTAGTCATTTGAAATCAATGAGTCAAATAAACAATATACAGAAATCCGACCTGAGCTAACGCCATTTCTATAGCACCACCACCTGGAACAAGCCGTGGGTTTACCATGATATTACGCACAACATTTAATGCATCTTCAAGATTTCGTCCTATTTCATTGATGATATCCTAAAAATTGAAACAGAAATGAATTAATCATAAATATTAGCTTCGCGTTATGATATATCAGTAACCGAGAATACTGTAGTGAACACTTAGATCACGCATTACAGTAACCCCTAATCATAAGCCAAGCAATTAACATCGATAATTGAGAACGATTTAGCATGGGCTTGTACTAAAACAATAAAAATCAGATGTCCAAGATACACTTAGAGATGAATCAGAAGACGCTTTCTGTTTGGAAAGCAAAACATAAACGTCGATATTTCACAAAACGAGTGATCGTTATCTACCAGTATGGAAATTTTGTAGTGAAAGAAGATCCCGAAGTGAGAGTCTAAACTTGTCGTTTCAAATCGACACATCTTTTGATATTACCTTGCTTGGGCCTCGCAAAACCACGGTTGCAGCAGTAGCTTTTTCTGAAGTAACATAGGTGTAGTACTCATCACCGATTTTCTTGATTTCAAATAAATCAGCATTCGTGCCGACATCTTCTTCGCGAAGATCTTGCGTATCATTAATGATTGTTGCTCCAGTAACACTGCAATGAAGTAATTATTACAAGAAAATATAGATTTCATCTCTTCTCAGGACATATCTTCCGCTAGCCAAGAATCTCATGATCATAATTTTTCCATGTTACTTTTGTCGCTTTTTCTAATTTTTATGGAAAATAACTGCTGAAATTAACAATGTAAACACTTAGGAAATATGACAAGCTCTATCACAAAATATCATACCGAGCCAATCTGTTGTTGTCAGTTTTCTTCAAGCGTCTAATTGCTGTTATACCCGCTTTCAGAAGAAAATGTTGAGCCAAATCGGAAACGCCTTTCTCTGTGAAAACAACATCCGGTTTCACGGCAATTATGTCATCACACATTTTTTTGATTGCATCTTCTTCCTTGAAAGTGTAGTTATTTCAAGTGCAAATTTGACTTTGATGCTTTAAAATGAAACATGTCTCTGCTCTTAACTAGAGATTCTTTAATCTAAATTTTAGTTATTTTATTTCTTTAACATTTCACTAATCAAATAATATATATATATTCGAAACATATGAATGAAATAAGAACATACCTCCTCTAAAACTTTACTAAAATCTTCTTCTTTCATGATTTCTAGTGACATTTGACTTTCACCCTTTTTATATTCAAGGTTGCAGTCAAGAAGTACAACACGTGGCTTTTCTTTCCGACGAAACATTCCCGCATGTGTCACATCTTTATTTAACACTACGCCTTTTATCACTTGCGAATCTTCAATTCGCCCACCCGGTATCTGGAAATGAACAAATATTCATTAACTGATTATTTGCTGATTATATGATTATTCCTACTACCGGATAGCATATGGTTATGGAAATATGATCCCTGTAGAAAGCATTACTGTCAAGAATCAAGAATTTTTCGTACCCAAACAGTAACTAAATATAAATTTTCGCTAATTTCTGACTAGCTATTTCCAACGATATTTTTAGAGAAACAATAACAATATACAATAATCAGCCAAATTAAACATCAATATGAACAGAATAGTCGAACAGAATAAGACTATAACATAAGATTAATAGAAATTTGAGAGTGATCTTATCTGATGCATGAAAATATGCATACCTTTTCAATACGGCAATAACGCTTGATATCAATTTCCTGATGACCATGCTGGACAATTCTAATGGTTCTAACAGCATTCAGAGCTATTTTGACAGCTAAGTCCATCCACTTCGACAACATTTTTGTACCCAAGCATGATTTGATAACAGAGGCGACTTCCGCATCGTTGTTTACGTCAATTTGCTTGCTGAAAAATAACTATATCTGAAAAGCAATTAATGATGAATAGAAACAAGCTTTATTTGAAAAATTCCAAATAATCCGAAGAGTTATGAGGTGAGGAACCCATTTTTAGCAAAGTCTTGTAAAACAACTTCATACCAATCAAACTGTATTAACTAGGAGCAAATTTGAATTTCTATTTCATTCAATGTTTGATAGTATAAGTAACCTGAACTTTTCTTCGGCAAGCACAATCATATCTTCTAGAGCCATTCGATAAGCCTGAATATAAATTTATTCTTTATGCAATCAGAAAATTTTCATTTTCAGTTAATAATGAGCCAGGTTAAAGAAAAACAATCCATGAAACAATGGTTTGGAAACTGGATTAACCTGAATAATAATAGTTGGATGGATGTTCTGATCTAAAAACTGCTGTGCCTGAGACATCACTTCACCAGCTAATATTATAACCGAGGTTGTACCATCACCAGTTTCGTCATCCTGCGTACGAGCTATTTCAATGATTGACTTCGCCGCTGGATGTTTCACGGTAATTTCGCGTAAAATTGCATTACCATCATTAGTAATAACTATGCCTGTAAATGTTTGACATATTAAAAAAAAACCTTTAAAGAGCAAAATGCCTACATCCACATGCCAGATGTTGTCAAATACCAGCTAATGCTTTTTAGTCAGTCGACAACACATAAATGCGTAGAAATTCCGTCTAAGCACTCTTTCGAATTAAAAAAATATATACCTCCCATTGGATCCATTAGCATTTTTAGCATTGCACATGGACCTAAACTTGTGCGAATGACATCAGCAATAGTCTGAAAAACAAAAATCATATTATACATATAAGCTTCTCAGCTCAACTGATACTATTTTGATGAGAGTGGTCGAATAAGAGATATGTCAGTGAACGACAGTACCCCGGCCTTGAGAATGCAATGAAAGAATAGATAATAATACTAAATAATAATTTTCAGGATCGATGATGATAAGAATCAATACCTTAGCAGCAGCAATGTTACCAGCTTGCACCTGATGGCCACTTTCTCTGGTAGTATTCTGACTAAGTACTATGATTGGCGTTGCGCCACCTGCACGTATCATCTCCACTGTATTTCCTGATCACTTTATTTAATATGAGTCAAAGAGCTGAAAAACGTTTATGTAAGACTAACACTTAATTGGGCTAAATTTTTACATGAAAAAAAATGTTGACAGACATACTATGTAAATTTAACTACTCACTCTCTCAAAAATACGATCAAAAATAAGATTTAACAATTAGATAACTTATGCAAAATTTTTTTTGAAACACACAACAGAACTGTTCAGGAAAATCCTAATTAAACTAGCTAACAAGTATGAGAAAATTTAATTCTGTCAGGTAATTTTTAAGCCGATCAAAAATGTTTATTAGTATGGTTTCAGCCAACATCTATACTGCAAAAGGGGACAAAACCTTTTTTACATGGGGAGAACAAAATCAAACAATGGTTTCTGCAAGAACGACTATCTTCAGGTTTTGGTATAACACTGAATAATATATTCAAGGATCATCTATGCACGAAAACTATTAACTATACTGGAAATACAAAGAAGAAAAACAGCGAGGAAACTTTGTGTGCCTTTAACTTATTGAGAAATTTAGATCACTGGAACATGTGCTAATTTGAGAGAGTTTTACTATTGAGACATATCAGTTGGAGAAGTATTTCTATAGAAAACAAAATAGCAAAAAATACTGAGCTGGAATTTAGGTTTCAGAAAATAGTAACGATATTCGAGAATACGATAAGATTGTAAATGAAAATATATTTGGATTATCCCACACAAGTAAATGTACATTTCTGCAAATAAATGAATTCTTTAAAATTTAGATCATATAATGTCATCCAGAGTGATACGATGACATTATATGATCCGTAGCGATTTACCTACTTAATTAACTACTGAAATAATTCGAATTATTTCAGTATTAGGTTTAAACTTATAACTAAAACATTATTTTGTTTGTGTGTCATCGCAAAATTCCAAGCAGAGAAAAGTGCCTAATCGCCTAATCCAATCTATCATCCTATGACCACAAATGTAAGTTAATCCAAGATAATCAGAAAGTACAAAGGAATCAATAACAGACGACAATCCAATAATACAAACACGGTCCTTGGTAATTACCATTGAGACACTATGAACCTTTTTGTTTCAAGACGAAAATCAGGTTATAATTTAGAAAAAAATAAGGACGGGAATGAGAGATCATAGGAAAAGGAAGGTAGGAAAAGGTGGGGACAACTTTTCGAAGGGAATATTTTTAATAAACATGACCTATAACTTTTACTTTACTCTAAGGTTACTTTGAGATAAAGACTATAAGTATTATTTTAAACGTCCCTTCAAATATTATAGAATAATTTAAATCCATTATAAGTATACAATAATTTCCTCTTTTTCCTTTATTTCTCTTTTTTTTTATCTAACTTTAATATCAATACAGCAAACAATTTATTTGTTCGGCTATTTGAGCTTCTTCAGACTAATTCATATTTTATAAATTTCATTGTTATTCTCATTACAGAAATCTTTACACTTTACTGATTACATTTGCTTTCTAGCTTGTTTCTTTTCATTTTATGAAGGTGGCTATAGCTTTCAAATGGATCATTTATAAAATACTTAAAAGTGTTATTAATTCACATCACGAAAACATCAGATATTATTGAAATATCTAAGAATATAATAAGCTGGAATAAAAAAAAAAAAGAAAAAACGTATATTTGATTTGTTCATATATAAGAAAAATGAAAAAGTTCAAACTTGCTGTAGTAGATATGCGCTTTTAAGAATCATAGAAAGCATTTTTTTTAAATAAAATTGAAATTACGTTATTCCAATCATATGATTAATTCATGTTTATTGGATGTTAACTTATTTGTGGATTTGATTATCAATGAACTATCTTCTCTATAAACTCATTCATTACTTCCAAGATGATATTTGATATTACTTGCAAGTGTAGTTTATAGTGCAATTTAATCATAATATGAATATTAATAATTCGTTGAGATGAAAATATAAGTCAGAGCATTGATTCTAAAATTTGAATACATGTAGAAGATGTGAAAATATTACCAAAACATGCTTATAGGTTAAAAAATATTATCATAATTAATGCAATCTGTTCCTATGGATGGTACAGTTTAATTATAATACAAAAATATTATACCTGCAGTTTAATTATAATATGAAAAAAAACATAAGTAAAAGAGAAGGGCAAAAAAATCATGATCAAGGTGCTTTAATTAAATAACAATACTGTTTTAAATTTTTCTTAAGAAAAAAAAAAAACTTTGAATTTATTATTCTTGCTACATTGATGGCATTTTTTGATAAGTTTTTAAATCAGATTTTTTCTTCAACTCCAACTTAAAGAACGAAAAACAAAAATCATTTAATTATTTATTAATGTTACTTCCACTTTATCTTACCTAAATTATTTATAATTCAGGTATAGGAATTGATTATTATTATGATCATCATCATTGCATTATTATTATTATTATTATTATTATTTCATCACTGTCATCATCAATTACATATAGCAATTTTTTTAATTTTAATTACTATGAATCAGAATAAGATTCAAGTGATTAAACGAAGTGTTAAAATTGCAAACTTTTTTCAAAAGAGTTACAACTTCAACTTCATTTAACATTTCGATGACATCAAATTTATCATCGAAAGTGATGCACTTATAGAATTTATCGAAACTCAGATTGTGCTTTCTTTTTAATGAAAACAAATCCGAGTACAATTATCATTGTTAATCTTTGAGACCTAAAATTGCTACTTTTTGCATCACTTTAATGAAATGAAAAATAGAAAAATGATCACCAGCGATAACTGTTATCACATTTATTTTCTTTTTCTTAATGGGAAAGTGTCTTAATTCTGCTTTTCTTAGCTTTTGAAAAAGTAATGACGAATATCTCTTCAATTTATAACTACAAGAGGTACTAATTTAATAATTTCAAGCTTTCATTACTCATTTTAAAACTTTACGTTTAGTTTTTTTTTTTTTTTTTCGCATAATTTATTAATCAAAAATTAATTTAATTTATTTTTTTTTCTCGTAATTTACTGAGCCGAAGTAAGTAATAAATTTGAAATTATGATTATTAATAAAATTAGAAAAGCAAAAATAGCTTTCTTAATAAAGCTGTGTTGCTAACCATATCCAAACTTTGAAATGCTTTTAAATATGGCAAATATGAGATGTGCATTAAAAATATATCCAAGTTGAATTAAAAACAAAGTAATTTAACTGATTGATAATCAATTCAATCACGAAATTATTTGATATAATCAGAAGAAAATTAAATATTTACACATTCTATATTAATGGAATATTGGAACATTTCTTGAATTTAATAAGCAAAATAATTTTGTTATTTTTGACAAATTTTTTTATTACTTTCAAAAAACACCGCACTCATTTTTTAAATTCTCCTAAAGTTTCGAAGACACTAATCAATCCTATTCTTGTTATTATATTTTAAAAGTAAAATTAATTGCTCTGTTCTTCATTATTTTCATTTTCAATTCAGTTATTTGTATTCAAATATTTTACTGCTTTATTATTGTTTTACAATTTAATGGAAGTAAAATTATATTAAAAGTTAAATTACACAAAATTAATTAAAAACAACAAAACTACTGTTTCTTCTAGATTTATATCTAAGATTATTAGCATAACATAACAAATGAAGTAACAAAAACACGAATCGATTCTTCTGCATTTCTTAATGACAAAACATTCTAATTTTATGCTTATTGATTAATTAATTATTGCTGTTAATTAATGTCATCCTCTGTCACATCCTGCATAATCTTCGATAATATCATTATATTAACTATAAAGTTGAATTTATCGTTTAATTAGAGTGGGTTGGACAAGAATAATAATAATAAAGAAATAATATAAATAAAAGTGTATTCATCGGTTTTTTGATGAAGAAAACAACATTTCACATTTAACGAATTACACACCTTTGTCCTTTCATCATAAGTCATTTGACAGAGAATTTTTCTCTTCTTTTTCCCCTCCTTTTCCTCTTCTCTCTTAATTGACTACGGTAAGCAGTTAGTCTTTTATTTTTAATGATTTTTTGATACTATTAGATAATTAATCATTATAAAATGTAACTTTGAAATGTAACTGATAATGATTTAATTGAAATCAGATTTACTTGAAAAATTTTAGAATAACAAAATTATTTTTTGTTACATATTATACTATATATTTTATTTTCAAAAATATCTTGTAAAAAAAATATTTTAGAAACAAGGATTCATTCTCTGGATAAATAATTGCAGTTTTTTTTTTTTTAATAATTTTAAGTTTATATTGAACAACTTAAATTCTTGTTTTTATTCATTCGAATAATTTTCTTTTCTGAATAGAATTAATTTTGATATTTATTAAGCGATATTTATAGCAATTTAGAAAATAAATAATTAAAAAAAAAATAAAACACAACTGTGATTCACTGATAAAATTATTCGATTTATTGCTGAATTTCAAAATCTTTCTTTTAGTTTTTATTTAATCTTCAAATAAGTTTGAAATTATGGTTATTAATAGACTCAAAGAAGTGAAGTTTGAAAAAAAAAAAAAAAATTATAGCTTTCTTGATATCATTATATGGCTAGTTTTACTCATATCTTAACTTTGAAATAAAATGTTCATGAAAACATATCCAAAATGAATTAAAAATAAGGTAATTTAATTGGTTGATAATCAAATCAACCACAAAATTGCTCGCTCAATAGAATGAGAAAGAAATGGAGTACTTATAAATTATATATATTTATGGAGTATTGGAACATTTCTTGGAAAAAAATTTGATAAACAAAATGATTGATAGCTTTCTTGATATCATTATATGACTATCTTTACTCATATGTTAACTTTCAAATAAATACAGTTTATATCAAAATAATATTCAGCCATTTTATTGTTTATTTTCATCTTTTCAAGTTGTTTGCAAAAATCTTTTGCAAAAAAATTTTTGCACACAAAGATATCAAACAAAAGTGTAATTAGAAGAAAAAAAAAATAATCTAAAATTGAAAATTTGAAAATTCTTCGCATAATTTATTTGATATGTATATCTGTTGATTGACAATAATATTAATTCGGCTAAATAAATTCAATAAGTAACATTTTTCAGGAAAAAAAAAAAAAGATGAACAATTTAACAGTGGTAGCAGTATTTATGGTACCATTGCTAATTCTAGGCATGTTTGGTAATTTGAATTTGGTTTATGCTACTTGGAAATTTAAAGAATTACGGAATCGGAATAGTATACTATTAGCAATTATTGCATTTCTCGACTTTGTAATTTTTTTTTCTCGAGAATTTATTTTTTAAAATATTATAAACTGATTTTCAGAATGGACACAGTAGAAAGATAAATATATGATTCTATAATATTTCAATGAAGCACATAAATAATTTATATTTATAAGCACATCTAAATACTGTAGAATTATATCATAGATGAGATGATTGACTATTTCAAGTGATTTGTCTTATCATGAATTAGACCTTATCAAAGCATTTATCATCATTGCATAAATGATAATTTCATCCTTATCTAATCAAAATGTTTTTTGTTTTTTGTAGATAAGCGAAATACACGAATGGAAGAAAGCAATTGAAATATTTCTTAATAAAGCAATCATGAAACGAATCACTTGTTATCACTCACTCTTCTTATATTGCTACTCTTTCAATATGTCATCTGTTGCAATATTATTTCTTGCAATCGATCGTTTTATTGCGGTACGATCACCTCTAAAGTAAGTATTTTTGATAAAAAATTACATCTAAAGTAAGTATTTTTGATAAAAAATTACATCTAAAGTAAGTATTTTTGATAAAAAATTACATCTAAAGTAAGTATTTTTGATAAAAAATTACATCTAAAGTAAGTATTTTTGATAAAAAATTACATCTAAAGTAAATATTCATGATAAAAGAATTACACCTAAAGTAGGTAATCTTGATAAAAAAATTACGTTTAAAGTAAGTATTCTTGATAACAAATTACAAAGTATGTTATCATTCTGCTTGATTATATTATTGATTGTCTAACTATTCAGAAAATGTTAACGTAAACTAACAAAAATGTTGACAGTATGAATGAAAAATATCAGAAATATTAATAGTTTTACAGTTTTTTTTTTCTCAAATCTCTGAAAAAAAATTCTTACATTCTTCAATTTTAAAAATTAACTGAAAAAAATATTCAATGACAAATTCAAAACAATTTTGTATTATTTTAGATATCGAACAGCACGAAGTACACCTTTTATTGCCTTAGCTATTGGCACTGGCTTTACTTATTCAACTCTATTTGTTATTGCTGGTTTTCTCTTTGCCAATGATAATGTATGATATTTACAAAAAAAATTTAAAATTTAAAAATAAAAATGAAATGCCAATGATATAAATTTAATTAATTATTTTCAGCTTGTAGAACCATGCGATCAGACAATGGCTTACTCACCAATACTAATGGAAATTTGGAATTATGGCTCTGTTAGCATAGCTATGGCTGTTTTTATCATTAATGTTATCGATTATTACTTATTACGGAATGTTGGAAAGCAACGTGAAATACGTACGCTTCTCGTTCATAAAATTAGAAAGATGAAAAATTATGATAATATTTGTTGAAACAAAGAAATAAAAATGATAAAATGCTATCCTTACTATTCAATTTGCTATTGCTATTGCTTAGATTCTCAATAACTGTAAGATATTTGTGATAACAAGATCAGCTAGCAATATTCTTTTATCTTTAGCTTATCAATTTCTTATTTGATCTTTCTAAACATTCCAACAGTAAGTCACTACTATAGCATAAAACTGTAAATTTATATAAAAGAATAATTTCTTTTCTAATTGATTAGTGAAATGATGAGAAACAACAAATTGAGTAATAATTTTTCAATTTCACCTCTCTCCCTGTCATCTGTCATCTTTCTCAAGTAATCAAATTTAGCTCTTTTAATTTTGTGATAGCTAAATTTCCCAGCGAAACATTAGATACTTTTCTTATTCAATTTTGAGATACTTTATTTGATTGATACTATTGCTCTCAAACAATTGTTGGAAAATATTTCATTTGTCAAAACTGTCATTTGTCAAAGCTGTCACACTTAAGATCATAGATTAATATTTGAATTAATTTACTGTAAGCAAAAATAAATAATTCTAATAAAAGCTAATTTTAGAAATGAGCGCAAATGAGTAAGATTTTTTTTTTTCTTTCATTTATCTCTGTCAAATTTTGTTAAACTTCTTTTTTGATATAAACTTTTTTTTTTGTTCTTTGATGACTCAACGTAAGTTGAAAGTGACTGTTTCCACGTGATTCAAACGTGTATCATCACTTTATCATAAAAGTCAGCAGAAATAGAATGGAAAAAAGTAGTTAATGAAATGATTTTATGCTAAATGTTTGTAAACGATTGACAATAATTAATGATACCATTTTCTTAGCGCAAAAGAAAGGCGCATTTTGCTCTGTTTTACAAAAGAAAGAAAATACGAATAATTGTGGTAGATAATGATTATTCTATGAATATATCTTCATTTCACTTTTATTATTAAAGTGGAAATGTTTGAAAATACATTAATTTTATACACCTTGATTAAAACTGCGTAAGCAAAGTTTAATTACACTTGCATTTTAACGTAAGTAAGTAAACGTAGCACCTATAACAGTAATTATATCCCGTTGGTTGTACTTTTTTGGTACATTTACTACAGAATCTCAATTAAATTAATCATGTTGAGTTCACTGAATTCAAATGCTAGCAGTAAATTTTGACGTTCTCGAAAGTAATCATCAATTGCAGATGAACGTGACTATGCCGCTTATCAGCGTCAAAATCAATTTACAACTTCAATGCTTATAACAATGGTTGCTAATTGTTTGACCTCACTTCTATCAGCTTTTGCTTTGTTTGTCGTCAATTTACTACCTGTTTCAACAGAAACCACTGTAAGTTGTTTTTCTAAATTTGATAATTCTAAACTATTAAGTTAAAAAAAAAAAAAAAATTGGAAAAATTTCGGTTTACTTTTTTTTCAGTTATTATTTTTAACTAAGTTTTAAACTATTTTTTTTCAGTCAGTTTCTAAAAACAAAACATATTAATTTCTTAAAATATTCTCAGGGAGACATATCATCTTATTTATGTCTTTTACTACTCTTTAACTACGGCAACAATTACTACATATTGTTTTGGCGAAGTCATACTTATCGAACAAAATTTCTCGAGCAACTTCATTTGATCCGTTGTGGTGCAACTGTTGGATTTACAGAAAGGATAGCAACAATTACAAAAAAGCATAAATGGTTTCATCGATGATTTCAAAAATTTCTTAAATTTATATATATATCAGTTATTCTTGAAATTTTTATATAGGATATTTTGATAAGAGTTTACATTAAAATGATAATATCGAATATTTGATAAAAGGTATAATTATTAATAATTATTATAAAGAGTTGTTTTAAGACAATTTCTAAAAGTTATCATTTATTGATCGATTTAAATTCATTAAGATATCATTTAAAGTAAGAGTTCTTTCTAGTTATTGCTATCGATGTAAGGGAAATAGTATCATAAACTATCTGCTAGATGCTAGAAATATGAAATAAGCTTTATCATATTTCATTATTATCAATTAATCAGCTATTAATAGGCTTATCATCAAAATTTTAATAAATCATATACGGTTGTGAATTTCTGATTCATCTAGATATCATCATATTTCTAATATTAATGTGCTTTGAACATTTAAATCAATTTTATAGTTTAAAAGATATAAATTTTTGATTCTGAAGCGAAATATGTAAAAAGGAAAATTGAAAATTTATTATTACCGAACTGATGTTCACAATTAATTTTATTCGTCTAATTTATAAAAAAGTTTTTAAATGATTGATCGATTGATTAATTAGATTGATTGGTTTACTGATGTCAAATTTCAAGTCAAATGATAGATGTGACATTCTTCCAATATTAAAATTTTCTAGCAAATTACTTTAAAAGCCTATTTCATTAACTTTCTAATTTAAACAAAACTGATCTAAAGTGTGCTGTCTTAAAATATATTTGTGAATGATATTTGCATAAATTACAATCATACAATCATATCTTTAAAAGTTTTTATTTAAGAGAGCTCATTCTGACTTTTTTTTTTTTTTTTTTACTGATATAATCATTTAAAAAATTCGATTGCATCAAGATTTAGTATTGGATATTATCAATTAACACTGTTACCACTTAATAATACAATTTTTCACAAAATAAAGTTTTGAAGTAATAATTTTTTGTTATCATTTTTATCACTAAAGCAATCAAAAATAAATGAGTTAAATGAATTTGAAAAAATAATTTAATCAAACTTTGATTAATCAATTAACGTCAAACAAACGCTAAAAGATTTCTTAATCAGTTGTGCTTAACAATCCGTGCACGTAATGTTTTTTTTTTGTTTCACGTTATTCCGTGTACGTTATCCTTTTTGTTCTTTCATTTCACGTTATCTACCATACTAAACGTTTGTTTGTGATAAAAGAATTTAAATTTGAAAAAATTGATAAGGATTATTTTTATTGATAATTGATAATGTTTGTTTTTCAATGATCAAAAAAGTATTTATTTTATATTTTATAATGATAGCATTATTTTATGTAATATTTCTGTTTTAATATTTTCAAAATAATAATTCAAAATGCATACCGAATTATATTTTAAGCGTGAAATATTTGCTTCTCTTTCATTTCTTTCTTTTTTTTTTTTTTTTTTTTAAATTTTAGATTATTTCTTAAAGAATTAAAAAGTAAAGTCATCCATAGCATATTATTAATTTTCTACTTTAATTATCATAATATTTTGCTAAAAAAAAATTATTGATAATGTTAAAATTAAAAATCAAAAAATTTCTGTCTGATTTTTAATCTCTCTGAAGAAATTTTCTAAAAATTTAAAAAAAAAAAAAAAAAAAAAAAACACAAAATCATTTAAATGAACTCATTTTTTTTTTCGTTTTGATTTTATGAACAAATAATTTATAATTAAAATATTTTTATTCATTAAAAGCGAAAACAAAATGTTTATTACATATTTTCGATTTTGAATGGATTGTGAATAATGAAATGCTTATTTATCTTAATGAATTACAATCATAGTTTAGTCTAATTAATCATATTGAGAATCTTTCTGAAATATGTAATACACATTTCAAAATAAGATTACAAAGAGAAGTACCTGTCAAAAGATATCATTCCTTGTCTATTTTCATAGCAACATATCATTAATATTATCATTTCTAATAAATTTAATCATTTCATTTATCAACTTGAAGAGTAGTGAACAAATAACAATAATATTTACTATTTTACATCAATAAACTATGTATTATATTGCAGTTTAAAAAAAAAAAAAAGAGGAATACTGAGAGAAATTCACTCTGTAAAAGACAGAGAGAGAGAGAGGAAGGAAGGAAAAGAAATGAAGAGAAGAGAGAAGTATCATTTGATTGTTTATTATTTGTTTTTAACTTAGAAAAGGCTTCGCTTCACCTTCTTAATTATATGGGATGTTTAATTACTCATAAAATTTTAATTAAATATAAAATTTTCATAGTTATTTTTATATTTAATTATTTTTGATTCAACTATTTATCAAAAGTATGGTAGTAATAAGTTAAGATTTATTAGGTAATAAATGAATATTATTAATTTCATACTATATTCCTTGTTATATAGGAAAATGCTGCCAATAATTATATTCAACTTTATTTTAATGTTTTTATTTTTTTATTATTATTATTTTTAATTATTTTTATTTTTATTAAAAAATTTGTTGATAATAATTTATTTATTAATCCGATAAAACTAAAATTTTATAGTCCTATTAAATTTGTATTTTATTTTGGAATTTTATAATTTTGTATTATTACTTATTATGTATTCATTTAAAAAAATATCGAAAATGAAAATCTTTATCATTATAATTAATATACTCAATTTTCTGTTTTTCTAAAGTTTATCTTCCATTTTAAATTTTAGTACAAACCAATATATTATCAAAGGAACGAAGCAAATGTTATTTTTCTCTATAATTTGTAACACACATTCCACAGTATGACAAACAAATAACAGAAAAACATAACATTTATTTATTTTGAATTTGAGAGATTAAAATTATTTCCAACTATCAGTCTCTATGATAACGAATATGTGATCAAAATCAAATCACAACGACAATTCTGTGTCATTTTTTCTGATAACTTTAATTAAAAGAAACTGATGTATAACTCTTTGAATTAAGCCTTCTACAGAGAAATCAATCTTATTTCAATTTAAACCATCAACTTACTTTTTTTTAAAACAGAAAAAAAAAAAAAGAGTTTTCTTATGTTTCAATTGTTTTTATGTATTTATCAGTTACAATCACATATTAATCATTTTTTTTTTCCTTTTTTTTTCTTAACTAGATTTACTGATTTATTAGCAATAATGATTAATAAATCGGAAATTAATAATAAATTATTTAAATGTAATCAAAGTTATGTCACTTATATTGCTGTCATTTTTAGGATTAAATGTTAACTAAATCTGATTTTTATTTGGTAAATGTCAATATTTTATCAATTTGCTTTTATAATTAAATAAATAAAAATGAACTGAAATAATTACATGAAAATGCTGTCAAAATATTTGCAACAATCTATTTGAATTATTATTCCTTATATAGTGATAAAATCTTGAATTTTTAATTCGAATAATTTTAGCATCGCTCTGTAATTTAAGTATTTATTTATTTTATTTATTAAAATTCAACAAAATTTTTGAAGTAATTAATGTAAATTTGAATTTATCGTAATGAGATACCAATAGACGAGAAAGTTTAAATAGAAAAAAAAGGTAATATAACAGATAAAACAATGTAAAATGATAAGAAAAGAGTAGAAGAGATTTAGGAAGAAGTGATTTTATCCAAATTTAATTAAATTTTATGATTAGTAAATTTTTCCTCTTTTTAAAACTTTTTTTTTTTTTTTTTTTATGTTGTTTATTCTTTTTTTAGCAAAGCAAAAAATTGAAGTTCAACAGAAATTGAAAGGCAATCATTCCAATCAAACTTTCTTCTCTCTTTTCACTGCTATCATAACAGAAAACATGCATTAATCATTAAAAAATTGCCATATGAACGCATAGCAAAGAAATTAAATTTTTAAATTTAAACGAAATTTCATACAACGACAAAAAAGCAAAAGCAATAATATTTGAGCATTCATAATTATAAATTCATTTATTGTTATTATTAAAATTTTGATAGTCAATAATTATTTCACCATTATGATAAAATTTATTATATATAAGAGATCGGGAAGAAAATAAAATTTCTGTATGAGCAATGAAATTTAATGACATTTTTTCTGGATAACTGCAAATAAGAGAAGTTAAACATTTTAACGGTAACGTTTTAAATCTATTGGACAGCTGCATTATTAAAGAATATAATGTAGTTTATTTATGAGTTTATTTGAGTGGAAGAAGAATGATTGCTAAAAATGATGCTGAAAGGAAATGGAAAAATAAAATTTATTGAAAAATTCAGTGTTATATAACTACGATTAGAATTTCGAGCTCATAACTTTATTAAAATAGATTTTATATTAATAAACATTCATCGATCTCTAAATATAGCGACATTAGATATTAATTGATCATTGATCAAAAACATGATATGATGAAAAAATCGATATAAATTAGAATTTGTAAGTTAATCATTAAGACATTTCAATCGGATAATGAGTATAAATTAATTATCTAATTGTCCATTTGTTGTAAAATGCCGTCGTCGTGGATTTTCTTTTTCCACCGTACTTGCTGCCACTTCTATAGCTCGAGTCTTTTCTAAATCAATTTTTGTGTAATTTACATTGGTTGTTAAGCCAACAGATGCTAAATCGTTACGTGTATTGGATTGATTGGCCCTGAAATTATAATATTACTAATCGATAATGCGGAAGTGCTAAATAGTCATATTGTTTATATGATAAGAAAAGTATGATAATGTATTACTGATTTCTTATTTTACTTATAGATAGATGTTATCGATCAAATAATAATTTATCGATTAGCTTCCAATGTAATCGATTGCTGATCGAAATACAAATTAATACCTGAGAGTTGAGGGTGAACCTTCCTCAGTTATTCCTACCGCTACTAATGCATAATCAAGTTGTGGTGGCGTTGTTTCACGATCACTCACTCCTGAATCCTAAAATTATCAGTTATCAGTTGTGTTGTACGTTATGATAATCTCAAAAATAACAATGCTATAAATACCAAAAATTATTTTTTCTTTCTCATTCAGTTAAAAAATTTCTATAAAACTTCAAATTAAATGTTGTAATAATGTTTTAGACAAACAATTTTTAAATATTAATAAAATGATTTGAAAAAAAAAACAAAGAATTCTTTAGACTTTTCAAAATTCAAAATTACATATATATAAAAATGGCATTTTTTTCATAGAAACAAAGTATAATGATAGCTGCTACGCATATTTCTGAAACACATCAATAAATTCAGGAAAAACAAATATCTTTTTAGCTGAGATGAAAAAGCTTAAAAGTTGGCGATTAATTAGATGATTGCAATGTACAGGTACAGGTGCTGTATCATTCTGAGAGATTCTATTTTGTCGTACAATAATTAGCAATTAAGTGGACAAATAGATAGATGACACAGTATCTGTACAAAATAGAAGATTACCTGTCGAGCATTAACATAAGAATTGAGAGATGGTCTATCATAGGAGCATAGAAAGCCACAAGGTGGATAGCGATGTGACAGTCCAGTGACAGGTGTATTGAATCGTTGTGAGCCAAAGTCTGTCATGCCAAGATTTTGTTCTGTTGAACCACTTAAAAGAAGAAATGAAATGAAAGTTGGATAAAAATTAGTCAAACAAATCTATGAATTGAATATTTCTCCACTATCACTATTCGTATAAAGAAGAAGAAAGAAAAAAAAAAAAACGAAAAATACAAAAAATAAAATTTTTTTTTCTTCATTGAAGGAAAAAGTTTACAAAGTGAAATGGCTGCTGGAAGCAAATTCCCTTAGAACCGGTGATACACATTGTGGTGATGAAGTAGCGGAACGACGTTGTGGAAGAACATTGACATAAGAATGATCACAGGTACTCAATTCGGATGGCTGGCGTTGAAGCACATGCTCACTTCTAAAATTATCTTCGATTGTATTCTTGATAAACTGCAAAGAATGTATCGGATACTCTTACCTAATCTTTTATCAGTAAATAAACTTAAAGTAAAATTTTAAGAATGAGATAGATAATGATGTATATTCATATTACAATTATTGTTCAATGATTTTATAGTTTTGATTTTCTAATAATTGCATACTTTTCAACGAATTTAAGTAAAAAAGTAAACAGTAAGTAAGGGCGAATAATCATCGAAGTTTGCTGTTCCTAAAAAAATATACATATATCAAAATATCAAGGATATATATCAGAATAAATCTGAAAAGAAATTTAAGGAAATTTTATGAATTAAAATTTAGAAATATTCATTCTTGAAGTAATTTTGAGTAAGAAACAAAAATAAGTGATAATTTAATTTACACAATGTTTCCCATAAAGGCTGGTCGATTGAAGCATGATCGAGGTGAATGATAAGATGGTGGTGGCAAAGGCCAAACAGCTGTATGTGCTGGTCCAGCAATGCTTCGAGGTCGTTTCGGTATTTGGAAGAGAAGTTGTCGATGATTAAATCGGTTCAGTGGTCGATGATAATTGGTGATACCACATGCTGAGGGTGAACAATCACCAACATTTGCTGTTCCTAAAAAAAAAAAAAAAAAAAAATATATCAAAGTATCAGAGATACATATCAGAGTAAAACTGAAAAAAAATTTAAGGAAATTTTGTGAATTTAAATTTAGAAATATTCATTCTTGAAGTAATTTTGAGAAATTTCATTATTATTGTATTTAAGAAAAATTTTGAAAAATCCATAAATGTTTTAAAATATTTGAAAGTTTCGTTACCTTCACTAGAATATCGTTGTATTGGTTGAATACGTGTACCAGTATAGCTAGAAGGAATATTATGAACACTATGATAGCTTCCCGTAACCGATTGCGCACGAGCTTCACGTATTGCTATACCCATATTTGCATTATCTTGGATGCGAGATTGTACAAGCTAGTAAAATGAACATGGTAATTTCAATTGAAATATAATTCAGAATTAATTCTTAAATATTTGATTTTAATAAATGTACCTGAAAAATTGCTTCTGCTTGATGTGATTGAAACGTATGTAAACCTTCACCGCTACTACATCTGAAATGATAATTTTTAATGCAAATATCCAAATTTCATTTTTTTTTAATTAATACCACATTTTCCGATATATTTGGTGCTTTTTTATCATTTATTGAGCATTGAAACATTCATCTTTTAATATCAAATATAAATGCTACTTTATTTATCAGATATACTTGTATTGAGTGATTTCAATATTATTTGAAATTAAAAATTTCAAATAATATTGTTATTATCTAATAAAAATTTTCAAGTTAACTAAATTCATTAATTTTCATCTTTATTTAAGCTATTGTTAAATTTTTCTTTTATATCTTCTTTCTTTGAGCTAACTAATCGATACTCATAATTGACAATAAAAAGAACTCTTTCCCACTGGTGAATCTCGGAGATAATCATAAACGTGGACTATTAGAAAAGTCAACTATTTATGCAGAATTAAAATTTGTAAATTACAAAATTTGTAAAAAAAAAAGAAGCTCTAATGGAATTTTTGTTCTCTGAATTTATGCATTTTGAGGACAGATTTTGACCATACAAAAAAAAAAAAATCTGTTAGTTCGAAATAGAGTGATTTTAATTTGAATAGAATATCATTTCTATGTTAAACTGCTTCAGATGAGCTTTCGATTTTGAACCATAATTGCCCTTTGAACTTTTACCATTTCCCTAGTTCGTTTTCCTTCTTTCTTTATTATTAAATCGTCAGAGATCAACAGTGAAATGATTTTTGTTGAATAAAATATTAATTATGTAATTTAGACTATAGAGATTAATTTTTTTTTTTTTTAATTCCAGAGGATAAAATCTTTTTGTTAGGAAATTTATGAAAAGCATTGGAAGCAGTTCAGAAATTAAGCAAGAATATAACACAAATTTTCAAGTAATATGCCAGTTTAGATAACCTAGAATACTGTCATTGAAAAAAAAATTTGATTAAATTTGATTTGTTTAAATTTGCTAATTTGATTAAATTTATTTTTACAAAATAACCGAGTAATAGATAAGTACATGAAATTAATTTAATAAAATAAAAGCTTAGATACCTTCGTCCACTTTCAAAAAAGAAAATTCCAGCTGACGTAAAACCATAGCGACGTAAAAAATGTAATGGCCAATTTAACGTTTCGCATCGTGAACGAATAAAAACAATCTCATTTTCGGTCACTTTTAATGTTCCTAAAATAAACAAAAAAAAAAATTTAATGAATTTGTAAGCTAAAGCTAAATAAGAAAAGATAAAAAGCATTTTGGTTCCCATTATTTTTTGATCCGGAAGAAGAAATAATTGACAGGAAATGAAAAATAAGAAGAAAAAAAAAAAAAAAAACTTTTCAAACTTTAAATTTTACGATGCATATAAAATACATCGTGTATGACTCATATGAAGTTCTTTTTTAAAAAAAAAAAAAAAAAAAGTTTCATAAATCATCTAGAGTATATATTAAAAATGAATTGAAAGATTAAATTATTCATTGGAAAAGTTCGTTTTAATTGCTTTAAAAATATTTTTAAGAACAATTTACTACACTGCTGCACAATTAATGAAATTTGATTTATATCTTTTTTGATGTACCATAAAACATTAGTGGCACTTCTTTATTTTTTTTTTTTTCCTATGAATAAACTTTGTCTCTTGAAATAGATTAAAAAAAAAAAAAAAGGAAGAAGAATTTTTCAATTTTTTATCCATCATTATCAATTCTAAATTTTTATTTTTTATCCATCTTTATCAAACCTATGTATTCATTACACACTAGAATATTTTAGTTATCGTTTGATTATAATGAAAATATTTTTGTCATTAGTTAGACAGATATTGAAATGTAAATTTGAAAAGATAGTTTGAGATAATGGCAAAATTTAAAAGTTGAAAAGAGCATAGTGTGAAAGAAAGATATCGAAATTGTTGTAATTGAAGTTGTTTTTCATTTTTGTTTTTTTTTTTTAGAAAAAAAAAAAACATTTTAACGTCATTACCTGGAATAAATTTATTTCTTTTCTTAACGAATACTTGAAAAGCTTCTGGATCATCATTCATAAAAGCTCCTCCAACTCTTGCTTCACCTCCTCGATTTGCTGCATTTTGGAAATTTTTTAAAAATTCTCGTTGACCTGTTTGACTCATACAGTTACCCATTAGCAATGATTTCTAAAAGAAAATATTGGATAAGTTTTTGTTGTATGTAAAAAATTTCACACAAATATTTCAAAAAAAGCAAAAGAAAAAATGAGTAAGCATATTTAAAGTAATGTTTGAAATGTTTCAATTTAAAGACAAAAAAAAAAATTTTGAATGCAGTAATCATTAATTTTTAAATATATCTATCTTTCAACAACATGTAATCATATCATTTAAAGCATAGAAATTTTTTTGAATTAAAAAAAAAATTTTTTTCAAGAATTAAATATTTTATAATATTCATTCAGCATTTATGGAATATTTTCACACTGTAATGTAACCAATTAATTTCAAATGTAAATTGAAAAAATTTTTTGGATAAAAAACAGAGATTTTACAAAGATTAGCCATTTTGTTTTAGTGTAATAAAAGAAGAGCTGTTATCACATCAAAAATATTCAAATCATTTGAATATTACAACATATTCTAAATTCCTAATGTTAGCATCATTTTATATTAAAATTAAAATTTTAGTATCAGACATTTTGAAGTTATCAGCTAACTTATCAATTAATCAATTATTTATTTTTATCCGTTAGATAGTTGCATTATTTATGGTTTTCAAAAAAAAAAAAAGTTAATTATAACAATTTAATTTAATGTAAAAAATAAAAAGAAATATTCGCTTTTTTTCTTTTTTTTTTTTATTTCTAATTTTTACAAATAATTTATAAAAAAAATTCCACTGACCTCAACAATATGTGAAAGTTTGTTTGTTTTTTTTTAACTTCCTGCGTTCAGTTTACGCTATCAATAGAAATGGATGAGAATCACTGAATGCTTCTGATAATGTTAAATTTTGCTAATCATTCATTCTTTAAATCTAACCAATATTTTTTAACCAATCATATCTGAAGTATTTGATCAAATTTTTGCAAAATGTTTAAAAGACAAAAAAAAAAAAAAAACAATTTGAAAAGCGAACATTGTACTATGGTTAGAAAGCGTTAAGCTAAAATCAATCAAAACTATTGCATACAAAAAAAAAAAACAAAAAAAAAAAAAAAAAAAAACATATTTCAAAAAAAAAAATATTTTCATTTAGGTATACTTTTTCTTCTGCTTCAGTTTCATAGTTTCATACTTTCTACACATTAAAGAAGCAAAAGAAAAAATTATTTATATATCAATTATTATAATTCCTTTTTTTATTAGTAACTAATTTAAATGCTAAAATGTTTAAAAATTTAAAAATTCACATGAAATTGTTAGCTAAATTTTCTTCTATTAAATTAATTTTAATTTTAATTCACATGAAACAACAATAATAATGCAATATTATTACTATTATTATGATGCGTACATTTTTATGCTTACATAAATCTCGATTAAATTAATCAAAAAAGATGGTAGGTAGTATGGCCATCGTCGTTGTCGTTATGGCTTCGGAGATATTTGGGATGGAAATTTTGGAGGTTAAAATAGGATGAGAATAAGATGAAGCAACGTTGCTTATCTTTTCTATCTATTACTATCATTATTATCAGTTGTATAACTCATCTATTCATAAACCATATAACATCCGAAATTCACTTCATTGAATTACAAAAAAAAAGAAGAAGAAATTAAATCAATAATTGGTGGGAAATTTTAATCTCGAGAAAAAAGAAAAGAAAAGAATTTCATTAACAATGAGCAATGAATTCTATTATTTAACTGTAGCTAACAAGTAAACAATTAAGTGATAATACAGATAACAGTAAATGATTATTATTATCATCATTATAGTGATCATAATAATAGTAATAGCAGTAGTAGTAGTATTAATAATAGTAATAAAATTGCTGACGAGTGATCGTGATAGCAATAATGATAACGATGATGATGATGATGATTATGGTGATGGTGGCTGATGAAGATGATAATGATGATCGTGATCAGAAATATCGTCATTATTGTCGTTATCATTCATCCAGTTGGTGCGAGCTAAAGTAGCACAGCAGCTGGTTTATCCTCGAAATGTGTTGTAAACTTTTGGCAAGCAAACAGCAACGAAAATCCTCCCATCTTCGCCAATTGCTCAAAGACATAAGCAAGCCGCAAATTTAAACGAACTGAGCGCAAAATGAACCAATTTTATATAGTGTTAGTTTTAAAATTATTAAATTTTAACGCATAAATGAGGAAAATGAGTGATCAGTATACCTTATGCATTCCTATTGCACAAACTAATCAATCATTTAATAATTTAAAATTATCATCATATCATTAATTATATTTGCGATTTGGATTTCGAATCCAATAAGTTATTAATTAGCATTGCTGAACGAATATAGCATATAAATGTTAGAGGAATAGAATGAAATTTAATAGAGTATGATAAAAATAAAAAAGTTTGCAATGTTAAATAATTACAAAATAAACATTTTAAAAATGTGATCGAAATAAATTTTTAAATTGTGATAATGAAAATTTAGAATGAAATGATGAGAAAATGTTTGAAATAAAATTTTAACATTTATTACAATCAATGAAAATTTCAATGTTAATAAATAATTTTATGTTAACAATACAAAAGTTTGATTTTTCGTAGTTTTTTACCTCTCTTCTCTTTTATTCCTTTCCCTCTCTCTCTCTTTCTCCCTCTTCCGATAATTTTAATAACTTGAAGCAATTAACAATATAAAATAAAGGATCTGATAAGATGGAAGTAAACAATTATAAATTACAAGTCAAATCTTTGAATTAGTTACCACTAAATGAATTAATTAAAAACAATTAAATAATTTTCTTAAAAAAAAAAAAAAAAAAAAAAAACCTCTAAGGTATAAAATTCGATAAAAATAAAAAATAAATTTTTTTCATTTGTTTTTCAAAATTTCATTTGTTCACAAAGTTACTTTCCTCTGCTCTAATTGTTCAAAAATTTTTCCATTTCTTGACGACAGTGTTCAGATTGTTATTCTCATTTGTTGCATCTTTTTTTTTTTTTTTGGTCATAATGTAAATGCATGCCGGATCCGGTTTTGTATTAGTTACACGAACAGTATTTACCACTTCTTTCCTGCCTGTTAGGTAAATCGATCAAATCAGGAATATATATATATACCCATGCTTGATCTTTCCTTTCAATGGAGTATTGTCGATAAATGCACTCAGCCATAGTAAATCAGTGGAAATAAAATAGAAACTAATTCATTAAGTATGGCACAAAAATACCCATTATTTACCCATTATCAATTTACCCGGAAAAAAATAAAATGCCATGATGAAATTTGCTTTTGTTTGGAAGTGTCACGAGTGACACACAGATGAATGAACTAACAACTGCACCGATGGGGCAATCAGGAAAACAATCGATAAATACAGAGATGAATAAATGATGGGAATTGTGGGAATTCCCGGGTAGCGGGGGAAGGGGAGGGGTATGATACTGAATGAGGAGAGCTGCAAGATGTGATTTCTGCAAAGTTTGACTTGCCACCAAGTTTGTGCTCCTTTGATTTTCAAGTGTTTGTTTGAAAGTGTGTCATACGGTAGTGTATACGGTGCTAAATAGAACATTCGAGAACATTCGGGAACATTCGGAAAGTGCTGCAACGGGAAGGCTTGCGGTGATGTCATGCGACGACATATTCGCTAGATGTTGGGTGGTTTAACTTGCATTGCTGTGTGTGCTTGTGGGTGACAGAAGGCTGGGAGGACAGTTGGGTTGGTGACACTGGTGTGTTGCTATTGGAGCAATTACATAAATTAGCCAGTTTTCTGTTTTTTGTATTTAACATTTTTTATATTAGTTTTCTAAATTTAATACGAATTTTTTTTCTTCTGTATGTTTTATATTTTGTTAAATTCATATTCAATTTTATGAATATTTTGCACTTTTTCTAATCATTACTATTATTATCGCTCTCAACTTTTTCCAGGTTTTTTTTATGTTTTTTGTTTTTATATGGTGATGGAACATTAGCAGCCGATGATCGTTTGATTTGGCTTATTTTATTCTTTTGAAAGAAATAAAAGCAAATCCTCGAGTTTGCTAAATTCTGATAATTTCTTCTTAATTCTATTGCTATTTTATCCGTACTTCATGTTCGGTTTTCGTTCAGATCCTGTTGATACTGAAATCGGATAAGTTCTGCTTATTGAATAAGTAGTTTCTGGAAGAGATCTGATGAATAAATTCATTTCGTTAAATTTTTTTTTTTTGTTCATTCGTTATTGTAAACTTCTTATTTCTATCATGTTCTCATCATTTGCTGGTTGTTATTTGTTCTCTGTCGTTGATTTCTTTCGTAGACTAAAAGGTCTTCGTAGACTATCTTTTTTTCTTCACGTTAGTCTTATGATTCAAAAAACTGCATAATCACAGCTGTTTCACATAACCACAAAATCTAATTTTTTTCTTTTTTTTGCTTGATCTCGTTTGCATGATTTGGTTTTACGGATATACCGCTTCTTTGTTCTGTTGCTCTCACTTATCACTAGAATGGTAACATATGACTAATTAATGGCTGTTATTGTTGATAGTGATAGCAACATAATGAACCATAATTCGTTTTGTTTACAAGGAATGAATGTGTTATATTTAAGTAAATTATAATGATCGTGTCGTCATCATTATTGAATTCTATTGTGTATATCAAATTTGTAAATGTTATCCTTTTTTCAGATTTCTCCATTACACAAAGCTTACGTAAGCAGTGATAAACTTTGTTACGCAAAACTCATTACGTTTTGATTACATATTTTCTTTCTGCTGAGAAAAATCAAATACATCATGGGCAAGGATTACTACAAAGTATTGGGAATTGCAAAGGGGGCCAGTGATGACGAGATTAAGAAGGCATACCGTAAAATGGCTTTGAAATATCATCCAGACAAAAACAAAGAACCTGGTTCAGAAGCAAAATTTAAGGTTTGTCCCTGCAATTTATTGGGCAAGAGTTCTGCATTACTTGGTATTATCTGGATTTCAGCCCAGTTCTCATGATTTTCAATCTTAGGAAGTAGCAGAAGCATACGATGTATTGTCGGATCCAAAGAAGAAAGAGATATATGATAAATTCGGAGAAGATGGATTAAAAGGAGGAGAGGGAGGATTCGGATGTCCTGGTGGTGTGCATTACGAATTCCAGTAAGTTCTTATTGTCACTGGTTTTCAAAGTAGTTCATTTAATACTGCTGATAAGTTGAGTGCAAATGGTTGAAAAATATGCTGTACATTTTCAGATGCCGTAAACTTAGTAAATAAGCTTAACTTCATTTCTGTTGCTCTTTTGTCCTAAAGTATAAGTTTCAGAGGAGACCCGATGCAAATGTTTGCACAGTTCTTTGGTGGTAGTGATCCATTTTCTACATTCTTTGCTAGTGGATCCACTACTGGTGGTAGTGGACCGCAACTTTTCTTCTCAACTGGTGGCGATGATATGCATTTCGGTAACTGCATTATTTCTTGACTTAGATCTTTGCTAGTTATCATTAAAATGATATTTGGAGCGGAGAGTGATTTACTTCTCTTGACTTTGTATAAATGAAAAATTGCAAGTAAACGATGCTACAGACTTTCCAGGAATGCCTTTTGCTATGGGTGGTCATTCACGGCGCCAGCGTCAAGATCCTGTTGTGCAGCATGAACTATTGGTCTCTCTAGAGGATATTTATAAGGGCTGTACCAAAAAAATGAAAATTACAAGGTAACTGTGATTTGATTTGTTTTTCAGTTTTTGTAATCTCAATTCTGCATAACTTGTATTTCATGAGGTGCTTTCTGGAAAATATTGTTCCTGCTTTTTACAGGAAGGTGTTAGCTCCCGATGGGCAGTCAACAAGGATAGAAGATAAAGTACTGACAATCAATATTAAGCCTGGTTGGAAGAGTGGAACTAAGATCACGTTTCCCAAAGAAGGAGACCAACATCCAGGGCGTGTTCCTGCTGACATAGTGTTTGTTATCAAAGACAAGCATCATCCTAAATTCAAGGTAACTCTCTATTTGGTTTTTCCAAAAGCTTTTGAAAAATAAAACTGTTTCGGTGTAAGATTAGAGACTATTGCTATTATTTGCTGATTACCATTTTTTCAGCGAGAAGGTGCGGATATCCGATATGTACACAAGCTGGCGCTACGCGACGCTCTATGTGGAACGGTTGTTCATGTACCAACTTTGGATGGTACGACATATCCGATGCGTATCAACGACATCATTAGACCAAATACTTCTAGAAGGTTTGTTTTGTCTTTAAGGTAGCACTTTAGTGATTAGGTTACTTCATGAACAGTACTTTTTGAGTTTTCGAGGAATGGTTTTCCTGCTGTGTTCAAGTGGTCAAATAATTCTATCTGTTCATGACCTTATTGGGCATCAGTTGGAGAAAATGCTCCTAGATTTTTTATTCTTGCGACAGCCAGCAAATCAAATTTTATAACTGCCCTTTTAAACGATAACGGATACTCCCATTAATTTATGTTAATGATTTAATCAGATTTTTCCTCTTCCTCAGCGTGTTTATTTTAAGGTTGACAGGGCAAGGCTTACCGAATCCTAAAATGGCTGGACGACGAGGTGATTTAATTGTTGAGTTTGATGTGAAATTTCCAGATTCACTTCCATTAGCATCGAAAGAACTGATAATGAATGCATTGCCAGCGTGATCAGGTCACAATGTTTGGCAGACTTTATTTTTATAAGCTAAAAGCGCTCCGTATTTTTTCTAATCTGTTTTTAATAGGTGTTCATGAATTTAGGTGATCTGCTTACATCTTGATTGTATAAAACTCACAGTATCTTTTTCTGATTGTGTGAAATAAAAGTTTGGGATGCATACTTAGCTAAGATAGCACTTTGGTGTTTAAAACATATGGTCCCGAAGGATTGATTTTTACTTTTTGGTGAATCGTTTTTGTACTTTACTGTGCTCAAGTCATTAAATATGTCACTAGTCTTTGAGAAAATATAGCTATTATGAATTTAGAAGCTGTTTTTGCTTCTCCCTAATGGAAAGGTAAAAGATGTGGTTCGTTAATATTTTCGCGTTATATATATATATATATATGTTTCATCGAAGTTTGTCGGTTACTGGCTATATATTTTCTGATCTGTTTGAAACAACCGTTTTTCGTTAAACCTATTTTGCTTCTAAAATTGTCCGTAATACAATTTGCCTTAATTTTATGCTTTTGAAACTTCTGGAACATTGTGGAGAGTTCTTTATGTTACGCAATGATGAAAATTGTATATACTAATATTTTGTTTAAGCATGTGGGCTTTTGATCCTTCATTTTTCTTTCTTTTTGTGTCTATTAGTTCTAGCTTTGTATTTGTTTTTCCTATAACAGTTCGGAATTTTCCAGTTTCAGTCTTACGGGTGTTGAATGTATTGAATAACATCCTTTTTTTTTTTTTTTTTGGTAGGAAAATTGTTTGAAATAATCTTGAAGGAATGGTTACAGGGATAGGGTCTGGATGAGAGATGTTTGAGAGTAATAAGCAACCCATAAGTTGTTTTGAGATAAAGTAGTCCGCTTCCTCTTGTTTTTGTTTCTGTAATAAATAAGTGAATGGCTGAAATAGTGTTTTTCTGGATAGTGAATGCATAAATTCACTGAACTTTTAAGAAGTGTGTCAAATCATGAGAAGTAAAAATAAATGCTTAAAGTTATAAGGTTTTTGGTGACGAAAGAATGTGATGTTTGAGTCATTGTCATATGGGACAAAACCTCATCCAGACTTTACACAGTTCTATCCTCAGTGTTGTACAGTGTTTTGTTTTTGAAGCAGGTAAACTAGCGTATAACCTACGATGTTTTGCAAAGTTTGAGGCGACTAAAACATTCTCGGATTGGTATGTAAAGGGGTCAGTGATAAGTTTCGTCAGATAGTGAGGTGTTATTATGGTACCCGCATTGAGGATGAACTGGTTGATGAACTATGATATCCCTGTGCGTGTTACTTGGTTGCAAATGTCGCTCCTATAAATCATCTGAGAACAAAATCCCGTGTTATGATACTGCTGTTACAGAGTTGTCGGACATGTTCATTAGAGCTACATATAACAGGAATAGTAACTGATAGGAACCGTGTTGGTGTCCGTTTTATTCTGATTTTCGGACCTCGTAATCTGGACCTATCAAGTCCCAGAAATTGAAATCCACTGCGAAATCATGGGAGGGTTAACCGAGATTATGCTGAATTCGTTGTGAAGTTAATTTTTATAAGCCAGCCGATGCTACGTAGGTTTCAACTTTGCAAGCATTGACACCTCGTTCCATTTTGAAGAAGCCTTGGTCACCCCACCTGAAAATAGTTTTTATGAAGCTATTGTGTTTCACGAAAATGATATTTTATAAAGCAAGTTCCAGAATTAAGGTTAGTTTCAAATACGTCGAAATTGAAAATGAGAAGAGTGTTCAAAGGAATTTTAATAGGTGATTTCTCACTGTACTCACCATTCACCCCAACTGTTTTTAAGTAACCAATATTTCTTGCCATTTTCGGTACCATAACCGATCACTTCAGCTGCATGGTTCGGCTCCATTGTCGAACATTCATCGGTGTCCGGTAGTACTCCAGATTTGTAAAATTTGTACCGTTTCGGAAATGCAAGATCTGTTAGGTAGAAAAAATTGGAAAAGTTGTGTTGAAGAAAGGAATTGAATGCAAATGTCAAAAGTTTACGACTGCTACGCTAGAGCATGAGATATATTTGTTACGATGCTATTCAATTCTGAGGTAAAATGAATAACCACTGGAAATTTTTGTAAAAGAATTTCAAGAAAGGAGGGAAGTCGTTGTCAAACGTATTTATGTAGACGAGATCTCTAATAATATATTTGGAATGTTTTCCGTAATTTGTTACATTTTAAATTCCAAACATAATTAACTGAAAAAGATCAATGACAGGAGATACTTATTAGTTGTTGTGGTCAAGTATAGGTCAATGAAAGCAAAGGGAAATGTTACATATCAATGAAAAATGATTCAGTCTTTCGTTTTTGTTATGCTTAAAAAATATTAGTTGTTGTGATAATATTTGAATTTGAAGAAGTATTATGTCACTATTAGTAATCATCATTTTATCTTCTAACTAATTTATCTTTCTTTTTATTTACACTGTTATTGTGTAACTATTCGAACTATCTTTTGTAAATAATGCGAGAAAATTTTTGATTCAGGAATTCCATCTTTCGCTTATTGATATGCCTTTGGGAAGATTTGATTGGCATTTAAAAAACATATGAATATGAAAAGAATCATAATTAAGATAGATTTAGCATTCAAATCATTCCTCATACAAAAACTTTTATAATTCTTAAAAGAACGAACTCAATGCAATCGGTGCTACATTTGCTACAAACCAAGCCATTGCGTTTGGATCTGGATCGATCTGATATAATTTATTAATAAAAATTTCACCATATGCTGGGCAAAAATAATTGTTACCCAATAGTGTAGGATAATTCATCGTTTGGGTGAAGCCAATATATTTTCCACGTCTGTAGAATAACATTATTCATTGGAAGTCTTGATAATTTTATCAAAATTTTTAAGAGAAATTCAATTATTTCCCTATGAAGTAGTTAGTTTTTCATAATTTTAATATTAACAGCAATTGCATTACGGATAACATTCATTTAATATATTAAAATTTCGCATTTTTTTTTTTTTTTTTTTTAATTTTTGTCCAATTGATTTATAATGGTACAATTACGCTTTGCTAAATAACAATGAACAGAACAGAATGTTTTATCGATAGATTTGGAAGCTTTTGAAAGGACATTAAGATATAAATGTGTAAAATACTTATTGTATTCGAAATATTTATGATTGAATAAGAAAAGAAGTAATATAAAAAATGAATTTCTTTATTATAAAGATAGTTATTTTCGAGTTTAATTTTTCCAATACTAAAAGATAGTTTAAAAAAAAAAAAAAAAAAAAAAAAAAGTAATACTTAAATTAAGATAGGAATAGAATATCTGTTTTTTTTTTTTTTCAAAAATGGCAACTAACGCCAGTGATTTCATGATACTACCACTCCTACAACCATTGTTGTTATAATCACAATCAAGCATTTCATATTCCGATATGGAAATATATTGCTGATATTTAATTGCATACAATGATTCTATCACTGCTGTTACTGCATATGCATAACATGAATTACATTTATATGCTAAAAGTATCAATTATTGCTATTTGTTTAAATTTAAACTAATATGTAGAGAAATCTTAAAAAAAAAAAAACTAATCACTAGTTGAAATTTTCAACATTGGATTATTTCTTCTATTCATTTCTTTTCAAATTTAAAAAAAAAAAAAAAAGTAATTGAAGATAATTAATTAACTAACATTGTTTTTTTACGGCAGTTACACCACCTTTCTCCCTCCAATCCCAATGCGATGGATATGATGAACCATCTGAGACTATATGAATCCAACCAGCACCATGGTAGCGAAAAATATGACGATCCGGTGGTTCACGAAGTGGTCCAGAGAACTGCAAGTTAAACTTATTTTAAAATACTACAGTAATGATTTCTTTTTATTTTATTGTAACTAATGATGTCCCTGTGCAGATGGTGTATTATTGTTGAAAAGAACAGAAAATTTTTGGAAATAAAATTTTTTTTTTCCTTCAAATTAAACTAAATTCGACTTTTCCTGAGAAGTAAGTAAAATATATATTCGACACAACAATAGTTTTCAAAAATCAAAGTTGAAGGAAATTATAAATTCTAAATTAAATTAAAATTTGAAAGAAACAAAAATTGCTTTATGCAAACCGCATCAAGTTCCTCATCAGCCCAATCAGCAAATTTGGTAATTTCATATTTTGCGCTACTATTTTCATAATTTGATTTCTCTATAAGATGCACATTTTCTTGGAAAATTTTTAAGCGTTCCCGATAGCTAATCGTATCATTATCAAAATCTCGAGGATATCTGGAAATTTACAAATTGGAAAAAAGGAAAAGAAAACAACCAAATGTTTCAATTTTTTTTTTTTTTTCTTTTTTTGATGATTAAAATTAAGACGATGTAATGATAAATTAGAGTAGGAAAATAATTAGATTCATAGAATCAAAGATGATATATCTTATTCATGCAAAACTATTACAAAATGATCAATTTTCTTTTTTTTTTAAAAAAAAAAATTCAATTACTTTTTTAAAATTATAACAATAATAATATTACATACTTAATGAGAAATTTGTCGTAAATTTTCTTAATTTGTGAAGAACTATACATTGTCATATTGCAATAAATGAATTGTAATCGTGTAAGCATAGTTGTCAACAATAAAATAGATAGCATTCTGTAAATGAATGACATTCTTTCAAATTATAAAATAATTTAAAAGTAAATAATATAATTTTAAAATTAATATGAGATGTTGGAGAAAAAAATTATCCAAATTCTGAAATATAAATATATGAAACAGTATACGATAGTAATTTTGCTTTTTTTTTTTTTGATTTTAAAAATTAATTTAAGAAACATTGCAAAAATTGTTTGAGGAAGCGAAGAGCAAGAAATTGCTAATAAAAGGCAAATGAATATTTGTCAAAATTTTAAAACAATCATTTAGGGAATAGTACATTTGTAATGTTTTATAAGAAACTGAGTGCTTAAAGATAGATAGAAAAAAAAAAAAGAGAGAGATGATTTCTTTGTTATGAAAGTTATTTGAATTTTATAAATTTTATTTTTCCATCAATTTCATCAAATAAGGATTTGAATGTCAACAATAAATCGATATTCGAAAGATCAAACAACAAGAATCTCTTCTTTTTTTTTTTCTTGCTTATGTGACAAATGAAATTTTCTAAAACTTTAACCAATTGTTTTTGTAGTTCTTTTTTGGGAAACAAGACAAATAATTTCTTCATTGTAAAATGTATTTAGAATTTCGTAAATTTATAAATTTTCAAATTTCAACAAACAGAAAGCACAAAGAGAATTTCATCGTCCCCAAACTAAGATATTTTATTGTAAAGTAAGATTAAATTTATTATAGGATTATAAGTAAGCCTAATATTATTCATTGGAAATTAATTCCTCAAGAAATTAACTCCTTTGTAATCATCCCACAGAATAAATCTAAATGTTTATTTAAAAAATTTAAACAAAATGGAAGAAAAAAAGGAAAGTTGATAGAAGAAAAAAAAAAAAAAAAATCACTGGACAAGTGATCACCTATTCAATGATAAACTGGTCAAGAAATGAAATTGTAGAAAAAAATTTGTACAAATTTTTTTACAAATAAGGAGCACTTGATTATCTGCTGATAACGTAATCTCCATCACTCATTTTAAAATTAAAATTAAAAAATCGTTTAATTCTTTAAGTTGATGGAAATTGAAATAATAAAGAAACAAGTATTCCCTGTTTTCCTTAAAACTAAAGGAAAACATGGATGTGTTAACTTAAGCATTCAAAGAAATGTCACAATGAATTAAAATTATCTCAACTATGATTAATACTTGCAACTCTCTAACTTCTCTATATAGAATGAATTTCTAGAACAATTTCTTGGCTAATTTTAGTTAGCCATTAAATCTAGAATAGCTAGAAATAAAATACTCTAAAGGATCGATCGATCAAAAGTAGCTGTAAATTTTTGAACAAATAAAGTCGATCATTTGAGTTTCATCGAAAAACACTCAACATTGCTTTTTTGCGAGGCCTTATATTTGTTTTATGTACAAAGAGCTGTGACTGTAGCTCACAATAATTTGAGAAATTGAACCCATCATAAACGACTAGTAGCATTGGTGGCACTGCTAAGCTAGATGTTTTGGGATGATACATTAATTTCTAGCAAAGCTTGTAAAGTTTGAGTATTGAATGATCTAATCTAAATACATTCTTTTTTTCGAGACTTCTCGCTTCGTTGCTTAAAACACAAATAATTTGGACGCATGCAAAACAAGCATGCTAGCAACAAATTTTATCGTAGAAGAATTTAGACAATGAAGTGAAATATAGAAGTCGTACGATGATAGCAATCCTAAATGATGAAAACAAATTCTTTTACGAGTTCTAGTTATGATTTGGCAACAGAAATAATTTACGGAATACGAATCTTGAAAAAAAAAAAAAAAAAAACCGGACAAACGCATAAGCAGCTCAATAAATACATGTAAAACCTCAAATGAAAAAAACAGGTGTCATGAATTATTGGAGAATACTGAAAGGAAAAAAAAAAAATATGCAACAAAGAAATCAAATATTCAAGAAACACTAAGCAACAATAAACAACAGTAACAGTAGGTGTTATCAGTATGACAGTAACAACACAAAAATATTTCGAGAAGCTGATATAGTGAGAAAAGTAAGGAACTAAAACAACCGTAACTGTATCACGGAGCAGGTAATATAACCAAACAGAATGGTTTCGAGAATTATTTGAACCTTACTGAACAGAAAACTCTTATCTGGGCACTCATCTTTCTGCACAATTCTGGGTACTTTAACCTTAGATATCTACAAATACAGATCATTTTGGTTAGAATAAGATTACAGTACTAGTTCGAGGCTTCGAAACAAGAAATAAGATTCTTGAAAATCTGTAAGTTTGCAAATAATATAATACAAAGAAAATGACTGCAGTATGTAATGAATGTATTAGAAGGCAACAGCAATTTAAGGTTGTACGGTTTAGCAGATTCATATCCGGGAAATGATAAGAAATTCCTTTTGAGATAAAAGTAGAATAATCCACTAATCACAACATTCAACAAAGAACGAGATTATATACACTAACTTCATTTGATGTATATTCTGACTTCATTTATTGTACAGCGTCAGAGCTTTTCTTCACCAACAACCCGAAGCCTCTCTCACAAAGAGCAGGCTAAAATTAAATAATACTCTATACCACCAGGTGGTATTGTAGAAGAAAAAAGAATACTGATGAAAAGCCATCGATAATAAAACCACAGTTGGTATATTGTTACCATCAGTCATAATTATCAACTTGAAATCTTCATATTAAGGTCAATCTGACCACCAGCCCCGTCTGTTATGCTTTCTGCATCCAAAGCACTAGGTCCATTGTTCCCTTCAGATGACTTTTCCAAAATATCAAATGCTCCATCGCCGTTCTCAGCAATGCCGGGACTGCTTCCACAATCATTTGAATGATCGAAATAAGATAAACGATCAACCACAATTCGCAATTCTTAAATTATTATTCATTAAGACGAAATGTAAACACAGTTTTAGCTTCTGAAAAATTAAATTATATTCTGCATTAAGTTGGTTGTTCTTTATTATATATTTATTATGACATGTGGATAGTCCCAAAAGAGCACGTACCTTTTTCCCATTCATCTGCTTCTTCTGGCAGATTAATTAAAATATCACCGTTTTCGGGCAACAGCTGTCGAGCTTTTTCTGGAGGAATTGTTCTGCAACATAGAGCTATAAATAAGGAAAATAAACGTTTCAAAAAAATGTTTGGTAATTTTATTTCAACTAACATTGGCACAAATCCACCAGATATTTTATCCATATATGATTTGATTTTTTCCGCAATTTTGGTAAATCCAAACGATAAAGCATCATCATAGGCAGTCCTATTCCACCTATAATAAAATGATTCGTTATTGGATTTTCTATTCAATATCTCATGCTTCCACATTATGATAAGGCATATCTCGCGTTGTGATCACGAATAATTTTCTCCCAGATCATGCTAGCCACTAATTTTGCTCAGACAAGCAAGTTAATATCCTTGACTTCATAAAGTACATAATATAAGTTCATGAATCCAATAGTTTTTTAAAACCTTTTCAAATATATAACTCAATAACACGAAAGACCCCACCGTTAGGAATGGGATCACGTATCGAAATTATTCAAAAAAAAAAAACGATATTTCCATCATTTCGTGCCACTTGACATCTTACTACAAAATTATCCAACATATATAATTTAAGAAAAAAAATTTAGACGAACAGCACACCATACCAATCGATTATATGGCTTTCCCCTGTGAAATCACCACAAATTAAGTACCATTTCTTCAAGGATTTCATATGTAAGACTAAGCAATTCCAAACATCCTTACAACTAACCTATCCCTCACAAGTGGATTAACATGAGCAATGTCGAGAAAGAAATCCACCATTAAAGACTGTCCTTCTGAAGCAGCTAAATGCAACGGTGTGCGACCATCATAGTCTGACATATTCAAATCAATACCACCCAAAAACATTCTGAAAAATTTAATTACAATTCATGCTGATTATCCCACAAAAAAAAAGTTAATATAAAATGTTAATTAATTAACGTGAATCCCCATTTCTAATTTTTCCCTTCAAGCTTTAAATATAAAAAATTTTTAAATCACTGTCCTCCAAATCACCATATACTTAGAGCTCCAGAAAAAAGATACATGATGCAAGCTATCAAAGCTAGTTTATGCCATCGGCTTTGAAACTGCCTTACTTCATTCGGCCATTCAAGACAACATTTTCTTTGTCCTCATTAAAGTTTCTAAGGGATACGTACCTTCGAACATCATCAATGTTGCCTTTCTTAGTCGCAAACATCATTTCCAGAATTAATTCGGATTCATTTGGAACACCACGTTTTCGAGGATCAATTTTCTTGGTATCTGCATGCAGCAAACTGTCATAGTTGTGAAAATTAAAAGTTTCAATCATTTTCTGAAAAATTTAAATAAACAAAAGAGATGTTATAATTTTTTGAAAATTCTTTTGTGGTAAATAACCAGTTAACCTTTTTATATGTAAATAATTTAAAAAATATATACCTTACAGAAGCTTACACCACGCACACTGTTACCCATTTTATCCAAAGGTGGCGACCAGATGCAAATTCCCATCAAATTTGGTACCACAACGACCATCGCTCCAGAGACACCAGATTTTGCAGGTAAGCCAACCTAAAATAATATTGATAGATAAGAAATAGATTATATATTAGATATTTAGGTTATATACGCATAATACGTTATATATTGGATAATGATTTCCGTCAGAAACAAAAGCATTTTAACTTACTTGAAACGCAAACTGGCCGCTGTAGTCGTACATCCCACACGAATACATCAGTGAAAGAACATCTCGACACGGCCGAGCACTAATGCATATTTCGTTGGTAAGAGGACAAACACCTATGGAAAAAAAAAATTACAACTCTCTATTTATTCTAGGAAACGACAATTGAGAAATAATGCACAGAATAATATAATATGATGTACTGAAATTAATTTCTCAGAAGCCTGACTAGGACATTATTTTACGCTTAACTGATCACTACATTAAGTAGAAAAATAAATTACAAATGTCAAGTCTCACCTCCATTAGCTAAAGTAGCTGCCATTACCGCAGCACTTTCACACGTTGTTTCCAATGAACACAACTGAAAATAGAAATCCAGTTCATCCCGGAGCGATATGGAACCAGGGAAGCAATTATTTTCTTTCATGTAATAAGAAAGCGCGTAATTACGGTCTGCAGTATCACGTTCCGATAAAAAGCTGAAAAATGTCTCGTCAAATAAAAAAATCTTTGTTAAGCATCGAAGGTTTTCTTTTATATAACGTATACTTCAGTGAAGATATCTTTTAGAAGCTTTTAACAATCAAATTTTATTATAAAAAATAAACAAGCAGCCCTAATAATGTAAAACATTAAGTGAACAAAACAACATGAACAACAAAAACTTACGTCGCATTATTAAAGCCTATATATCCACCTCCTGCAAGTTTTCTGTATTGGGTTAGCACCTGCAAACATTCTGACTCAGTTTAAATTTCGAATTCAATTAATTCCACCTCTAGTTGAATTCGGCTCAAGAAACATGTTTTTTTCTGAATTTAAAAATAAAAAATGCTCCATCCTTTTGGTAAAAAAGGTAAACTTCTTCAACTTGGAAAACATGGAAGCTATATAAAGAGGGATGAGTTTAGTTCATAAATTATAGTCACCAAAAGTTGATACAGAGTATTAGAGACTGCCACAGGTAAACTTACAAAATCATAACGATCAGCCATTTTATGTCCCATTTTCAGCAATGACGTAACAATAATTGCTCCAGCATTTATGAGAGGATTATGTGGTTTACCTGTCAAATAATTTACATGATTTTAGACCTTGGTTGTTCAATATGAACCAATAAAACAGTCTAGCTTTTCTGTTAGAAAGAAGCTAGCATGAACCACAAGAAAAGATGAAATATTTGCTAGATAACTTGAAAAAAAAAAGGAATATCTCAGGTAACATAAATGCTCACCATTGCAATCCAGACATATTTCATTGAATAATCGCCCAGATGGTTCATGGCCAACATAGTTGTGAACAAAATCTGCTCCCAAATCAGACGCTACTATTGCATAATTGAAAGCTAGAAAAAGGATTTTTCAGCATAGATTGTGACATGACCAGTACGTAAATTATCTTTAATGTCAGTGTCAGAGCTCTAGAAAATAAGTGGTTGCAAAACAAAATTTTTTTTGTAACTTATCTTTTAAATTCTGATTTATTTATTACCTTTTGATATGGACTGAAAACAAAACGGTACACGAGCGTCACCGTAACTGACACGCTGTCCATCAATTGTACATATCGAAAGACCCCATTTCTTCGGATCTACTCTGGCTAATTGAGGAATATAATTTGCTACTTTACCTTCATGAATATTCGCACACTAAAATTAATTTGCTGGAGACTTAAAGGTTAAAGAAACCCAATATCGAGTGCAACTTTTTATAAATTATAAACTTCCTATAATGACCAAAACAGATATTAATAAGTCCTTCGAGCAGAAAGTAATCATCAGAAACTTAGACCTTAGAAAAAAGAATATTTCCTAAAAGCAAACCTCAAAGTTGCCAAAAAAGGGAGACCTGGGCAGTAAGACAAAGAGAAAGTTGATTATTAGAGAATTACAAAAAAGAACGGAATGATGCAAATATAGAAAAACTACTTCATCAAAAATTTCTTTGATCTTGGCAGTAAATTCGCCCCAACATGGAATAATCAAATCGTTGCGAAGCGTTTGGGCAATTAAATTGATGCTTGGCCGAATACATCTACAATTAATTCTTGAAGGTAGCACACTGTTGTACTGAACTTACTATAACCACATTCAATTTTATAAAACAAAAGTGGAAAAAAAAATTCAAGTTCGCAAGGTGCAAAAGCTACGGAATGAAAAACGTTTTGTTTGTTTGAATGATGATTTTTGAAGATCACGAAGTGACGCTAATCTGTAAATTAACTACTAACTCCTTGAACTGTTTTTTATTTAACAAGCAGTGTCTAGTATCACAGTCATCCTCGATTTGCAGTTCATATTCATGCATCTTTTCTATTGTATGCTTCAGCCGTGGATCATCTTCACGGATGCCGAATGATCGCAGTACCTACAAACAGAAACCATTAGTTCTTGAAAACTTCTGAAAGTGAGAACAACAGAGAACTGAGAAAATTAGAAAATGATATTTTCTGATACTAAAGTATTCCTTCCAAGCATGGAAATTTCCCTGCATATTTCTACTAAGAAAAATAACATTATCTTACAGAAAGTAGTTTTCCCAAGGAAGCTTCTTCGGGTTTTTTGGAGCATTTGAAGAGATCGTACGTAAGGTCTTCCTGTGATGGATGTGAAAGCTGATACACATGCTTCAAACCCTTAGCGGTATCGTTCAGCAGTCGAGTGATAGATGATTTTCGGTTGTTTTTCAAAATCTTGCTTACACTATCAACTGTAATGTGAACAAATGAACTTAATAAAAATATTGTAAAGTATTAAAAATTTTGAGGGTAGAAAAAGTCGAACGAAAAGGTCGAGCACTGAGAATAAGTTTCAGTCGATCTTCGATCAGCTCATAAAATCATCCACTAACACATCACTACTAAAAGGTTCATAAAAGCGAACAAGTAGAAAAGAAATCAAACTAAACGAGAAAAACTTCAAATCCAATAGGTCCAATAGCAAATACAGAAAAATTGTATATAAATAAAAAAAATGAAAGGTAGAAAAAGAAGGAATATATTTTCATATTACAAATATAGAATTACCTGCAGCAGAAGCGCATTTATATTCGTCGCCTTCCATTGCTTCACAATTTTTATGGCGCTGCTCTTCAGCTAGCCGATACTGAAAGCACTTCAACTTTTAAAACTTGATAGGCTATCGCAGTATGGAGAATCTTTTTGATGTATTTATAAAAATTTAACGGATGCATCCATGTAAACTGCTAATTTTTCAAATATATCTGTATGCCTAAACAATCCCTCCATTTAGAATACAACTTACAAAAAAGCAATCTGTCAGCTTCCGGAATACACCACACAGCAACTTCGCTTCCCCGGAATATACCTACCCATTCAGGTAATAGGTCAACCCCCGAAACATATCATCACACAATCAATATATGATCTGGAATTGATGCCGGAGCAACTGCTTAAATTTCGATCAGTCGGCACACGAACCTCTATTAATGCGAGTAGTTTCGACAATGTCGCGTGTTTTTTAAAGTTTGTTGTTAAATTTCGTTTGTGATGTTTGTAAGCCTTTTTCCGATTCTGACTATTCAGGTGCAATTCGGAGTTAACTGGAATTAGAGTGCTCGAAGAAACTAAATGAATGAGTCAGCAGTTAGAAGAGGAAGAAACTAATAATTCAAACTGTTGATTTAAAATTTTTTAACCAAAAGAAAAACTTGAAAATTTTGCTAAAAGTTTTCTGAAAGAATCTGAAAAATTTTTACACTATTTAAAATGAGGAAAAAATCTATGGAAAAATAGCTATTCTTGTGTACTCTCCCTTCTTAATCATGCATCCTTTCTCTTTCCCAAAAATCTATGATGAAATTAGTCGAATTGCAGTGTTAGATTGTGTTAGATCCTGTTATTTGCATTAAAAATTTTAAACTGGCTAACCTTAGTCCGTAAAACATTGATCGGCGTTCCACTATACATTTTCACTATACACTTGGAATCAAATCACACCACTAGCGTTCCGTTCAATAATTCTTGTATCCTTTATTCTATTATATATGATTCGTTAATTAACCTTTTGAAAAATCTTTATCATATACTCGTAAAAAGAATTTTTTTTTTTCAAAAGAAAAAATATAATTTTATTTTACTTAAGCATTGTGAGACAAAAAATATGGTGACACTCACGCAGGCATTCGATGAATTAATGAAGGAAGAATGTACTTACAACCACACACAATCGATTACAACTATCATGCAATTCGCTCAGTGTTTTTTTCTTTTTTTTTTTTTACTTTCTATATGGGAAAAAGACGTTTCATGATGGATTATAGGATATTTCGTAAAATATAGTCAAATATCATTTCTGGGTGCTCCGAACATGATAATGTGATAAGTGGGTGTGATAACATTTGATATGAGCATGGCTGATTATGATTTAGAATTAGGTCCAATCTAGTGAGTTATGAGTCATAGAAATAGGCTTAATGGAATTATATAAACAAATTCCTCTTTCTTATACCATCTTACGATGCAAAAACAACCCAAATTCTTGGATGAAGCAACACTATTTATAAGAAATGTTATTAAGAAATAAAAATTCTAAAATTGAGAATTTTCAAGAAGAAAAATTGAAATTATTATTAGGAATTCATTGTTAATGATCCGGAAAATTGCCAGTATGAGTCACCAATTTAATAACTTAATACTGGACAAAATTTTAATGTGAAAGTTCTGTGATTTATTAAAGGAAAAGTGGGTACTGCTTCTTTCTTCAAGCAACATTATGTGAGGAGTGAAATGTGAAAAAAAAAAAATTTAGTTTGAAAGTAGGAAAATTAATGGACGCTTAGACTGCAAACTGTATACCTTCCAGTTCTACATTTTATCACAATGATTGAAAATAAGGTTGAAAAGACGAATTGGTAATTCTTCTTATCATTTAAATAAGCAATTCCATTAATGTGACATTAATATAGCAAACAAAATTTTTAGACCATAATCACATGTCAGTATGCAAATTTTCACTTAAGCATATTTGAGAAATGATATTTGGGAATTTTTCTTCCCTCCCTGCTAATTTTTTGGTGAAAAAAAAAAGTGGAAAAGGCAATATTGCAGAATAATTGCACCAAGTTGATGAAAGTTTGCCCAGAATAATTATACTACATTTCTATACATAATATTTTTGTTGCGCAAGGGTTAATTGGTGATAAAATTGAAAAACCTAAAGTCTTTTAAATCTTTCATCTTTCATAATAGATTAGTCATCTGACCTGAAATTTAATTCAGAAACATTTTAATATAATTCTAATAATTGTTATAAATATAAAAAAATTATACTGAACCCATGAATTATATATAAATTATCCTAACCCTTTGTTTGTTTACACAATCGATATGATTTTGATTAAGCAATTCTCTCTCTCTCTCCCTCTCTTCCTCTGTTTTCTCGCTTATTTCAATCAGAGAATATTAAAAGTGTTAAATTCCATAGTACAATCAATTTTAATTGTTACGGAATTTAAAATATTTGTTAAACCAAAAAAAAAAAAAAAAAAAAAGGAGAGAGAGAGAGGGAGAGGGAGACTACTTAATCATTGATGTTATATTGCAGAATAGCAAAAGAAGGTGCTAGCAAGGAAAGGTCATAAGGTTAAAGAGGAAGACATTTTGGTCAGTTAAAGAAGACAACAAAGTGACATAATAGCAGCATACATCGGAGCAGAATTTCTCACAATTAAACTGTTTCATTTAGTTTCTATTTATCACTAATATTATTTCAATTAATTGCCAAATGTATCAATGTAATATATACTATGGTAATATATCATTGATTGACACATATCATTGACATTATTCATTATTCATCTCTGTTACATTTAATTTTGTTTTTTTTTTTTTTTTTTTTTTTTTGTTTTTTTAAATAAACTTTTCATCGATAGAAGAAATAAATGAACAGAAAATAAATGCTATCTAAAAGAGTAAATGTGGAAATACAAAATCATCTGTGTCATCTAAATCCTTTCTTTTTTTCAAGTTTTTACATCAGAACGATGAGTCAATTTAACATATTAATGTATTGATCAAACATTCCAATCTCAATGTCTCCTTCTATCATTCCAGATATTAAAAATGAAGTTGGGTTATTTTTCAAAGTTTTTTTTTTTTATTTTCCAACAAGTAAATTCCTTGTGAATTTTGTGAGTAATTCAATTCATTCACAATCGAATATCATCTAAATGAACAATACTTGAAAAGAATTTCCTTTCATCTCTTTCTATTTCACTATTATATTTAAATGCTCACTTCAAAATATTCGGGATTTAAACAGAAATTATAAAGAGAGTAAAGGGAAAGCATACCAAAGAGAAAACAATCAACTTTAGGTAGTTGGAATATATAATTAAAATATACAAATCATTTACTAATTTAAATTATATCTGTACACTGTATGTACTAAAAGTTAGGCTTAATCAGATGGATTGATTTGAATAAATTACTTATTTTATAACTTTTCATCCCTTTTCATACACTGATAGTGTAATTTGTGAACTTCTACTTGATAAGTTAATTAAAGTTATATGGATAATTAGGCTTGGTTTAGATAATTTTTATGAGTAAATATGACTTGCATTGTATGAATTAATGCTGTGTAAAATTAGCAAATTCTCTTATGCTTGATGTTTTTCTTTGAAAAAAAAAAAAAAAATAAATAAAAAATCGTAATTCTTTTTTTTCTTAAATTTAAAACATTCAATTTTATATGATCGTTGCAAATCTAAAAATTCTATGCATCTATAAGATTTACATTTGAAAATAACAAAATTTGTTCTAAATAATTTTGGTGGGAAGAAAACAGTCATAGTGTACCGTCAATGCGTGGCGAATTTTAATTGGGAAATATGAGTGGGAGTTAATTTCATTTCAATTTTGTACTTTTGAATTTTGGTTGGGTATGTCTTATTTGGAGCTAATCCATGTAATCATTCTTCTAGATTTCAGATAGGAAGGAATAAGACTAATAGATTGATGTAGAGAGAGAGAGAGGAAGACAGAGAGAGAGAAGAATTGATGCGATAAGATGTTGATTTCTTGACTGATTGTCTTATTGTTAGGATGTGTGCAAAAATTTATAGAAATAATTGTGATATATAGAAAAATATATACATATATATTCTATAGAAAACTTTATTGAAATAATTATATATAGAGAGAAAGAGAATGTAGAAAAAAATTTACAGAAATAATGTGATACGTAGAGAGAAAGAATTATAACAGTACTATGAATTCATGAAGTGTGAGAGTTTATGGTCATAAAGAGATTGATTGGTTGAAACAGATCGTTTCATTTTTTTTTTTTCCATTACATAGTAAGAAAAAAAAAAGCAGGAATTATTAGGGATAAATGATTTTACAGTGTTCTTTTCTTTTTTTTTTGTTTTCATATTTCCATTTTTGCAGAGAATGACTTCTTTATATAGCATCAAAGGAATTGCTATACTGGATCAGGACGGTAATCGTATCCTTGCCAAGGTATATTGAATTAGTATACTTTATTTAGCTGAATACGATACTATTAACTATCTGACTTTTTTAGTTTGTTAAATGGGTCACTATACCTTTTTTTTTTTTTTTTTTTTGATATTACTATTTCTGGTTTATGTTTGCTCCATTTTGTTCATATCTTAAAGGTGTAAAATGATTTAAATAAATAAATTATTAAAGAATTCACAATATGTTAATTTCACATTGATTTTGGAAACATTCCTTGACAAATGTGGAAGTTTTTTCTTTTTAGTATTATGATGATAAAGTATTCCCGAGTACAAAAGAGCAGAAGGCATTCGAGAAAAGCCTGTTCCAGAAAACGTGCAAAGCAAATGGTAAAAGTCTTATCATGAAGTTCCTGTTGTTTTTTGTTTTGAGGGTGTTGATTGAGGGTGTTCGTTAGAGTGTGGGTGTTCGTTAGAGTGTGTAGCTTATTGTCTTGTGCTTTCACAAATGGACAGGCTATTCTGTCTAACTAGACAATCTTTTCAGAACTTTCCAAGATTCCTCATTAATTGGCTATTGTTTTGAGAAAAATTACTGGTTCATTGTAATTTTTTTCACTCAATTTTGCAGCCGAAATAATTTTATTAGATGGAATGATCTGTGTGTATCGGAGCAACGTTGACCTATTTTTTTACGTAATGGGTGATGCAGATGAGAATGAATTGATCCTTGTCTCAGCCCTCAACTGTCTGTACGATTCAGTCTCACTGGTACTGCGAAAAAATGTGGAGAAGAAAGCACTTATCGATGATATGGATATTGCTATGTTGATCATTGATGAAATTTGTGATAATGGGTTTGTGGATTGGTTTCTCTTACATTCGATTGCTTCAAAAGCTTGTATGAATTGTGCAAAAAAAAATCCTGAAGCTGCAGAAAACACTGTCAAGCCTGATTCAGGAATTTGTCGTGTTGGAAATAAACAAGTTTTTAAACTTTTAGCATTTCTAAATAATTGGAGCTTCAGAATTGTTTCATATGGAGATTTAATAACTGTATTAAGAAAAAATTAGAAAGGTGGCTTCGATAGGTTTTTATATTTGCATTTGACAGAAGATGTGCAAGCAACTTTTGAAGTAAGTGAATACTAGGTGGTTGTAAGTCCAATCCATTAGTTTATTCATTCGAAAAGCACGTGAAAGTGGGCTTCCCAATCTCACATTTTTATGCTCACAGCTAAATAATATACCATTTAAAGTCCAAGCTACTAAGCAAATTTAGATTCGATAAATCTAGTTAATCATAATCTTATATCTGTTTTACTTGCAGTGTTTTGATGGAAACAGAACCACAGGCTGTTGTAAGTCGTTGTGCTTTACGAGCTGATGAACTAACATTTGGTGATCAAAGCATCTCACAAGTGGGAATGTCGGTACGCATGTCTTAAAAGCAGTCTTTTCCACTGAATTTATTATTTCGATGTAATTCATGGCAGATGCATGCTGTAATATCAGGAAGGAAGTGTTTGTTATGTACTATTTCTTTATCTGAAAAAGAACTCAAATCAAACGACTGGTTATGCAAGTTAAAGAAATCGTTTGATTTAAGGTCTTTTTGCTATTTTCGCAATGGCCTATTTCTTGCTTATTGGGAGGGTTTTCTTCTTAATGACATAAATTTCCTGTTGCTTTTAATGAATTACATGTCTCAATGTAACCACTTGGAGTTATGGTTTTGAGAGGCGAAATTAAATGGTGAGTTAAATAGACGAAGCCATTTCTCTTCTCGCATTACAAATAGTTTCTTAGATTTTTTTTTTTGGCTTAAACGGATTCATTTCTTGAACTTTCTCATTGTTTCCACTCAAATGAGTATGCTGAGCTTCATTTAGCTCTTCCTTGCTTTACGTCTTGTTAACACTTTTTAACCAAAGCGGATAATTATTCAAATTAAGAAAATAATAACTGGTGTGACTCATCGCTCTGATTTTCATAGAGTGCAACTTTCTGTAAACTTTGCTTTTGACTGTTAGAGTAGCCTGTATATCAAAATTCAAATAACCATTGGAAGAGTTCAAGATATGGCTTATAAGCGTCGATTTGATTTGCTTTTGCTCTTTTGTCCTTACAATCTGTATTTCTCTGTGCTGATTTTATTGCATTTAACACATCGATTATACTGGAAATGATAACTCTACCAAGCTGAGGTATTATAGGCAGTAATTTAAGCGATCTCAAAATCGATGTGCTAGTCGCATGTGCATGTTGCATGTTTTATAGGTGTTTGCAGTTCTAATAAAATGGAATTAAAGTGATAGAAAAGAAAAGGAAAATTTGCTGTGGTCTTGTTTGTTTGGTCTTATATCTACATGACCAAGCATGCTGTTCCTTGTTGTGTGTGAAAAAGAATTTGGATACGGAGTATCTCAAACAATTATAACATCCATTTTTTATTTGATTCCCCTCTATATTTGAAAGTTGGATAGGTTCTATTATTATCGATTATGTTATTCGTTATCGGTGGTCCCATATATGTAATTAATCATATAATGCAATCGTCACTTGAAGTAAATCCATTGAAAATTCGTTCTTAGTATAGCAGTGTTTATATTTCATCTGACATGAAGATGGGTTTCGATCGCTGCAGCTAATGCGCAAAATGTTTCAGTTAATTGGTTCGGCAAAGGAGCAGTTGAAGTGGTCTCTTTTGAAGTAATAAACAAAGAAAGACGGATTTTGAAATGTCAGTGTAATTATTGATGACGCTAAAGTTATTCACATGCATACGGTATCTACCTATGTGTCGATGGTGATGGATTATTTTCCTTTATAATTCTGTTTTCTGATGTTTTGATTTTTTCGTTGGGTTGTCAAGAATTTAGGGAGAATCGTTCCATTTTTCTTATAAAAGTTTGGACACATATGAATTGTTTATACTCTTAAATTCGTTTCGTTTTATTGTCATGAAAATTGGGTAATTCAAGTGATTGAATATTGAGTTTGTTTTCTACGCTTGTTTTAATTAAGCATTAGCCTTGCATATCCGTCCCACTATTTGCAAATAATTTTTTCGAAAATTTCATTTTTTTTTTTTTTAAAGTGCTCGACCTTTGATATGCTATTGTCATCATTTTTCACACGCCAGTCCAGCTGTCCTGCCCTCGCTCCCAAATGCATCTTTTTTTTCTGAACTAAATTATTTTATGCCTCTCTGTTTTGAACTATTATTCAACAGTGATACGTTTATGGTCATCATTTTTGTGTAAATTCTTGAGATTCATTATCACTATATCTTTGACAAGTCTTTGACAAGCACAGTCGAGAAAGTCAGGAAGATTTGATATTTGATAAAGATTTGATATATTATCGAGAGTGATAAATGTTATTTTTTAAATTGTTTGTTTGATTGTTTTTGTTTCAAGTAAATATAAACACTTAAACTTGGTTAATTTCCTGGTTTTTATTCCTTTTCACAAATCAGGAAAGTGTGCAAATCAGATAGTCACGGATTTATCTTTCCTAATGAAATTACGGAAACTTCGGGATAACATTTCGTCCCGGACAACATCGGGACTTGTCTGGGAGGTTTCTCTCCACACTGATTCGAGAAATACTCATTTTTAGTTCTAAGTTTAATGAAAAGAAGTGCGAAGGGAGTACGTTTAAGAAGTTTTGAGCGAAACCGGCAGGGAATCAGTCCCGGAAATGCTCTTATATTTTGGTATCTTTTTGTTACAGAGGAAAGGCGAACACAGAAAAAGCTAGATGAGTTTGTTGTCAAGCATGAAACTATGCAAATCTGATTGGAATTCAAATTTGTTTCCCTTTTTAGCTACACGAAAGTCAGAAATATGCATAAGATGCCTTCGCTGTGTCGAAGTGACCGGCCTTCTGATCGATTATCTTCAGCTGAAGTGTCCCGTAGACAAACTAAGAAGGCGAAGGTATGCTTTATCTGTTTTGTGAAATATAAATGGAATAAATTTTTTTTTTTGTGCCTGTATGTCATCAGTTATGTTATATTTATTTCTGTGTTATATTATTGCTGAATTCATAAGCATGCACTGAATGATTAATAATGTGATAATATCGAACTGATCACAAACTTATGGGAACTTGTCACTGTGGTATGTATAAATAACTTCAAATTAAACAACATTTTAATACAAGGCCCCGACCAAGTAGTATTTGTTCTATTTCATAAAACCAACGAGAAAAAAGTTGATTTTGAATTTTATTAAATTGAACAAAATATAAAGCCTGCACAGAGCTGAACGTAAAAATTGTCCTTTTATGGAGATTATTAGTTTTATTAAATTCTGGAAATCATATTTCTGATGGAGACTATTATTTTTACTAAATTTTTTGGGATCAAAACATGTTTTATATATTTGCTGGGTTGAAATTGATCTGTTGTCAGTAGCAAATTCTCGTCGCTGATTTGGTATTTTTAAACGGGTTAAATTGTAATATAAGTCTCCGAATTCGGTACTTTTGCTCAGTGTTTGCTCAATTTTAATATTTACTTCTTGTACGATATTTATATTTCCAGTAGTCATCCCATATAATCCTTTGTGCCTTTTTTTCTCGTCTCAGAGTTTTGTTATTCCATTCTGGTTTGTGTCTATATATGTGTATATATGTATTGTATGTATGTTCAACAAGTTTAGCTACTTTTTGACACTTTGTGCTTAGCAAAGTTAGTCATTTTTCAATTATTCTCGAACTGATGTGTTTATTTTTGGGAATTTGTCGGAATGCTTTGATCTATTGTGTGTTTCCGTAAATAATGTACTTCAAAACAATACATTAAAGTGCATTTAATGAAAAAGCACTGGACAGAAATGAGAATTGTATGAATGTGAGGGTAGTGTGGCTTCCGTGGCGCAATCGGTTAGCGCGTTCGGCTGTTAACCGAAAGGTTGGTGGTTCAAGCCCACCCGGGAGCGGTCGCTTTTGCAAGCTCTAGAGAGTTTATATGGCAATTTATGTTTACTTGTCTTTCATATGATGTCATTTCATTACTAGTTGTACTTGTTGTACTTCACCCATTTGATTGCATCCCATCTTAATATGAAGGCATTATTATACATGCATTGACGAATTCCGAGAAAAATCTTCGCAAATGAAAACACTAATAAAGTGTGGTAGGTTGAAGTTCACGTAGATTTATTAAATTAAATGCTTTTTAGAAGAAAAATACCAAGAAACGAAATAATGGATCAGTGATGAAAGAAATATCGGTATTGGAGGAGGAAGAAGAGGGAAAAGACGCTGGTGATGGCTTAACAGAAGGAGAAGTGGAAGAACAAAGCGGGAGTTTGTCAGATTATGAGGATGAACTGGATGGATTACTGAGGCATCAAACCACAATCGATAATTACTTCAATCAAGGAAGGTTAAAACCTTGTCATCGAAGTGATCGTGCGCGGCGAAAAAAGTGATTTTTGTGTTTTTTTCTTCTGAAATTCGATAGAATCTGAGAACACATTGCACTACATAAGTTTTCTTTCTTCTTGTCCATAATTTTCATCAAATAAAATGAGATTCAAATCAACTCAAGAATTAGGAGTGTGTACATTGCAGATACCTGTAGGAAGCTTTCCTTCACATTATTTTCAAATTATATATGTCGTTCCAGTTTTTTGACCGAGGAAAATTGAGGAAATTTTTTCTTTTAGTTATGGAAAATGAGAATAGAAACATTCATTCATCGTTCTGTCATTTCTGCAAATATACCTGGTGTATTTCTGAAGAAGCCCATTTAGTGTTATCGCTTATCTAGTTTTATATATATCGTCGTTAAATTTATTATGTGGAGCTATCATCAAAGATGAAATTTTTTCTCTTTTATAGACGAAAACAGGGTGAGGAAGATGATGGAAACGGTCGTTGCAGTTCAGTTCAATGTGATTTACGCTTACTTTCAGATTGGTTTGAAGTAAGTATTCCGATTTTGTTCTATAGAATTCATGAAAATTTCATTATTTGGAATTTTTTAGAAAGGGAAGAATTTAAGCGAAGAAAGATTGACTTACATTGATGTTTATTGCAATTTTTTAAAGTTCCTGCTGAAATCAAAGATTTTCTCGAATATTCAATTTTATTTATTGAGATTTTAGCAAAAAGGATTTTCGTGGAGAATTAATGAAAAGTTTAGTCTTTTTTTTTTCTTTTTGTAGAAATGTGATGGTTATCTTCCACGTGGTGTTATTCGAGAATATACTAATGCAGAGCGTTTGTTTCCCCGTTGGTTAACGTATTTGGCAGCTGGTTTTAATCTGGTTGTAAGTTCAGATTATAATATTACATGCTGATTTCTTTTAGTTTACTATCTTACAGTGAACATTTTATTTGGTTCTATTGGTAGGAATTCCCAAAATAATCAAACTATAAAAATTTTTCCATTAATGCATGATATTCAATAAATTATGGCTGTAATCAGTAAACGAATTATTGTGTTTTGCTAAGCTTCCATTCGTTGACGTTGTTGGTTGACTTGCAGTACTGATAAGGAAATAGAAATGGTTGTATTCTTGTCATCAGTGAGCCCTTTACTTTGTTTTTGTTTGTTCTTTTAGATATTTGTAATGAAATTGCTGTTAATTTTAGATCTTTGGGTTAGGTTCGAAACGGAAACTTGTGCAAAATTTTTGTGATAAACAATTACAAGATTACACATATATTGTTGTTGATGGTTTTCAACCAGCGGTTAACTCACATATTATATTTCAGGTAAATAATTATGAAATAAATGTCATTCACTATTAATTGGTATTTGGATATAACTTCTGCCAGCAGTTATCACAAGATAGTAAAGTAACATCATTCACTATTAGCATTATCACTTGTTAACTGCTTGGCATTCTTTTTTACTTTTGAGATTTTCTTTGTTCTGAACTATTTTATTATTATTTTTTTTTTCGAAAATTTTTTATGAAACTGGTATAATTAAATATGCTAGAAAAATAATAGGTTATGGAGAAAATAAAACGTTTTTGCAGTGTTTGGAGAAAAATCTTTCACTGAAAGTGGTTGTGACGACTAAAAATCAACTGGAATATGCAAATGCCATTGGTCGTGCAATAGATAACAGAAATGAAGATGTTGTTCTTGTATTACATAACATTGATGGACCTGGATTGAGGTTTGTCTGCATTCAATATTGTTTAATACATGATCATCAATCAATGAAGTAGATCTACTTATTTTCTTTTTTTAAAATACTTTTAAGAAGCAGTACTATTTGCAGGGCAACACTTGAACAGTGGGCTTTAGCCGAATTTGCAAAAGCTAAACATACTCATATCATTGCTACTGTTGATCATGTCAATAAAAGCTTGTTATGGACCCAAGTTCGATTTAGTTCTTATTCACATTATTTTCTTGATCACGTTTCTCATTCCTTGTCTTTTTTTTTTTTTTTTAAATATTTAGGCTTACGAAATTAAAGAAATAAAAGGAATTTATTTTTGTTTACATATTTCAGAAGTTGTTAAATGCATTTAACTTTCTCTTCATCAATGTTAATACCATGCAAGCCTATAAAACTGAAGTATTTGCTGGTTATTCGAAACTACTAGGATTGAATCCGAAAGGATCAGGATATATGCATACATTTGCATCTTTGGATGTGGTCTGGATGTCGTTGACAAATAATTCTCGCTCATTGCTTCAACTTATTACCAGTTATTATTATCGTAAAAAGAAACCAGTGGAGTTTTTCGAGCTTTTTCATTTGGCTAGGTGATTTCTCTTTTCTGCTAAAACAGTTCAGTTGTTCATGTTGACTAATACGAAAGAAAAAAGTAATCTATTCCAAGATGGATTAGTATTTGAGTTTGTTTGGTTTTGAGGGATGATTTCTTGGTTTCAACGGATGCAGCATTACGACAGCATCTTAACGAATACAATGATCATCGTCTCATCCTGCGAAAGCGTCATAGCGATGGCAATGAATACATATCGATAGCTGTGGAGGAAAGGGTGACTTGCCTTTTTTAAGTTTGAATTATAAATAATCGTATGAATTGCACATGCCCATAGATTAATTACTCACAGATTAAATACAGTTACTTATCATGAATTATTTATCAAAGAATCGACGTTTAACTGATATATGAGATTGCAGTTGTTTTATTGTCGAGAAATGAACTGTGATGAATAATAGGCTTTACTGGTAGTGATTCTGGAGAATTTATGGATTTTTTGACAGCTTGAGTAGCAGTTTAATGAAGATATCATAACTTAGGATTTGCTTGTTTAAATACCTGAAATCATATTGAGTGTAATGCGATTATTTAAATTAATTTACGAACATATGATCTCTTTTTAATTATTGGAATTTTTTGTTGAAATTTTAGACAATGATGGAATTCATGAAGGAAAAAGGAATGATTCTGGATGATGACGACAGTGATTAACATGTTGATCTCTTTCTATCTTCACAAAAATGCTCTGAACTTAACACGAACTGGAAGGAATTTTTTCAAGTCCTTTTGTTATAAATTTATAGATGCATGAAAGGGAAGAAAAACATTATATTTTTTTGAGTATGTTTTAAAGTTATGGGTAAATTATGGATAAATATAATGGACGGCAAAACTACTAAGAATATAATGATTGAAACTTGGAAAAGCCTTGTTGAACATCACAAAGTAACCTGTAGCATTTTTGATGATCTTAGTTGTAATCTACCTCTTGTAATCGATTAGCGTTTTCTAATACTAGGAATTCAGGTTGTGGAACAAGATTTTCAGTCTCTTACTAAGAAATCTTTGGTATTTGCTACAATTGCAAAGAAAGCTTTTCAAACTGATTTTAAAGTTTATGGGTTGCAAACAGTTTGGAATCAGTATGATGAATTATGAAAAAGAAAAATGATTCATTTTCTGATACTACCTTCAAAATGTAAATTATTGTGTGGGTTGGAAATTTATAGCCATAATCATGCTAAATTCGTTATTTCCTTAGAAAAATTGTTTGTAAGTTTTAGATTGAAGGCTTTCTTTAACTTCTTACCATCATCATTATTATTAGTACTCTCCACGGGTAAACTTCAGAGTGTGAGCAAGATTTAAAAAGAAAAAAAAATCTGTTGCATTGTTGCTTTCTTCCATGTATTTGCTCATTCTATCAAATCCATAATTGAACTTTTGATCTTCATTTTCATTTCCTCAGCAATATTGGCTATTTAATTATTGATAAAGAGTGATGTAATTCGAATTGCTAAACCTTATTCTGCACTAATGCAATGTAGTATATTTTTCAACGCTTTGGTAAATTTTGAACATTTCTTCCAAAAGTATAAAATGGTATAATTTTTCTTCATCTGAAATGACATTGGAATGCTGGATACATTTAAAATTATGTATAGATTAGCTTCACAATGAAGAAGAACAAGTAACAGTAGGATGAGGCAAGAAGCCTCCGCTGTTTTCATGAATTCTTCGGAAGCTTTCATAAAGTACTTCCCAGCATATTGAAATTGCTATTTTTTAAAGTTCATCAATTCTTTTCCGTTGCATCGAAGTAAGGAAGTGAGAGAAAGAAAGAGTAAAGTTTTTGAAATTCGATATTTGTATAGAGGGTAAATTTGTGACAATTTTTTTTGTTATATTTTCATTCAGGTTTAATTTGTATGTTTCATTTCTGTTACTGGTAAAACCGGTCGGTCTTTCATTAGACTATAATTACTATTATTACTTTGCTTATGATTTAAGCATATCATTTCATTCAGCACCATGGGACAGTGTCAGTATGTAGTGGACAGTCTTCCAGCATATACACCTCAATTGGTTGCTTTCTTGATAGCTTTAGTGGAATTGATCATTGTTCTCATCGCTTATATCGCACGAGAAACTCAAAGAAAAAAGGTTGTTGATAGAAATTATGCCAGCAGTGGAAAATGAAATAAATTTGTGAAACTTAAAGCTAAAGAAGATCATGTATTTAAGTGTTCAATTAAGTTATATTCCATTAATTAGGCAAGGTATAATGCAAAAGAATGGGATTCAATGCTGGAACAAAATACAGACTTCGCCGGATTCTATTTCTTCATTTCCTAAATTAATAATTAACACCTAAAGATAATTGGATTCCATTCAATAATTCTTTAAACTGTAATGACTTCACTCATTAAAGTATTTTGATTTTCGGGATTAATGTAAATTCCAAGTTTTACGACACTAAACAATTCCTATGTTTATCTTCCAAACAGACCATTATTATTTTAATATTATATTTGAACTATCTGCTAGTAGCAGTAGCAGCCTGTTCCTCTTGAAGACTTTTTATGGACGTGAAGATTTCGAAGATATTCCAGAGGAAGAGAAAATGGAACATGAAGGAGCTATTATGGGAAAAAATAACGAAGAAGTATGAATTAATCTGCAAACTTCAAATATAAAAATTAAAGGGAAAAGTATCTAATACAAACAAGAATGTCAGAAAAAAAAGATTATATCATCAACAGTTTTCATTATCATTCAATTGTAATACTCTCGAAAATGATATTATAATCATTTATGAGCTAGATAAGCTCATGCATTGCTTAATTTATACAACACATTAACTATAAAATTTTAAAAGAAGCAACAAAGTTTAAAAAAAAAAAATGCTTTATATTCAAAATAAGTATTTTAAGCTTCATATCGTACAATCAACAGATCGAACAGCAGAGGTAGACGTTGGTGCGGTACCTGCATCAAGTGCTGCTGCTGCTGCTGCTGCTGCTAGTGGTGTCAAAGTAATGGTACGACGGAAAAAGGCTATTTCGTTAGTGAATTCTTTCTCTCTAATTTAGATTTGGATAATCAATAAATTCATCATATATATTTATTATAAGAAAATTCTTACAGCGAGCAAACTGATTCGCTGACCAAAGAGGTAACTCCTGCAGATGCAAAAATTATCCGTTTCACGTTGGAAATTGATTCAACAGCTCGAGGATTTGAATTTATCTCTGTGCTTCAGGTATCATAGAATTCGCATACTGTCAATTTTTTCTTTTTTTTTTTTTAATTTATTAAATTTAAATATGTGTAAATGTTTATTAAACTTTCAATTATCTTTATAATAACTGGAGAAAATATGCCTTTTAGTCTTTGAAAAAAAGCTTAACTAATTCATTCATCATCATAGATCTTTTTAAATCGTTTAAATTTGAAGTTGCATTTTCCTTATTAATTCAATTAAGCATATAACATTAAAATCTAGGTGAATTTAAGAATCTATCGAAAGAAGATACAAATGATTATTGTTCCCAAAATATTATGCAACAAAAGTTTACAACAGATTGTTATAGAGCGCCCTTCAAGAAGTCAGTGAATTTAAACACATTCGATTTAAACTAGCCGATGAAGCCCAAGATCGGTTATGTGATTTCCTAGTTCGCAAAATGCGGTCAATTTTGGAAGAGGTTTCCATGTTGAATTTATAAGTTAGAGTTGTAAAAATTGTTAATTTAAGCATCTAAACATCTTTTATAGAAATTACTTTTATGAGCACCTGATTTCTACGTTTAGATTATAAATTCGCTTTCAAAAATTTAAAAAAAAAATAAAATACTTCTTATTGAGAAAATTTGTTTGTTTAATGATGAAGTGCTCCTTATTGTTGATTGGTTGGCATAAACAAATCATTGACTGACATTATACGATAACTGTTGGACAGTATCAAGGTAATATCATAGGTAGGAATCATAGGAGTTCAGATTAATAGAATATAACGAGAGTACTAAGACAAATCGAATTAAATCAAACATTAATCAATAAAATCTTTTAATCACGTTTTATAATGGGCGTTGGCTTACAACAAAACGTATGATTAAAGTGAGTAAATAAATAGTTGTCACTCTTGATTGACCTTTGCCCTTTGTATAGTGGACAGTTGATTTATAAAATTATGTAAATTACTTGTAAGAATGACCTTCGAGTGGAACACCCCTACTTCATTTAGATATTGTAGATAGGATTGCTTTGTAACAAAGAAAGCTAATTGAGCAACGAGCTTATAACCTTTGAACCATCGAATATAAATTTGACTGTCACACTGAGAACTTTTAACAATAAAAGTGGAAGAATCTATTCACAACGTATTAAGCAGTGACATACATCCTAGACAATGCACAGAAGTACAGTTACCATTGAATGATGAATGTTGGATAAATCATTTCTCACTTAACCTATGAAATTGAAATAGTTTTGTTTAATGAATATTCAAATAAGACAACCTTCACATTATAGATTTCCATCTTATATTTAGTATAAAATTACTTCGATATATTATAACTTTCGCGACATATTCAACTTATATTTTGCATCAACAACATCCGATTTTTTTGTTATTGTAGCAAATAATGAATTTCAAATTCAAATTATAGTCAACACAGCGTAAATGGCTGGTGCATGGAGTAATCCACAATAGAACTTGGAAAGTAAGCGGATTAGAGAATTTGCTAGAAAAAGGTGGTGATATCAGAACACAACAGATGCTTCGTATCACTGCGCAAGGACCAATTGCGCCCATTACTATTCTTGCTTATATGGTATGTTAATGCTGGACAAGTTAAATTGGAATATTTTTTCCCAGAAAAAAAAATCAATCGTCACTATATGATATTATAACTCAGATTGAAATTGACATAAAACTGGAACAGATGAAGAAACAATCGACACCATTAATAATCAGTAAAAAAAGAAGCAAAGTACGTGAAGAATCTCCAACACAGTCTATTTCAAGGTAAAGATGTTCGTTCTAAAATAGCATCCAATATTTCCATATTAAGACAAGAAAAATACTTTCAAATTCTCATTTGTAAATATTCTTTTTGTGATTTAAAAGATAACGAAACCAGAAAAAAAGGTGAAAATATTCGATAAGATATAAAATTTGTTTAATGTTAAACAGTGAAATTATTTGAAGAACATTTGAGAAGACACCGCATATCAAAGCGAAACTTTCACCTGTTACACCAAATATCGCGACACCTGTACGTATATAATACAGTGAATATAATATTACCATCAAATGACCTTTAATTTAAAAAAAAGAATTGATAAATTCAATCAATACAGGAACTAGAAATAATAGTAGAAAACATTAACATCTCCATTATTATTTTTAAATGATTTAAAAATAACAACCGTTTCTCGAGAAAAATAATGATAAGTTTTAGATTTAAATGGATGTTTAGTTTAAAATGATATTACTTGAAGATTTCTAAGCGATAAAGAATCAAGTTAAGAAAGATTTTGGAAATACCCAAAGCTGTTCAATATTAGAAATTCCTAAATGCTTTCGTATTAAGACAAATTATCTTACGACATTGCATACAATGAGTACTATACCATCTGAAAAATTGCCTACAGCGATGGATACTTTTGTCCATTCACGGAGCAGCAAGAAGGATACAGGTCATAGTCCTACGAGTATTAAACAGGTAACTAGCTATTCTTTATGGTACTTCTATGTAGTCTCAACATAGAAATTCACAGAAGATAGAAAGAGTTCTACATTGTGACTCGTACAATTCACATTATTTAAAATGTTTTCCTCCTGCAATCCAACTTATACAGTTACTAGATTCGAACAACTAATTTATACTTTTTCAGAAAAGGACGCCGTCAATGTCATCTAGAAAAGGTTCGGTGAGGCAAATACGAAAATTTTCAACTGTCAGATACAGAACAGCAAGTGACACAGATGCTCGTTCAAGATTTCGCAGTCATCGAAGTAGCGAAAAACCACCAACAGAACATACACAAACCGAACAATGATACAGTCTCGAAATTCCTATCTGTCGAAAATTATTGTTCATTCTCAGATTCCTTTAAAAAATGTTAGTTGTACTGCTCAGTAGGTAAGCCACTACAGTTTAATCGCAAAATTAGATTTTGGTCTATCCCAAGTTTTAAGTTAAGATTTTAATTTTTTTCTTTTTTTTGCATTCTTCTTTAATGCAACGTCTGCTGATTCACAGTCTAGTAAATTCGAAGTTTGGATTATTCATAAATCTTACAATATGTATTCTCATCTTCACACATCCTCTTTCATTAATCCCAATTTGTTTGTCATTTTATTTAATGAATACCTCTCTAAACTGTCTTCAACCGGAACATACAACAATCATGTGTTTTTATTGCAAAAGTTATTATAATGCTTATTGTCGGAGTTGAATATTTCTTCAAATTTATCTCTTTAGAGAAAAGTCAAACTATTAATTCAGAGTTTTCTTTAATCAGTACAATAGTTGGCTCAATGATTGCTATACAGAAAAGTATAGCAATTCCCAACATAGCAACTATCTTAGGATGGTGACAGATAACAAATATTGTTCCGTTCAGAATAAGAACCAAACCATACTGTTACACTTATTAATATTGATATCCCAGAAATTGACCGATTTCTGAAAGGTGGAATTTATATGAAGGAATACAAGAATTTAACACCATAAATGGTTTTTTGGTGCGAGGATGCATGAATATTGAAATTCATAAATTTAATATTCAAACAATTCGTTGATTATAACCTTTTCAGCAAAAGACTACTGATTCAGGGTAACGATTACGAACTAGTCATGGATGTATTAATTAAATAAGTCTAATCGGATGAAATAATTAAATGAAATCTATACTATAAAGAAAAAGTATGAGAATCTAGAACTCGTCTAAAAAACTCAAATTTAAAAGAACAATATTTACAAACCACCTTTCTTCCTGGACATAATTTAGGTCCTCCTTTTGTCAAAGAAGCAAAAATTACAGGAAGAGGAAGTTTTACAACTAGAGTAGTGCATTTAGAATTAGTAGAGAATTTATTTGCAGAAAGTTTCTTGAATGTTTTCAGATTTGTTGCACGACACGGTTTTTCAGAGATGATTTTAACTGATACTGCAAATCAATTCCAGTTAGTTTTTCAAACCTTAAAACAATTCCTAACAAAAACGAAGAGTAACACAAATTCCCTCATCGGAATACCCTACTAAACTTCTCCGCGGAAGTGAACGAGAACAGAAGTAAGAATAAAAGGAATTTTATGAAGTCTTTGCAAAATAATGTTTATACTTTAAACTTTGTTTCCAATTTTATGCTTATGCTGTAAACCTTTACACACTGTTTCCAATAATGTTTATAACTCTTAGCTTCAATCTTACGTTAATGTTGTAAATCTTTATATATTGCTTCCTATTCGGTATTTACATCTTAAATTACTACCCATTTGCTTGTTGTGGCTACAAAATTCCACTACTTATACCTCAATTCCTCTTTATAAAATTTATTATAATGTTGTTTCTATTAATAAAGGAATTATTAATATTTCTGTCTTACATTGTATATTAAATACAAGGTATATATATATTAGATATAGGATAAAATCTACATCCAACAAATCTCCGGAGATCAAGAAAGCTTTCTCGAAGTATTATACTCAACCAGAATATATTTTTAGAATATACGATTTCAAACAATAATATTACCCATGTTTAAGTTAAGAAGAGTTTATCGCACTTCTTATCTTTGGTTTATTTGTTTGGAACAGAAAACAGAGAAATCAATAGGAATAAGTTGAAATCTGAATGGGCATGTGAAAATTTTCAGTTTATCGAAAAATAATTCTATTCATCCTGCGTATCAAAATTCCATTTGAATCGTTTTGTCAAGAGATTTTTAAATTTTCTTGCCCTGTCCTTTAATGCAGCGTCCGCTGATTCACAGTCTGCAAATAAATTCAAAATAAAGGTTTTAAATGATCTTTGGATTATCCGTATGCATTATCCATAAATATTATATAAATAAGTTAAGATCCACCAATTCTCAGCTTGTTCTTAAAGAAATCTGAAGAACTTAAACTTGCCGAAATTCTAGTTTGCCTTCCCAGAATTGCATTACTAAACATATCCTTGCCTTAAACATAACATAAACTTTGTGAAATAAATTTATTGCAGCCTTCATTAGATATATCCTTTGTTAAGCTGTCAGCCATCTGGAACCAATTTCAACTCTCCAATACTTTGTTACAATTAGATATTACTAGTACATTGTTTGTAAAAAGGTACTCAATCAAATTTCGCATAAACTCTCAAAATTTAATCCCGAACTCGAACCACGTAAAATGAAATAAATTTAAATCGCCACTTTACTTACCATTTATGTTTCCGAACAGTCGCGAAAGTGTAGTTGTTAGGAAATTATCTCGCGAAACAATATCGACAAAGAATTCTTCAGGGCATTCCTTTAACTGGAAATGAAGTACCGGTATTAATGCCATATACATTTCTTTATGTTCTATGAGTCCCTTCGTACAGGAGCACAACAAATGAATTAGTCGCTTCCACTGTTCAAAACCTTCATAAACCTATAAGTAGTACATATTCAATCGTGAAATATTCATAAATGAAAAGAATTCATACAGTAAATCAGACACGTTATTACCTGTCCCATCAGGAAGCACACGAATGCAAATTGTAACTCTCCAAGAAATTCGGACCACTCTCCATTAAGATCAACAAGAATTTTGTGCAACTGCCAACTTCGATCTAACGAATTCTCTGCATTTGAAATAGCCTAAAATAGGAGTTTTTAGATAATCAACTTTATGGAAGTGAGCTCTCTTATCGAAAAACTCTCTTAAAACAATCTCGACTCATTCTTAAATCACATCATTTATCCTACAAAATTTCTCCACATATGCCTCATATGGATTAGAACGAAGAAATTGAAAAAACTGTCACAGCACTGCGAGGCTGTGAGTTATGAAACAAATGGTCAAATGTAAAAATTTGTACGAAGGAAAATTTAATGAAAATTAGATGAAGTCAAGTAAACAAAAGGCAAATATTTCTATTTCTGTAATATCCCTATAAATGTGATTCGAACAAGGAAGAAAAGAAAAATTATGGAAACAGTAATAAAAGGTTGTACCTACCACGGAATGCAGTGGAAGTTCGGTGAAACGTATTTGAAAACCCTCTCTAATTCTCATAATAGGAAGACCATCTTTATCCACAAATCGTATCCTCGTTGGATGATCACGATCAACACAAGATGACGGATGCCCATGTACCTAAAAATGCAACATTAATCGACTACTTAAAAGAACAATTTTTCTGTAATGGCTACTTCTACACAGTGTTCCAAATAAAAAATGCTAACAAGGCGCCATAACAATCATTTAAAATTAAAAATGAACAGTTTAAAATCAAATAATCCTTCTTCAAATTTGAGATTGTCATTGGCACTGACTAACTATATAAAGATTGGACAAATCACAATAATTATATAAACAGAATTCATTTGATAACAATGAACAGCACTAGTAGACTAAACTTTCATTACGCACACTATAGGTACATTCCCGAATAAAAAGTATTAATTTATGCGGTTCAATTCGAATTAAGTAGAAAAACACGAGTTAAAAAAACTAGACAGCATAAACAGAATGTTAGAGATTAAACAGAAGTTCGAGGAATCATGCGGAATTTCTTAGGATAATAAAACATGGACGATTAAAAAATCATTTCAAAAAATAGACTAACACCCTCTTTTTCCATCATTTCGGTCTCCAAAGTAACTAATTCCGCTTGACTTGTTATACGACTATATTGATTCTCTGGTCGTAATCTCTCGACCGTTTTTTCTATAAAATTATGATATATTTGAAAGCAATGAAAGTTATCTAGTGCAAGTAAGCAGACGCACAAACCTGTAATATGATTGCTGAGGGAAAACCAACTTCGGTATGCTTCAAAAGGATATGGTGCTAAACCATCATCCATTGATTTCAAGTTCGAACGTATTCTCCCTATCTGAAATCCGAAATTCAAATCTGAGATTGATAGATGGGACATTAGTCTTTCACACTACAATAAGCTTTCAAATACAAGAAAATCATTAAGAAAAAGTTCACACAAAGGATTTTCAAGTCATTGCAATTTCATTTAAAATACACTTCATTAATAAAAAGAAGCTGACTGTAAAAGGAGCTTCAAGAGTTTCAAACAGTTTAACTTACAAGTTACGCTGTCTCTCTTTTTACAAAAAAAGGAAAGAAAAAAGAACAGAGACTCAAGATGCTAATTATTAACTAAATACATTTAAACATTAATACTACGAATATCTGCAATAACACTGCAGCAAATAACTGTTTTGTTTTAAAAAGATTACTGACACTGTTTAACTATCCAAATTAATTCAACTCACGACAACCTAATATGAGTAAGATCTAACACAATTACAAATGGATCTCCCAAAATAAACTTATGAATTAGGTATAAATTTAAAAAAATTAAAATTAATGAGACTATTAGATCCGTAAACAGATGATGATTACCTCATCTGCTGAACATGGCTCAATTATCATATCTTCACGTATCGGATCCCATTTACGTAGCAAAATTTCCTTTTCTTTGAAATGGTAGAAAAAACCAATACGTGGTGCCGTTTTGACGCTGAAGAAAATGAAATGAACGCCCGGAGGGATCATTTTTAAACCAAGAAATTTCGGCCCCACATGCCATGACTTGTAATCAATACCGAATTCTGTTGTTTGAGGTACATTGAGGAAAACCTGTAAAAATTTTCATACTTAAATCCATTTATCACTGAACTCTATGAAATAGCTTACGGTAATGAATTGAATCAGTTGAGAACAGTACAAGAACATCTTCTCATTAAAATTTGGCATTAAAAGACGCAAATGAACTTTCTATTATCAAGTAGGATATTAAAACTATTTCCAAAGGACTATAAGATTCATTAAGAGATAGAAAGTAATAAATAGGCATTGAGTAAATCTCTATCTTTTGTTCTTACAGCAAATAAGTATTTCCAACATCAATGAATTCAAACAAAGTATCACTTACCATAAATGCGCCATTTTCATACAAATGATTGGCAAGACTTGGAGGCATATCCGATGCAGATGTTGTACAGATGGATGCTGCAACGGATATTGCATCTGTCTTTTTCTTAATCATGATGAGTCAAGCTTATTATGAAGATACAAGATCCAATCTAGAAAAAACAAACAAATAAATTGAACTCCAAAAAATAAAATAACTTTCAAAAACTTTGCTTTAACTACCACATCTTTTTACTGTCCCTTAAATTTCATTGCTTAAGTTCCTAACCGATGTATCACAGAAAAGCAACACCTGGGACATACTAATTAACCCTAATTAACCGACCGATAACAACTTCCTTGCCCTCCCAACTTATCAGTTTAAACTCCACCAATGACAGTGCCTTAATTAATGCGGCCCACAAACGAAATACCTTGCAATTGCAATGAATTAGATTTTGTAATAATTTATCGTACGAATTTATTTATTATTAGTGAGTGTACAAAATGATAATCAGCATATTTTTCAATTCATCGTATTTCAGGCGAAAATTTGCATATTAAATTAAATTATAAAGTTAAATATAAAAATTTGAAAGAATATGGAACAGTCATTACCGTGTACATAATGCGCTGTTATTCTGTTTTATCGGTGTTTTTTGTGAGTGCTTTTGTAATTAAAATCGCTGTAGCTAATCGACCATTCAATTGTGTAAGTTGTTTAATCTCTTAGAAGGACTAACGATTATATTACCTTACAAATGTAATATTTTCATATGTATCCAAAAAAAGTTATAAAAAGACGAAATAGACAATTCATGCCTCACCTGTGCTAGCATACCTTGTGCTGCATTTTGCAGTTTGCAAGGATATTCTATCTGTTTTTTTTTCATTCATTTATTTTTTAACTATTTTGAATTTTTTCAAAAATCTCTAACTTATTTTAAGAAAGTCGTTTTAATTATAGGGTTAAAAATAAACAATCATATATATCTTCCTGTTATAGCTCACATTTTAAAAACTAATCCATCCGTGCATTCTAATTCTGAATGAATATATTAATTATAAAATTCAATTATCTTATATCAATCATCTCATTCGAAATATTACTTTTAATAATGTTAACTTAAAATACCAACAACTTGACTTGTCTCATCTCATAGCCATATTAATAACAAAATTAGATAATAATATCTCAATCAATTGCTATGGAAATGAAAATGTAATGTAATGAAAAACTGAAAATGAAAATATAATATTAATCTGAAATGCAAACAATCGTACATGAACACATGCATAAATCAATTAAATGATCGAATTTGGAATAATTTATTTCAACAACTCTCTTTTTTTTTTCCTTTTTTTGTTAATTCGTTTACTAGTGAATCAGTTTCTCAAGAAATTAATTAATTAATTAATTAATTGTTGCTTAATATTTGTCAGTTGAATTATGAGATTTGATTCGTATGTGAAAAGTACAATTGGAATAATTGCTAGTTAATTTATGCCCAAATTTTTTATTTTTTTCTTGGAAATGTAATTCATAAAACATATTTGTAAAAACATTTTTTTATTTGAAAAACTTTTACCAAATAATATGGGAAGAAAAGTATGATAGAAAACTATTAACTAAAATTATTACAATGTGTGCACTTTCATCTAAAATGAAACATTCGATTTGTTGAATATCATTTTTAGTATTATTGTGATATTGGGATAGTCCGGCTGTAGTCCGGTTATTGTGGTATTGGGATAATCCGGCTGTAGTCCGGTTGATCCAGTAATCTTGTCAGAGAAAAATAAGTGTTTTCTGAGAGCCAATTTGACTAGATTAACATCTCTGAATGTGTTAGATCAGTCTATCATACTCATATTATGTTTGCATCCATTGATGATTTCTGATAGAACTGAAGAGAATGAAACGGATATAAGGTAACCTTTCACCTTCTTTTTATCAGTCTTCCTCTCTCTCTCTCTCTCTTATCACTGATAACATCCTTATGTAATATCTATAAGATAAAAGAACTACATTAACAGTTCGATACAACCAATTACAGCGAGGATATTCGGAAATTGATGATAGAAGATATATGAAAATATATGCAGAGGATGGAATTCAGCCAGGTGAACAAATTCGACTCCTTGTTCGTCGTTTTCCAGATGTTAATGCTGAAGCGTAAGTTCTATCTTTAAGAAATCATTTTAATCTAATTTTTCATCCTTTGATTGGATTAACTTATTAAAACGTTCATTAGCAAAAATGGGCCATTTATTTCAATCTATAACTGCTAAATTTATTTATGATAATAGTCATTTAAATAAACTTTATTATTATTACATTTACATTTATTATATTCATGCAGTTGTAAAGCAAATTTGACAGTAAAGAAGAAAAAATCAAAATAAAGAAGACAGCAATGATTTATTAAGTAACTTTATTAAGTAAAATTGATATGATCGACTTTTCAACAAATAATCTTATCCGATTAATTGAATTTCTGATTAGGCTTTTCTTATTCAAATGTACATATTACTCATTCTATTCAATTTTTCTGCTTGATTTTGTAATATTGCATGTCATACTATTTTATTTTATTTAATCTCTCGTTCATTTATTTCAATTTTCTAAAACAAAAAAAAAAAAAAAAAAAAAAAAAACGAAGCCTAGAACAAGATTTCTGTGTAATAAACCAAAACATAATTTTGTTGAGTTATTTTTCATGATACTAAACAGTTAACGATTTTCTGAGATTTTTGGTGTGAAATTCTCTATACATATCTAATGTTACAGATCTATTTTCTGACCTACAAAAATTATTAATTTGCTAACAGTGATAGTATAACAATTAATTAAGCTGGAACGATATAAAATTAGGGTTTCTATGAAAGTTGTTGAATTCAAATTTAAAAAAAATAAGAAAATTAATGCTAACATTATCTTACAGCTTTGATATAATTCAAATAGGATATTTGGAAAAAGGCAGAACTTTGAACTTATCACATGGTGGCGGCAATTTTTTGCCCAAATATCCGTTTTGGTTTGATCGTGAGAAATACTTGATGTCTATAAGAATCATTCACTGGATATACGAAAAAAGGATCGTAGTGACTAGAAAGCTTTATAATTCGATTGATGTTTGTCGCTGTTGATTTGCTTTTCTTTTTTAACTTTTGTTTACTAATGTTATTGAAGCACTTTGAAATAATACCATTTAAAAATGTATGTTATATGTAATCGTATGTTCATTATCATCATTAACTGATCAATGATTTGATTTAATTATTGATGCTGAAAAATGATAATGCTTATAGTTCACAGCAATTGGTACATTTCAAGAACCAGAACAATTTTTTTATACATATGAAGGATACTACACAGAGATAGTTTATGTTATTGGTTATTCTGATCGAATTGTTGATCATTCTCATTACTTCTATGTTCAAGGCAAAAAAACATTTAAGTATGACGTAAGCACTGGTTAATATTAATTCATATAACTTCTGATTCAAACATAAATTCTTTATCATTTATAATCTTAAAATTTCAACTTGTTCAAATTTAGCCATTTGTTATCTCATTTTCACAATTATATAAAATGTATGATCATATATAAAATATATTCTTTCTTAGCTTGTTAATCAAAGAGGAAGAAAAAAAAATTTCTTTTTGCAACTTTGATGGAAATATTTATTTTAACAATGCCAAATATATTTCTGTCTTTTTTTTTTTTTTTTTTGATAATTTAAAAATGATGAAAATTTCCATGCATGAAATTCATTTTCATTTTTCTTTACTTTTAGCATTTCAACATTCCACGCGATGTATTCAATAGCTCAAGTCCAACTACTTTTAAAAATGCAGTTAGTATACAAAATACTATCGAAGCATATCGAAATTATGTGGGCACAGCAACTGGTTATCATGGTGACACGGACAAACTAATCTTGCAATCAATGGGCTTACCAATGCCATATCATGCAACATTTAACTTTGGTGGCTTTTATATAAGTAAGCTTATCAGTAGCTAATTTCTAACAATATAGTAAGTTAATTAATTGCTAAAGAAAAAAAAAAAACAGATTACTTTATGAATACTTTCTGTTTACTGATCATTTCTTTTAAAGATAGTTCATCCCTTACAATGCTTTTGTTTTTGATAATACTTTTATGTATTTTTTAGTGCTGCTTTTTTTTTTTTTTTTTTCTTGTTATCTTTGATATTACAATAGTAAGTAAGGGTTGCAGATAAATGTTAAATGATGAATTATGATTATTGAATTGTAAAAAAAAAAGAACAGATGTTTCTATTTTCTCGAATTAAAGCCTTTATTTTAGATACATTATACAAATTGAGATTTGTTCCAATACTTTTATTTCTTTTGCTAGAAGAGGGAGAGAAAGAGAAGAAAATAAGAGGAAAGAAAGAATTTTTTTTAATATTCTTTTTTAATATCGTTCTTCTTTGAAATATTCCAAACATTCTTTATCTTATTTTTCTCTTATCTGTACATTAATTAATCTTTTCAGGTCAACGGGCACATTTTGCTGGTTTCTTCACGAATACAGTCATTGCTGAAATTAAAACTGCTTTTAGCACATATGTATTTTATTTGCATAAAAATAGTGTATGTAAATATTTAGCTATTTTAAATAATCGGAAAACAAAAAGTGATATGCCTTTTTTTGTTGAGTTTACAATAGAAGTCCAAGGGAAGTAATCAAGAATAATAATTTATAATGAAATATATCATGTAATATAATATCATAAAGAATTGAAGTAATGGTGACAGATGAACAGATGAGATTGTTTTCTTAAAACTATTATTTATATTTGAAAAGTTTGAATATAATATATATCTTATCAGATCTTCTATGCATAAATTAATACTGCAACGAATATTAATTTTGAAAAGATCAAATATTTTTTAGTTCATATCATCTATTACTTCAAATAGATTTCTTTTTTTCCTTGCCCCCATTTATTATGCACCTTTTTTTTTTGTTGATGGAATTTAATATTATACCAAAAATAAAAAACTAACAAATATTGACTAATTGTCGAATATGACAATGTATATTAAGCTAATGCTGTTTATTTCTCCCTTTTTCTAATAATTTATTAAATTGAAAAAAAAAAAATTATTAAAAAAAAAGAAATTGAAATAATTGAAGATTTTATTACATATTAATTTTATCGTTTAGGTGGTATTCAACAATATCACGATAAAGCTGGAAACAAATCTTTATACAGATGAAGTGTTTGATCAAATTGGCAGTATATCATTTGTAAATGCAGGAGAAGCACTGGCGGTATGTTACTTTTCATTTTCTTTTAATTAACAGTAATTAATTTTGCTTCAAAATATACAACGATAATTTTTCACTTATAAAAGTATACTCTTTTATACAAAAAATTTAACAAATTTTGCGTCCAATTAGAAAAAAAAAAAAAAGAGAAATAGTAATTTTGTTCTTTTTTTTTTGACAGATTGTATATAATATTCCACATCGATTTGATTTTATGCTTATGCATGAATCGGTCTTCTCGAAACAGATAGCACAATTCAACATAAAATGGGATGGACCAATAACGGAAATTATTCTTTCCGATATATTACAAGCAAAAAAACCTGATTCAGGGCATGATCTTGTTTTTGATAGCATAACATTACTTCAACATGTTGATATTGATAATGAATTGATCGAATAATGATCACTGATATAAGTGTTCAATACCAATCATTTAAAGAATGGAAAAGAGTTGAGTTGTGATATAAATTTTTCTACTTGTGATGCGGTTGTAAAATAATTATCATCAACAAATCTGATTACAGTTATTGTTATATGTTGTTTGCTAATGAGTAGGATTTCTTCTACTGATAATTCATGCAGAGATTGATGAGATAATCAAGTTAGCTTATCAGAAATATAAGAATTGTTGATTAATAGTTAACAGCTCTCTTTCTTATTTATTATCATCCAGAAATGCAGGGAATTTCTATATCATATACCATCATCATTCATTGTTAATGAATATTTCTCCATTCATGATGATATTCTTGATGATATTTGAACTTGGCTGTTCATCTGTTTAATTTATTCTAATTCATGCACTATTTTATTTCACATTTTTTCTTTTTTTTTTGTTCCATTATTAGAATTAAAACATTTTTTTGTTTTTTTTTTTTTTGCTTTTAATTTTTATATCAACAATTAATTTTTTATTAACATGTTTTTAAAATTGTGATGAATAATTAAAGTATAATAAAGCAAAGAGAAATAATTTTTCCAAAAAGAATTTTTGAAAAAAAAAAGAAAGCAATTTTTTGCAAGCTCGCTATTTTCCCTGATATATTATGATAAACATTTTCACAGTTTTATATCATTCATGCTCAAATCTCTTACTAATTTAATTTTATGATGGATTAATTAACATGAGAAATTCCATCGTAATGATTTCCGATCGCTACATCGTGCATTCTATTATTTTCCGGATTTCCTGAATTATTTCGTGATATATATATATCATTCATTGCCAAAGTGATGTGTTAATTCTTCATCTATTTTTATAAATAATGTAAATTAAAAAGTATTACAAACTGATTTAATATAAAGTATTACAAACTGATTTAATCGAAATGTGAAAATAATAAGAAAATATTAGAGAATTCTGAGATGGTCGTGAGCTTCCGTGGCGCAATCGGTTAGCGCGTTCGGCTGTTAACCGAAAGGTTGGTGGTTCAAGCCCACCCGGGAGCGTCCAGCGCTTTTTTGCAAGAGCTAAACAGTTGCTTTCATTTCATTGTTTGTATAATTTCTTTGCTTTCTGTACGCCATTTTCAAAACTCAGTTAATTACTGTCCGGAAAGGGTCGGAATCGTTCGGCATTTGTATTTCATTTCAGGAAAACTTGCCCAATATGATATATGTATACTTCTTCTAAAAAGCATTAATTTTTGGGTGTAACTTTACAATTTACTGATGATATATTTGTTGAATTCTTTTCTGCGAAATAGCGATGATACATCAATCATTTCCCGGGATGTCCTTGAAGTTTAATTAATTTTCAACAAAGTAACCTTGAAAATGAAGTTTTCTCTACTGTACCACCGGATGTAGTAATTGTATACCATAATCATTCCAATTTTTTCAGCATTAATAGAATCTTTTAGGTCTTATTTGATATTCGAAATATTTCTTTTTCGACATGGCGATCATTTTTTCGACATAGGGATCACTTTCTGTTATGACACATATATCTCCAGAATTCTGCTAATTATAGGCTGTGTTTTTTTTTTCCATTCCAAACGAACCAATACCAGTAATGAATTTTTTATGCCGTAAATAATCTTCTCCGAACTTTTGTAACGTTTTTCGACAATAGTAAGGGAAAAGCCAAAGGAGAAATTCACTTTTAAATCACTAAATTAATTAAATTATTTCGATCAACTCACTCTCGACATTTAAATCCATCTCAAACATTCGATAATTATCCGATCTTGGAAATAAGTGTGAGCTACTAATATTTTAAATTTTAAAACTTGAATATCACAGGCCATTTAAAATTTACAGATGAGCAGAAAAATCTTGACAATAATAATAACTACAAAATATGGACACGAATAACATTTTTAAATTAATTTTTCGCATATTATTGCTTCAAAAATATCAAGCAGTTTGAGGTTTCGATACGATTAATGCAATTAAAATTACAAATGTATATGATGAAAGTACTCATCAGTTTCAATTTTATCCATTACAATTTTGAAAAATCAATCAAAATAATCAGCAACTTCAATGTCTGGATCCAAAAGACCTTCTTCTACCTGGCTGATGTCAATTTGATTCAAAATAAGGTTTTCAATCGTCTCTTCCAGATCCGTTTCACCAACCAGCACTGCACCTTCAAAAAGAAAAGATCTGATTTTTGAATCACTAATTTGTACGAAATTTCATTCTGTAAATTAAAACTATTTGTTAAGCACTTCATTGTCGTTACATGTTTGGAAAAAAAAAAAGAAAAAACTTCATTTTGAAATGCTTCCAATCTTCCAATACATAATGAAAATATGATGCCAAATTATATAATCACAAACCTTGTATACGTCCATTAGCAACGATAAGTTTCACATATTCAGTATCCTTTGTAATACGTAATAATATGCGAAATGGTTTTTCTACACCTTCACCATTAAAACGGCCCAGAAAAATGACCTGTAAAGGTGCGTAAAGATAATATATGCAAAAGAGTTGTTTAAAAGGTAAAGGAATGGAAAGTACATAGAAATGAAAAAAAAAAAATAGTTTTTTGCAAGCAATTTTTAAAAAAAGCAAAAATAGGCTGAGAAAAAGAAATTTCCTCAATACTCATTTTCACTATTTTTTGCTTGTAATAATGCTTTAATAATACAGTGATACTATTCCTAGATATATATACTAACAAAATTTTTTTTCCTATTCGTAAGTTAACTCATTCATTCAAAATTTGAACCTTGAATCCAAAGAAAGATGTCACGTGGGTGAACATCTCGAAACAAAAATCAAGAGAAATTGCATCTCCTAATACCATTGCACGACCACAATATGCACCCATTTGGCGTGCCTGTGTCCATAATCTCATCTATAAGTTAAAGTTTTCTGTTAAGCCTCAATTCCCGAGATTAATTTACTTTGAATTTTTCATTTATAGATGCATATTCGGGATTAATACGAGGAAATCTACTTATTTTCCATCTGAAAGTATACTTTGGATTAGATAGATGTTCAATACATTTGCAAGGAAATGCTCAAATTAGAACTCGATTAATATTAATAAAAATAACCTGCATCCAATGTTTTGCCCAGGGCCAACTTGCGGTACATACATCTCCACATGCATACACATTTTGAACGGACGATAACATATGTTCGTTTACAATTATTCCTCCATCATTTGCCAAATTCAACTAAATGAAATATATAACAAATACTATCTATTCTTTAATTGTCATTTTAATAGCTAATTCACTACCTATAAATTAAGAACATATCTGCTGAGAAAAAAAAATGTAAGCATCTCTGCCTAAACAAATCAATAATGTATCCTTCTGCATAATAATCCTTTGGAAATATCAAAACTTACTAAGTGACAGTCGCGAGCCCAAAGATCAGAATTTGGCTGTACACCAGTAGCCTCAATCATTAAGTCGCATCCAATTATCTTCCCATTGGTCAATTCAACATATAAAGGCCATACGCCGCTAGAAAAATTAAACCCATCTTTCTGAACGACGACATTATGCGCAGTATCTTGAGACACAAATCCTTTCAGTTCGACTTCATAGATTACATGCACCTGCCGGTCCTTAATAATAGATAATTATGTGTAACGGACGAAAGCAAATAAAGTTTCATTTTATATTCTAAATTTTGTTATTTTTACCACTGCATGTGCAAAAGGAAAAAAGGATAAATTGAAATTATGACTTTTTGTCAAGAACTAGCTATAGAATTCGCTCATGGACAAACACATATTTTCTCTATAAGATGCAAGTAATAAAAGAAGAAAGCCTAATTGAAGCAAGCATATATAAGAGAGGATGGATAAGATATATAAAAAATGTAATATACACTAAGCGCTCCGGAGATATCGGCCGTTGACGCCCATTCAGGTCCAAGTGCACAACCCACGACACCACTTTCCCCTTCGTTTTCCACAGTAAACCGGTATCTTTTTGGTACTGTATTGTTTGACTTTTCTTTTCTCCAACCATGTACGAGCATTGGTTTAAAGAATTCGGCAGCTCCCTCATCAAAAAATGTCGCCGATATTGAAGAATGGCGGATAGCCCATATAATTTCGATATTTTTTAACTCATGCCTAAACAATTGAAATTAAACAATGAACTCCATAAATCGAAAGGAAGTACAAAGATGATCAAAAGATAGGCATGTACATGGCTCAAACGAAGGAACTAGAATACAAGCATGGAAACAAATCGGTTCTACAAAAATTACACAATTTCCGTCGCGATTCCACCATTACCAATTACAAGTACTCGTTTTGCATCCTTAATTCGAGTCCTTAAACGATCCACGGTTTCCGTGTCTCTGATTGAAATAGATAACGCATGTTGAAAGTTTGCCTACAACATTATTTGACACTGTTTTCATCAAACAAAATAGCCCCCTCCATTTATTCATTCGCCTAAAAGGAAAAAATCATCAACATATTTACTTTTGGTCGGCCTCCCGTAGCTATACACAGTTTGTCGTATGTAATTCTCTCATCGTTGTCCAATAAAAGTTCCTGAAACAAACTTTCACGTTCATTTAATCTAATTATAAATTGTGATTACGATTGTGATTAATCAATGATCATAGATCAAACTTGTTATCATTAAGTACAAACTAATCAATCACTCACAAGATGAAAGATTTCACAAATTGTTTTTTAAAGGATTTTGATTCATAAACAGTGACCAACAGTTTCAACAAACGAACAAAAGATAATCTAAACTTACTTTGTTTTTCCAATCCCAATGAGTTACGGTTGCTTTCACGAATGTAACATTAAGACCAGCAAAGACACTTGTCACTTGCTGCTCAGCAATATCAAATAATTCCGTCAACTGACCAATCTAAAAAACCAATTTAGAGTACTAAAAGTAAAAAAAAAAAAAATAAATAAGAATGAAATACAAGGTATCCAAGGATTGGAAGTCCTACTAAATATACCTAAATGAGAAACTAAATGAAATGTTAAGAAGCTGTAAGATAGAGTTAATCAATAAAGGTATTAAATAAATGGAAACAGTAAGATATAACTGGCAATATCAGTATAAATTAATTGCAAATAAAAACAAAAGAATGATTACTTTTTGTTGGTTAACAACAGTTTTAATCAATTGACTACTGGATACGACAATAATTCGTGCCTTGTCATCCATTGCTCGTAATTCTTCCACACATGATACAGCAGCAACGCCACCGCCGACTATTACATATGAGCAAGAAGCCATCAGCTATTACCTGGAAGTGATTTACAATTATTTTTTAATAACAAAAAAAAAAAACTCTTCTACTAGAAATATTTTATCTATTACTAGTTATAACATACCAAATTTTCCTTTGCATTTGTCTCTTCTGATTTCATAGTATTTTCATAAAATTCACTGAAACATCTATCAGCTTTCTCTAGCATCTATCTTTACTTCCTTCCTAATCTTTCAAAATGAACAAGGAATTAAATTTCTCTACATTTGTTTACAAATCTCTCCATCCGCCCATTCGAATAATATTGTTGTTTGGCCAAATGAAATTATTGTTTATTTAAACAACATATTAGATGAATTACCAGAAAACTTCTTTGATATATCATCAAAAGTGTGAAGAAAGGCAGTTTATTTCGCGAGTTTTCTTAAAATAATTCGAAATCAAAATATAAGGCCACAACAGAAGAATTATGCAACATGTATGGAGAGAAATCTGTTCTTGAAACAAATGAAAAAAATAATTACTCGAAGCACTACAAGCTACTATAAGGCAAATACAAACCTTAGAGTGATGATACGAAAAAGACAATAATCTCAAAAAATCGAATTTAACTGAAAAAAATCTGTAAAATGTTTCTTCCAGTTAAACTTGCCAAATAAGGCTGATATGCAATGATACAATAAAGTGAATATGTAAATAGAAATATCACAGTAATACAAGAATGCGAGATATGATATGATGTTTAAATTTCAGTTACTGTTTTTGTTCCAGGTAACTATTCAGATATTCCAAAATAACATTCACCTCTTGATAATATGAGAGATTAAAATATAATTGAAAGAATGAGAAGAAATATATTTTCCAAGGTTGTCATCTTGAGATTATATTTTATTTAATTCGTTGATAATATCATTCAGTAAACTGCTTGCTCCAATACGGAATAAATTCGGTTCAAGCCATTCTTTACCAAGAATTTTTTCCACCATAGCTTGGTATCCCAAGGCTTCTAACGTTGACTTAACACCACCCGCTGCCTTAAAACCGACCTTCTTTCCTAAAAACCGCTCTGTCAACGTTATATCAATTAATTTTATCTAGAATGAAATATATAATTTTTATAGTTTACATCCACTTTTCCCTTCTTGATAAAATATAACATTTTTCTATCTGTAAAATTTAAGGTTAACTTTTCAGTTAAGCCTCGTAGAGCTGTAATTAGAGTTAACTGGGAGCAAGCTTATAAAAACAGACTTGTCACTGAATACGAGAGTAAGGTGCATATGTGCAAGTTCTTAAATTACAATAAACGAAATGAACGAAATAACCTGTAAGAGAGTAAAACTGTTTGATAGCTTGACATATAACGTAAGCATCTTTATAGGTTGCATTCACTTTTTCCTTCCCTGTTGATGTCTTGATAAAATCGCTACCTTCAAAAAAGTAACATTATTACTACTATATATGAAATGACCTATTCTTACTATCTAGAATATGCATAGATAAAAATACAGTGAACAGAAAGACAAATCACTTAGCTTACTAGACAAACATCTTATTACTTAAACTATTCAGTTTGCATTAATTATAGCACGATAAAAAATTATTATTTTAAATTAAAACTTCATCTGAAAGATAATTTATGAGACAAAAATATATTGTCGATATAATAAAGAATACCTGCAAGCATTGCAACCCAACTAGCACGATATATGTTTTCATTAGTCTGTAATTCACCAGTTGCTAGGATTGTTTTCATGCAATTCGAACCACAACACGCTTTCAAAGCAGCTACTTCATCATATACACCTGCAAACTACAGCTATTCATACGTATAATCAACTATCTATGAAGAAAATTCATCATGTTTTATACTTCCAATCTATTACTCTACGCCATCAACTTGGTTATATTTATTCCGAACTATAATGCAATAGAAGATGACAAGTATGGAATTGCTGAGTAGCTCTGAAATTCATTCAGTGTTTACTCAAAGAAGATAAATTATATGACGATAATTGGGAGATAAAATGAGAATTGCAATCATGTTTTTCCAATTATTTCAAACTTAAACTGGATTAATACAGTATATATCAAACTCGACTTAACTATTCTAAACTAAATTGATACAGCATATCTATTAAAAACAATACGAACGTTTCCAATCTTGTTCATTTGCAGCGTCACGACTGATCACAATATCAATTTCATTTGCTCCATCTTCTACTGCTAATTTCACTTCTAATATTTTAGATTCTATTCGATACTGTCCAGATGGGAAACCTGCTGCCACTAAAATAACTTATTTACTAGAGTTTGCATATATCATATGTCTAGATGTATTCGTAACATAATATGATAAAGCAAAATACTTCAAGATATCATAGGTGATACTACGAAATAAAGGAAAACTTGGGATACCTGAACATATAGCTAATGATTGTTGTTGGCCATACTTCGAATGCAGATAATGTTTAGCGCTTGATATCCGTGCAGGGTAAGCACAAACGGCAGCACATCTCGTTTCTGGCTTCTCAAATAAATTCACTATACTATTAGCAACATAATAATTTTAATTTGAGTCATTTTTGACTTAAGAACTTGAATTAATTCAAACAGCGGTAGAAATTTAAGATCTAAAATTGCGATAGCTTAATAGTTTAGTATAGCAATAAACTCCTTTCCCATTTGCATTAACTCATCATCTACGATATAATCCTCACATTAGAATCTTGAAAATTCAATATTTTGTAAGCTTTCGCTTTTTCGCTCCGTTCTTCCCTTTCCATAGCATATACTAGGAAGAATTTGAACTTTCTGACAATTAACGAACCGTAGGATACGGTAAGACAGCTTTATCAATAAGTCGTTCGATCACACTATCCGTATCATCGCTGTTTAGACTAGTTAAGTCGATGAATGAAATCAGTTTCAGTAAATGATCGCTCTAAAAACAGAAACAACATTATGGCATATGCTCATAAGAATACTTTATTCATAACTATTTAACATCAGTTAATTTAAATCACCCCTTACTGCTACTGCTAACAAGATTAACATGGGATAAAGAATACAAGAATTGATGAAATCCAGAATAAGTAATGAGTAAGAAATTACCATGAAATCTTTATCTTCGTTAATTGATGACTTTTTCAGTTATTTCCTGTAATCTATCAAGGTGGTGATAATTCCGATATAATCATTAAGTAATAATAAGAATAGATTGAAGACTAATGAAATTGCCAAAAAAAAAAAAAAAAATGAATTGATGCTTTTTATTCAATTTTAACTTACAGCACCAATCATCGACTGAGCATGTTGTTTTGCAACATCAATCATCTCTGCTATCACTGATGGCTTCAAAAGATGTATATTTTTGGTTACATCACTGAACTTTTCAGCATCAAAATCATTTTCCATCATTGTTGCTAAAATTTATGCATATATTTTGTTCAAGCTCTCATGAAAGCATTAAATTACTCAAATAATTATGACTACTGATAGTGTGGAAAATAGATTATTACATAACACATTTTCGATTATTCATCATCAATCACACTTTGTTCAACAAAACTAAAAAGTCGATGTTATTATTATTGTTACCTAAAATGCTAAAATTTCCTGATAAGTGCTATTAATATGCTGAAATGATAGCACTTCTATGCTTATCATTCGTATATAATAAATAATACATAAATAAAAGTTTAATTAGAAGTATTAATAAAGTATTGAGTTATCCAAAACTAAGATAATCACTATTGTAGATTTGTGTTATCATCAAGAATAATCAAGCTTATTTCTATATTTCCTATTCTTTTTCTATCTTCATATTACTATACTAATGCTATTTCCTATTCTTTTTCTATCATCATATTACTATACTAAGGAAAATTATTCCATTGCTTTTTTTTTTTTATTTAACTTTTTCGTTGTGCAAAGTTTCTTTTCAAATGCTTTAATTGAGTAATACTAGCATCATAAATGATAGCAATTTAACATATAACATTTTTGATATGTAACAACAGGAATATGCAATTTACACAACTGATATACAACAGATTTAAGGTAAATAAAATGAAGTTGATAAATGAAGATGAATAGTTATTTCCAATTAATATCTAAAATTAGCAAAAGAAATGAAAAATTGATGAAAAATGAAAATATACTAACTGTTGGTTAGAGAACTCAATATTACTTATGAAAATATCATATTGTTTATCAAACAGTCATACAATTTCATTCATTACCATCATTTCATTTCTCTAATAAACTATGAATACAACAATGTTTACCTAAATGCTATATACTATGGAATAAAAACAGAAGTAGTTAGACCAAGAAAAAATTTATATCAGTGATCGAAAAAATTCAATCAGTCCGATATAATGCATAGTTCTACTTTAAATACTCTCTCTGTTCAGTACAAGGTGAACATTTATTGGACATGTAATCAATCAGTTGATTCAAACAATGAGCTGTGTAAAAGTGTAAGTGTAACCACGAATTCTTTGAGTTACACAACTACCAAATCTAGAGTCTTCCCTTCTCGTAAACAACTTAGTGGAAATGAGACATCATACAAGAAGGAAAATGTTGTATTAAAAAAAATAGGAGTATTCTTTTCACTGTCCAAAATATTGTACTGTATTGTAGATCTTACGATGAGTAAATACGTATTTTAAATTTATCATCTTTGAATTATGCAAAACAAAAAAAAAAGACAAATATGTAAGTAAGTAATTTCAACAACAAAAAAAAAAAAGAAAAAAAAATCGAACTTTCGATTTGTTACAATTTGTCCGCTTTTCTTTATTTAAAAAATTTTAAAAACAATGAAGAGTTTTCTCAATAATATACATACATAAACACTTTTCCATCGCAAACAAACAAAATTATCTAACAAATAGAGACAACAATTGGACACTTTCACAATATTAGCAAGAAGCCACGAAGGAAATAAATTTCACAAGGAACAACAAAGAAAAAAAAAAGAACCATAGTTAATAAATAATGAAGAAAACAACTTTTCTAATTAAACATAATAGCCAACTAAAAACTATCCGTTTTCAACCAGCTATAAAATATAATTTATTCTTGTCATGATTATTAACTGAAATATCTTTTTCCTTCTTTCATCTTCTGTAATTTCCTGGATTTCATTTCCGATATAAAAGACACACATATCCTTTAATTTTTAAAATCAAAATAGATAACAACACATAGAGTATTTTAACCATGTTATCACAAGAATCAAACGAAAAGAAAATATACAATGTACTGGGAGATGGAAGAAAAAAGTCTGTTCAAGAACAAACAAAAAACCAGCAAATACAAATCGTAGAACAAAAAACAAATACAAAAAAGAAAAAAGAAACCTCTACACCTACATCCTAAATTTGTTAAAGTTGTGGTGTATGGTGCTTCCCTCATCAATAATCACAAAACATCATCCTATCAAATCTCGGTAAATCAATCGCAAGGAACCAGTCAGCTATCCGGTCTTACCTGCATGATACTGCTGGAAATCCTAACCTTTGCGTAACAAAATACAGTTCTTAAAACTTCTCCACGATAATCAACAACTTGATTACTTTTTCTACTTTTGATTCACTTCAAATTATTTACACTTATAGCGACAATAGTAATATCTGATTCAGGTATAAATACGTTACACAAATGATGAACACTTCACAACCTGCTGTATTATTACAATGTAAAGGACAGTTGTAAAAAATAATGAGTAATCTACAAATTTTTTCACTCTTCAATCCGAATCATCTTTTTAAGACAATACATTTACCAGAGATTCTTCCCAAATTTGATATTTTTTCCTTCACTGAAAGTAGATGAACCATGCATAACTTAGGGACCATAACAACTCATGCACCAATGAAATGGACATGATTTTCTCAAGCACCTAACAATAACAACTCCAGATAGTTTTTTGCATAAAACATTAATCCCAATAAATAAAATCATGAAGATTCGAGAGATACACATTAACTGGTAGTTTGTAACATCAGATTAGAAAATTGGTAAATGATATTGTTAATAATCATCATAAAAGATACATATACATCTTCTGTAAACAATTGAATTATTTTTCAAAAATGGACCACAAATGAGTCATTGGCACAAATGAGTCAATCAATGTACAGTAGTAGTAGTACCGATCAAAAAATAAATTAACCAGTATTGAGAGAGAAAAGTCAAAATACAAGTAGTTATACAATTATATATTCATAAATGAAAACGCAGTTCAATCAACAGAATAATAATTAGCAACACGACAGTTGTATTAAGAGCGCCAATAGTAGCAATTGAAGGTGCTTAACCGTAACACCCAAATTCCAGCGCTGGAAAAAAAGCTTCGTAAAGAAAAACAACAAAAGACCGATGCAGGACAAGCCAAAAAAAGTACTAAGACGGAGGAGAAGTTCGTAATATGTACCAATTAATTAACCGTTCATTAATCTCTTCCAGCATCATTGTAAACTAAAAGTAAAAATACATTCCTTGGAGTGGTTCACTGAAACACGTCAATCGGCATTACGTGAAAATGTTACTTGCTGCGTCGAAATATTATGTGTATATATTATACAATTCATGGAGCTACACTTAGCTAACCTTTCAATCCTCCTCTTTACATACGCAGTTCAAACATTCTTTAAAAAAAAAGTCCCACCTTACGCAATCGACTCAGCAAATAACTTTTTTATAGGAAAAATTCTTTGAAATGTTCCAAAAAACATGAATAGAAGCCAAAGGGAAATAAAGTGCCACAAATTCGAAGGAAAAATATTTTTCCGATATGAAACACTAAATTACAGTATGCATCAGAGATCAATATAACATCATAAATTTTCTGTCCACGAAATTTCCATTTCAACAATTTCTTCCCATTGTTCAAAACATCTTTGAAGACACCACTTCCTCAAGACATTTTATATAATTGAGAGCTACCTTATTTCGACAGACTAATTTGCAGACGTAATGACGACGAATAAATAGCTAGCTTTCTGTTGCCTGAATATTTCCAGCAAATCCGGACTGTTCTTCTGCAGGAATGCAGATGCAAAATCACACGGTGGAAAGATGTGTACAATAGTATTAGGCGTCGGATTCTGCTGAAATAGAGAAATGTTACCAAAATATATTACTACATATACAACGTGATATAGAGCAAGCAGTAGTACGATGTTTACAGTCCACAACCAGATATACCAGCTATTTAACAAATCGAAAAAGCCCTATAGGGGGCCTTTTACAAAAAATAACAGAATCCTACAAATAAATTTTTGATCCATTAGATGTGATTATCGATAGGAAAACCAAAAGAAACGAAACCAAAATGAGGAGTCCAAAAACAAGTATTCAGGAATGAAAAGAAAATAGAATTAAATTGGAATTCCGTTTCCTTAATCTCACAAAACGAAAGTAATGATAATTACGAAAACCTAATAATTATACATTCCACTTTAAGAATAATGACAGAGAAAAACGCAAACTGACGTATTAAATGTTAAACGAGAGGAAGTTAAACTGAAACCTATCAAAATCATTTAAAGATATTACCTCGTTGCCAACGTTGCATATTCCAGCAGCTTGTTTTGATTCCAAGTAATCAACAAAACGTTCTTTGAGAAGCTCGGACTGACTTTTTATATCTTCTTTGCTCGGACCACATGAAAGACAAATCAACGCGATGTACGAATGCTCATCCATCATTTTGCATTGAACACCTATAATAGCAAATTGTTTTGTTCACATAAGAACTGTGTTTTGATAGCTTTGCAATCCTTGCAAAAGGATAACTAATAAAGAATTGAATGATAAAATGAACAACACAAACACGCGACTAACTACCAAGTGGTATAAATGGTGGCCAACATACAGTTCATCATCATCATATAAATGGTAATCCAACATACAGGATCCGAAAAGGTGTGAATAGCATTGCATCTCCCATCACATAAATTTTAACTTCAAAATGATAAAATTTGAAACATTTCACTCTGAATGAAAAGAATTTGCATACTTTCAAGCTGACCCGCTTCCATACGCATTCGCTGGTTAATTCTTATTAATGGCATATGATTTGATGTTGTTGTAAATTGATCTAATGAACGTTTGCACATTTCAGCATTACCGCCAACCTGTAGAAATTCATTTATCATTGCTTGTTCGCAAGAGGTATGAAAGATCTGTCAGCTCAACAATCACTCACTAATGTTTTGGTGAAATCGCATGTTACAGTGATAACTCCCATATCGACGCCATTTCTCAAACAGACAGCACCACGGTGTGGTGAAAGTACAAAATAAAGAAAATACAATGTAATATTACTATACTCTTTATTGATTCATAAATTTATAACTTTCAATAAAAATGCCACATAAAAATTAGGATTACCAAGATTTTCCAGCCTGAAATTTTTCCAGCCTTAAAAATCCAGTCTAAAAATAGTTACCTTATGCATCTGCACACGAGTTTCGTTTGTTTTAAGTGCAATTATTCCTTGCCACATTACCGGATACCGCTGTAAATAGATAAAATAGATGACATTGATCATATAGCATGATAAGAAATTAAACACATTTCTTTTTCTTTTTGTACAAAAAACTATGGAATAAATTACGAAACGGCTCAAGCTGAGAAAACATTATCTGGCTATAACTAGGTAATCGACAATACATCTTAATCAGGATCAGACTTTGATAACTGTCATCACATTTCATTTCATCAATTGAATTAATAAAAGTGTAAAAAGTGCAACTCAATATCAAACGTATAATCCATCCGCTTATAACTTAACTAACATTGGCATATCTGCACTCACTAATTAACATAAAGTGAATTCAGAAGCAGCACCGATATAATATTAGGGTGGTACTTTCAGTTTCAAAACCAAACAATAAAGTGCAGAAAAGTCGAAAGAAAAAACTTACGGCGATAACCGATGCAGCCGGTAGACCAGCATAAGTTTTGACTTGCTGCTGCTGCTGCTGCGCTTGCTGTTGTTTCTGTTTCGATGATTGTTTGACATCTTGTTGACGTTGTCCAGCTCCAACATGATATATTCCCGATTGCCCAGTCATCTGTAATTGCACAATCCTCAAACTTAAGTATGTACTAGAGTGCTTTGCTTGAATATCCTAAAACTAGAAAGTCATATTTTATTATTATTTTTTTTTAAATAATACACCAATAAAATGTACCTGCTGTGTAGAGAGTAATGATGACTCGCACGAAATCGGAAATGCACCAGTGGCAGCACCGTAGAGAGAATTCAGTTGTTGAGCTGCAATATTAGCTTGCTGTGGAGAACAAAGTGTAGTCGCTGGCGAAGACTGTTGATACAGATTAGACGTCAAATATTGCTGTTGCTGTTGTTGAAGATCCTAAACAAAGAACTTCAAGTAAATTTCACCTTGCGAAATAGATGAAAGAAACACAGTAACTTTCCAGCATGTATTTTCATTTTTTTCTTTTTTACCCAAATATCCTATAGTAACTCATTTTTCAGCTTGGGTAATGATAAATAGTATGACTGCCAAATCCATGACGTGAAAGATATGGCTTGATAACTAACAAATATATTTGTTCTCAGACGACGAAATTATACAGCCTTATGTGGTGCAAACGATGAAGAGTTTATAATGAATTCAAAGACGAAAAAGTCGCGATGAAATAACCCCCAGATCTTCAATTTCTTTAAATCATTGCAGAGAAAAAGATAAAGCGACTTATTTGATTAAATAAAAAGATGTCAAGTTTATGCTCTTGAAGAGAAAAGTGCAGTAAATAGTAGATATATCATGTTCTAGAAGCATTATTCTCAACTTACTGAGAAACAAGGAAATTGGGCTAAGCTAACCGCTAAATGCGGCTGCTGTTGCTGCTGTCGCTGGGTATCTTGTCGTACAGTACCAGGCAGTACACCTGCAGCGGCAACGGCGACTGCTGCTGCTGTTGGATTATTCGCTGGTCCTGAATAACCACCTGGTCCATATGCTCCTGCTGCCGCAGCTACGTTTCCACCACTGTAGGCACTTGTTGCTGCTGCTGCTGCAGATCGAAACACTAATGATCAACACATAACTCTGTCATTGCTTTTAAATTAAAGTAGTTGTAAATTTCAGTTATTCCATTTACGATACACCGCATCTATGACAAATGTTTCTGTGTAAGTAAACGCATCATTATAAAAATATGTCGTGTATACCTTGGAAAGTATTAAAGAGTGTTGAACGATACATCTGCTGTAAATATTGCTGTTGCATTTGAGTAAATGGTGAAGTTGTGCCAGGTAAACCGATTGCAAATGCAACCGCTTGCTGTGCAGTCGGCGAAAGTTGTTGTTGCTGCTGTTGTTGTTGTTGGTGTTGCACCGTACGATTTATTTGATGTGCAGTATTTGTCGATGCACTTGATCGACTAGCTTGCAAATTTGATGCAGTTGCACTCGAAGGCGTAGCCCCAGTACGTCCCATTAATGGTGCAGCAAGCGGTGATGGAATTGGATGATTGTGGCGCACTTCTGCGGAAACTTTCCCCTGCTGTTGTTGCTGCTGAGTTATTTGAGTCTAAAATGTGCATATAAAGCTATAAATATAGAATGAATGGACCAACCTAACATGAGCACGAAAGAGTGGATGGTTTGTTAACCTCGATGCTGCATGAACAAGAAGTTTCAATGAAATATTTTCCTCACCAAACATAGATGGCTTACCAAAAAAGCATAAATATATACGAGGAAGATATGACGTTCTGTTCATAAAAACTACCTGCTGTTGGTGCTGTGGTTGTGTTGCTCCGGTTGCCGGTTTCTTCGGTAGATTAGCATATAAATCATAGGGACTGCTACTGATCGATTCTTGGAGCGGCGTTGTTGATAAACCCATTTGTTTGTTCAAATCTAGCTGCCTGGATGCAGCAGCTACACTCTGTGCAGCTACTACTGCTGCAGTGCTACATGTAGAACTCATCATAGGTGAACCGTAATTTATCGATTGCTGTTGTTGCAGGTGTGATTGAGCTACCAACTGGGTTGTTTGCTGTTGTGATGGCGTTGCCTGCACAACTTGTTGGCGCGCATCGGACAACTGCGACACAGCATGTACAGCACCAGCACCTACTGCATTAGCTATATTTTGCATGTTATCTGCGGTTTGCTGTTGCTGCAGGAACAAATGCTGTTGTTGCTGTTGAAGCGGCATCTGAGGTGAAGTAAAGCTGGCTGTGCCAGCTTGCTGAACAGCATTTCTACCTGAGTAATATGATGGTAAATTGCCTGTTGCTACATTCTTTGACTGCAGCGGATGTGATTGCTGCTGCTGCGGTATCGCAGTGGTTCCCTGTACTCGCTGCTCGATCGGAGGTAAGTGTTGCTGTTGAAGATATGTCGTTTCAGGAACTTTCATGATCTGTGATTGTGACTGTTGATAAGTCGTTAGACGAGTACCCTGCTGCTGCTGTTGTTGCATTATAGCTTGACCCATGTGCTGCTGCTGTTGCTGCTGCAGTACCATATGACTATTACCATGGACAATATTTTGCTGAAGCTGCTGTTGCTGCTGAGGCGGTTGCGACAAAAGGCCCTAGAAAAGATCATTAAGACAATAGCATATTGAACTGAAAATTACTTGGTACTCAGATACTTTATAGATTCAACTGAAAAATCGGAACAACAAGCATTCCACTACCAATTAATGTGTTATAAATTAACAAAGAAATTCAAATTTTACTTCCTACACGAAATATCACTGTGACCAACCACTACCATATCACTCATACGAACACATGTCACAAATGATACATATAATGACTTATTCTGTAAATATGCCATGAACCACTTCTCCTTGATGGTGCAGAGACAAAGCAGATCTAAGATCTCTAGAACTGCAAGAAGAAGAAGGGAGTAGAGAACGTATGCATTAAGTATGCATGGTAATTTATAGAATAAAGTTACATTTTCAGAACAATTTCAATTCGCAAAAGCGTATTTAGCAGTGGATTGAACAATGTGGTTCCGAATATTTCAACACAAAATTATAATGGTGTCAACACAAGTTGACGCCATTATAATTTTGATAAATAGAAAAATCGACAGGTACGAATGATCTACGATGCTAAGTACTGTAAGTATACCTGCTGCAAAGTTATCTGCTGCGGCATTTGCAACTGGCGCTGTTGTTGTGATTGTTGCATATGATAACCGCTGCTTCCATACTGTTGTTGCTGGGTATGCGACGGTCCATGTGCAGCACTTTGATAATCATATTGCGATGTTTCGGCACCTCTTGAGAAAGTTGTCGACGGTAGAACTTTCTGAGTGATGCTTCCTTGCGTAGACGCAGCCGCAGCTCGTAAAACTGCTTCCTCTTTTGCCTTCTTTGAGTTTATACGCATTAGTTGCTCAGCATCTACTTCCATATACCCACCGGCCACTACGTCATCAATCACCTACAAAAAGTGGTGCAAAAGATTTTTACAGTGCCGTCCGGACATATTCGAGGATGCAAACCTAATCGTTGCATGTACCACAATGCTACCAAGACTCTATTAATCCACCAGTAAGAATTCCAAGTCAAGAAACAGATGAAGTAAACTAGATTTTCACACAAATGATTAAAAAAAAAAAATTGTAGAGTGGAAAAAAGCCAAACTCATGCTAGCACTCGGACTTATTCCATCCCCAAAAAGATTTTTGTTCAACTCAATTTATCCAAAAAGGAAATTAAAATTCTACAGTCCTATGCAGCAAACCATACCAGCTCACGTTACCACCTCTGTAAGCACATCAACCCAACAACGTCTAACAGCAATGATATGTCATTTAAAAAACAGTAGGGATTTTGCACATTTTTGGGCACATAACAACTCGGTTGCATCCATCCAGTAGCAGCACTGTAATCTAATACTATTGCTAATATCTATCACTACTATTAATAAGAAGCAGTAAGAAGTAAAAAAGCATAAAGCGTTAAACAGAATTTTTCCTGAACGAAAAGTAAGAAAAAAGTAAACGAGCTGAGCAGTAGCCGGCGGAAAGATACGGAAAAATGAAAGAAGTGCAGTGCAGCAAAAATATATCGAAGTGCAGTGATAATATATATAAAATCTATGTGTGAATGTATGGATAGTACTGAATTAAATTAAGAAAGATACCTCGTCAAGATGTGAATCACTTCGCTTATCATCTGTGTCCATTTTACTTTTATTGCCATCCGTATCTTCCAGTTGCATTTCCTGTAATAATTCTTTAGACATTATATTCTTAATAGAATGTCTGAAATATGAGAGATTTATATCTCATAGCACAGGCATTAACTACGTACAGTGAAGCCACGATCCATGCACCTCAAGGAATGCTAAATAACCGTCAAAAATTGGAGCCAACCTATTCTACTTTTTTGTGTAGAGATGGATATGAAACAGCTGTCGTCTTCAGTCAAAGATAAAAAGATAACCAGCCTACTCTTTTAATGATTTATACGAAACAGTCACAACTGCCTCTTCCACCTAAAAATTTCCTAAGTAAAATGAACTCCCAAAAAAAAGTCTGAATAAAAATAAAAGTCTACTTTGTATGTCAACTTACTATTACTTTATTCACATCCTACCTGATGTTCGGCATCTGTTGCTAATTTCGATGTAATAATGTCATCACTGTCGACATCTGCATTATCTTGAGAATCGCTCTCTTCCTGCTGCTTATTCGCACTCAAATCCGCAATTCCTGCTGTATCCGTCAGGCTAGCACGTCTCGAATTTGTACTGCCAACACCTTCACTCAAATAATCCATAGCAGCACTACCATCTTCACCGCTATGCTGACTTCGATTATCGTCTAAAACAATCGACTGCACAGCAAATTCGGTTTCCTGCAAAGGAGACATTATATTTCGACCACGTTTTTCAATTTAACTTAAACTGTTGTGTATCAAAACAAAGTAACTCATCTAATTCTTTGCCAACTTATACTTAAAATAGATAAATCCATCAGCTGTCAACAATACCCAACCTTAAGAACTTTGAACTTTACCCTCAACTCGCTATAATTGGCTTAGCTCAGCATTAACATTATTACAATCTCATACAGATATATAGGGCTACCTTAGTAGTGCAAAAACTAGAACGAGCTACGCACGGTTGGAATTCAAGTCTCAAACAATTTAGCAGAAGTTCATGACTAAAACAAACTCAACTTTCTGAGAGTTATAAAGATTAACACCAGATCTTGGGAATTTATTTACACTTAATCCAGAAAAGATAGTAAAAAGAATTTTTCTCAGAAATATGTTTTTCGAAACACGAAAAATTGTGCTGAACCTCCCTACCGTGCTGTGTTTAACCTGAACCGCATTATATTGACAACAAAGTGCAAATGCTTGCTTAGTGCATAAATTTACGTACGTATAAGACAAATTTTTTGCAGTAATTTTCTTGCATGCACAGACCTGCACATCGTGAACATCATCTTGCACTCGAACGGTAGCAATACATTCAGAACCATCCACATGCTCTTCTACTTCCATCACCGTTTCTTTCTGAAGATGCTCGATTTTATAAGTGGATTCTCGGCGTTGTTGTTGCCTGATACCACCAGAATCACTATCAATATCTTGATCCGGCAATGAATCAACATCACCAACTCGTCCCTCATCAATCAATTCGAAACTTCCGTTGGATTCAGCATCATTCACACTGTCTAAAATACTTGCTCCCGAGCCTTCAACATTTTGGGGTTGCTGCTGTTGCTTCACTACTGCATTACTTACTATATCTGCACCATGAACTGTGAGATCGATAGAACATTCAGCATCTGAATTTGGTACAAAAATGACACCTTCGCTGACCACATCACTGGAAAACAACTTCTCTTCGTTTTCGGCCTTTTCAACACATTCTTGCTCCGTAGCACGACTACGACCAGTCTTGAGTATTTCTGCAGATCCCGAAATCCTGATCTTCTCTGATCCTAAAATCTGCTGTTGGTTTTGATCCTCAGGACCATCTTCCAGCTGAGTTTCTAGATTGGCCGATGATGTTGATAACAAGCTTGTCTGGCCACTTTCACTGCTATTCGTTGAAGACACTGAATTTTTACGACCGATGACACAGCGATCAACATCTCTACCTCCATCTCTTTCATCATCGTCGGATGTGCAAAGCTCCTGTTGTTGTTGCTTTGGTTGATTTTGGTTGCGATCCGTGTTTTCCTGCTATAACATAAATGCAATATGTGTTTCCCATGTTTCTATTATGTTTAGTACATCAAATTATCGCACAGCACAAACTAAGCATTTGTGTTTTTAATACAGTATTAGTTTTGTGCTTTTGGAAATATGATTTTCATAAATCTTTAAAAAACAATAAAGAATATTTGCTAAAATGATTTATGGTAACTTCTTTACCAACAGTACTATCACCATCATTCGGGTAAAATGTTACATGTTATAAAAACCTCGAATGTTTTAAAACATAATACACACTACAGCGCTTGAGGTGATGTAACAGTTTTAAGCGTGCATTATAAGCAAAAAGTAGCATGAAAATTATGAAAACAAGCTGGAAGCAATAAAGTCATAAAATGCAACTTAAGACCATCCAGAAAAGGAATATAAGTTAACAGTGTACTACACTAACTAATCCTCGACGTATATTCACATGCATGCATGCAAAATGCTTTAGAGAACGAAATCTAGCTTTTACTAAATTAATCCTCCCAACAAAAAGAATACACAAACATTGTAAACACTCCCGTTCAAAATGCATTTTGATTTTATTTCTTGGGCAAACACACCACGTTGATTCAGAGTGGAATTTATTGAAGTTTTCTCGTTTCGGGATCTCATTCAAGGCATCATCTATTTGAAGAAAAAGCTACCCCTTTTATTCATTCCTAAAAGTTTTTGACATTCCCGTGACTAATTCAGCTTACACTGTATGTATGCCCAATGATGTTTTCCCAAATGAAAAGGTTGAAGAATATATACTAGATTAATATATAAATCCGAAAAGAAATGTTTATTCATTCTGCATTCTTCCGTTCAGGATCAGCGGAATTTTGGCAGCAAGTTTGAAAAACTGACTAGGTGAGAAGAAACATACGTCCTTATCTGTCCAAATTTTGTATAAAACTACATTAGACAGCATTCTCAACAATTAAGGAAAAATCTTTTCAGTAGTCGTTGTTTGGTACTTTACAATTTACTAAAACGCATGCATATTTTGAGAAAAATGGGGTGAATTTTGTTAGGAAAAAAGATGTAAAAAAAGATGTAAACAATGGCAGGAGAAGTTTAAGGCATAATATTACTACAAAGAATAAGGATTCAGAAAAACACATATAAGGAGATAGGATATCCAAATTTTCGTAATCGAGATAAAATTTTTCAAAGGTTCCCACTGCATGTAATCTAATGAAGTGTAATGAAGAACTAATTATCACTTGCTTCTTTCTATAAAATATACCAGACAAAAGTAAATATCAACATGTCTTTTGCCTATCCCTCTGGTCAAAAAATCGATACTTTTTTTTAACTGTACAAAATGTACAAAAATGGAACCTTAGTTTTTTATCTAAAAGAAAATTTGGTAACGAAGCAGCAGTTGCAAACGATGAAGCCAAAAAGCTCAAGCAAAAGGGAAACACTAAACGAAAAACTTACAGGATGTCTGGATACAATATCATTGTCCGCTGTTACTAAGGGTCTATCGGTTTCCAGCTTCTGTTCCACTGAGTCATACTTTTTAGACTGATCTGACTCATCGTGTGAGGTATTCTGAGGTGAAGGATATTCATTCGATGTAGTATGTAAAATTATATTCGTTGCACATTCCTCCGAAACACAGTCCATTTCCTAAAAATTAAAAATATCTATCAGAAAAAGACAAAAATGTCTTGCTCCCCATACATGTTAAGTTATATTAGTAGTCGAAAGATTACTCGCAAATTATGTTGTACCGTTTGAGAAGAGAATTATAAAACTAAAACGCTTATTAATTAGAATATTACATACGGTGTGCTCCATTTCTACCGTGCCAGGCATAGAAGCGACTGATATTTTTGTTAATTGTGGGATATCAGGTCCTGTGTTCGTACCATCGGACGGCAAATCACTTTTACTTTCCGGTCCGGATATATTATTTCTTATATTATTTGCATCAAAATTCTCGGGAGACTAAAACGAAAGTCCAACTTAAATTGTTGTATTTAATAAAATACAAAACAAAAAAAATTATTTCTTTATCATTTATTATATTTAATTCATCAAAAAAAGTACTAGCTTCGATTTGTAAGATTTTCAGCCAATGATGGTATGTTAAAACGTTGATGTCACCGCTATTACCAACCTTTTGCTAAAAACAAAAATTCAAAATAGATCATCTGTAAAAACTAACTTTACTTGATGGTTCCTGCTTCATTACCAACGCATCATTCTTTTTCAAATCCTCATAAGAATCAGAATCTGTCCCAGACATTTCTACTTTCAATGATTTCGGCTCCTTTCTGCTCCTTTTCACTTGTTCTGAATCTAAATTCATGATAAAGGAAACAAAAAAAATCTACGAATAAAAATTCTGAAATCGCAGTAAAAAGACGTACTTTCGGCTCTAAGATGCCTTTTGCGAGCACCTTTGGTACTAGATGATTCATGACTCTGAATAGCTGTTTTTGGACTTCGTTCATCAAAATTAGGTCCCGTACCATCAGTGCAATCACTATTAGCTTTATCCATTTTTTGCCGTTCACCTTCATCTTGTAATCTCTCATCTTTTTGTTTCGTCATAGCTGCTTCTCGTTTCTGTTCCTCATATCGTTCCTGAAACATATACAATCCGAGTTCTGCTTATCCATTATCCAAGTGATTCATCACATGCACCTTTTCGGAGAATTTTTCTTTGCTTAGTTTGTGAGAAAACACTTTCTAAACCAAAACATTGAAATCTATTTCACTGCAACACTACTGATTTCAGCAAAGTATACATCATTTACTTTCAATGAAAAATCCAAACACATACTTTTTGTTCTCTTTTTAACTTTTTCGCTAGTTTCTTTTCAAACTGCCCACTAATTCCAGGTTTCCGATTTTTTTTCTTTTGTTCGGGTGTGGTAGACGTCTTTGCTTTAGTCGTCTTCTTATTATCTTCACGGAACATTGAAATTTCAATCAAAGATTTCTCCTGAAATGTTTTCCATAGCACTATACTCTAAGAAAAGTATTCTTTTCTTTTTCTTCTTCAAGATAGCTGTGTATGCATAAAAAACAGCCTAAAAAATTTAATATAAACAGCTTTTCATCGCGAAATGAACTGCATTACTGCATTTGCTTTTCGCTGAAACAGAACACAATTGTATCTGTATTCTTATTTCCAAGTTACAAGAGGAAAGAACAAATACCACTTTCTGCTTCTTTTTTTCTGGAACTTCTACAGTGTTTGCAATAGCAGCAGCTTCACACACTTCATCATTTTTGCTGCATCGCTTCTTACCAGTAACCTTCCTCTCAACCGATTTTTCCAAAACTTGCTTGCTCTCCACTTTTCGTGGGACAGTCTAAAATAAAATCCATAAATATGAAAGTTTTTCAAAACATTTATTATAATCACTAGTACAATCCTATGCATTCAGTTCCACTCCTATTTTACCATAACGTTCTACTGATTAAGAATCACTCTTTCTGGCGGCTGATCTAAATTAGGTATTCACTATTCTTCTTGCGAATTAAAGGCTTTGTACATTTCCAACTACTAATATATCATGTTTACTCGTATCATGGTGTAAGGAACACTGGATAGCATATTCTTTAAAATATGCATTTTACAAATCAAATGAAAACATGAAAAATGTGCCACGGTAATACCTTTTTTCCTTCTTCACAAGATTCATCATCACTTTCCTCCAATTTCTCCTTTTTGCGTTCTTTCTTTAAACTTAAACGCCTAGTATTTCCCGCCTTCTCTTTTTCGTCTTTTAATTTCTGATTTCCATCGATCTTTGTGACAGCTTTTTTACCTTCTTCTTTTTCATCCTTTTCCTTGTATAGTGATGGGACGATGGAACCTCTGGAATGTTTTGTAGATTCGTCATCCGTGGAATAAGTTCCAAATACGTCATCCAATGACAACGACGTGGTTTTTTTCTGCAAAACCATCACTTTAACAAAGAAAGCACCAAAAATCCACGCAAAAGAATGACAATTATTCAGCGAGTACAAATCCACCCAAAGACATAAAAAAGTTCAACGAAGAACCTACTACTAGAGCTAGTCTATTCCAACCACCCAATATTAACTGATTAATAAAATACACGTACAAATAAACGCAAAGTACCTGCTTTTTACAAGATTTTGATGTTGCTATTTTTCGACTGCGTCTTCGTTTCGAATGTTCTTCCTCTGATTCAGACCTTTCCGAATCCTTGTCAACCTATAGATATCAACGTATAAAACAGATACTGAAGAATTGTAGACTTATTTAAACTCAAACTTTCCTATTTATGTTTCTAAGTGCTATAAGATCATACAACAAATTAAAATTTGGGATGCACAAATTCTATAATCTCAATAATTTTCTTAAAAATCCAAACCCGTTAGAAAACTAAAAACAAAAACGCTACCCCATCATCGTCATCATCATTACACTCGACTTCATCATCAACGAGTAACTTCTTTTGCAGAACCGATTTAGCTTTTCTCGCCGATTTACCCTTCGATTCCGTTTTCTTCTTCTTGTTGCGAACTTTGGAAACATCTACTGAAGGACCCGACGAACTACCAGATTCTTCTTCACTGTTTGACGAATCTTTTTCGTCAGATGATGAACTCTCTAGCTGCACTCGCTTTGGCCGATTCTGAAAAACATATAAAACAAACTAGCATCAACTACAACATCACAGCAGACCATGAACATCAAGTGGTCAAATTAATTTTAAAATCCAAAACTCAAATTCGTATCTTACTTGTTCGTTATTTCGACGACTTTGTGTCCTTTCCTGTAACAACTCCAATGCCCGATTTTTCTTGGCCGTATCATCTGGTTTCGAGGATGAGCGCTGCTTGACTCGGTCGTACATTGATAAACCTAGCGATCCCGAAGCCTCTTCTTCCATGAATAATCGTTTCAATTCTCGATCAAATGACTGGAAGACTAATGTAATCATAATGTAATTTCCGTGGACAATCAGACTTAGCGGTCAGTCATTTACACATTCAAATACAATCTAAAAAAATTGTGAATCTAAGGTTCCTTCCGATTTAAGCTTAGCGATTAACTACTACTTACATGGAGTTCTACTTCCGACGATGATGTTTCTTCGCTTGAACTTGTACTTGACTCTCTTTTTCTCTTTCTCTTCTTCTTCGCCAATTCCTTCTTTCTCTGTTCCTTTTCTTTTTCCTTTTGCTTATGCTTTTCTTGCTCTTGCTACAACGATACATTAAGTTTGAAAATGCTAATTTTATAATCCTTTATAAAAAAAAAAAACTTTATATAATTTGTCACAACGAAAAAATTTAAAGCTTTAGTGCAATTGGTGATAATACTTTAAGTTCCCTAATTGCCACTGCATGGGAAGTTTCAGAAGATTTACATATAAAAATTTCAATATTTTGAAAAAAGATTCCAAAAAAAAAACCTTTTTTTTTGTACGATCTTTCTGCAACTGTTCCTTTTCTCTCTTTTCCCTTTGTTTAGCACTGGTGCAATCTTTCACCGGCTTATTCTTAATGCTTTTTTCCACTGGTCGTTGCGATTTCTTCTCCGAGGTAAGCTCTCCTCTCTCGTGTTCCTTGTCCTTTTCTCTCTGGAACCATATGTTGACGTTGGATTTTTACTGCAGAATTTTTTCTAAGAATGTAAAAGCAAAAACACTGGAAAAATCCAAAACCAATTTTCAAATACTAATATGTATAGAAGCCAGAAATGACAAACCAGTTCCTTTTTTTCCTTTTTTTCTTTCAGCTGCTTCTGGGCAGCGATTTTCAACTTCGTTTCTTGTGACTGGCCCTTTCCATCAGCATGTTTATCTTTCTCTCTCTCAGCTACACTTTGATCCGACTTTTCCGGCAACTATGAACAGTACAATTTTTACTTAAACTAGGTGCTCTTACATCTTCTGTGGTAGCTTTTTTAATTAGTGTCGGTTTTAAATGATTATAAGGAAACTTCCTAGAGTCAACATTATTTTGCTAAGTGATACTGCTAATGATACAAGCACAAAATCTATTTCCTCCTCTACTTCGTCACTGCGAATTACACCAATAGAATATGTAACTACACGTCAGCTATGGTTTTAAGAAGATACTAAGAAAAGTAAAATTCAAATTAAAACTAAAGAATTTAAAGTGACCGAAATTTTAACAATATTAATACTAGTTAAACTGTTTTACCAAAAATTAAAAAAATACTTTTCTCTGTTCTTCTCTTTCAGCTACATTTTTATTCGATTTTTTTGGCAGCTATCAAAAGTAGAATTTTTACCTTTGAGTGTTTCTCTTTCGTGGCCTCAGTTATTCCTTTTTTACTTTCGTCATTCGATTTGTGGTGCGATGCTTCATCACTTTTTTCTTTCTTGATTTTTTTCAACTGCTTTTTAAAAACTTCTGATGAATCTTGCGCCTACAATAAACAAATACGCAAACAAAATCTCGCTTCTGCTCAAGAAAGATAAGGGTGCAGCGTGTGCAATAAATCAATTTACAAATGGTACATCACATTAACTTTTGTTAATGAAATTTTAGTATGTTCCAATCGAGATGAAACAAAGATTTTAGCGCAGTACTGCCGACATTCCAATCATTTCTCAAAGAAATAAAATTCATTAATAGCATGTAACTAGTATTTCTCAATAAATCATACCTGTTGACGGAATAATTCACTCAGTGAAGGTTGTTTGTTCGTAGAATCCTTAGATCCTTTTTTCTCAGGAAGATGCGACTTCGAATTGATTTTCATATGCTCTTTATCTCTCACCTGCACCTCGAATTGAAAACAAAATAAAGCAATCACTACTTGTATCTAACAAACTGTTTACAGATTTTCGACATGAAACGCGAATCTTGCTTCGAATAGTTAATAATAAACCTTATCACTTCCTTGAGTTCGCGACCGCACTTTATCCATTTCTAACGTGGTATTACCAAGAAGTGAACTAGACGTTGGCGGTTTTGTTGTGCTAGGTGCGGAAGAGACTGAGGTTTGTTTCGAACTAACAGCGGAATGTGACGCAGGAGGTGGAGGAGTAGACGGTTTTGTTGTAGTCCTCCAGGATGAAGATTGCGTACTGCTCTGGGGACCAGCGCTACGGGCCAGTGGTTGAACAGTAGACATGCATGATGATGCTGGATCAAATTGGGATGTGCTATTACATATCTGGAATGGAAAATAATTTTCTTCGGTCGATAGATTGTTAGTATTAAAATCCATTCATATGTCTCCCGAATGAGAATTTCGAAAACTGAGCATATTTATAGATTAATAAAAGTGATTTATAAAAGCGTGGAGTGAACTGAAACCCAGATAATTTCCAAAATGTAACTGGGCTTGGTAGTTTTGAATCAGAGATTTTGCTATGAAACCATTTTTTATTTTTGTATTAGTAAACATAGATAAGCAACAGACCAGTGGAGGTGGCGGAGGCGGAGCTGAGATCAGAGAAGCACCAGCTGCAGCAGACTTGCATGTTGTCAAAGACAGTGTCGGAGGTACCGGAGGTTGCGGAAGCGGTGGAGGTGGAATACTGAAATCTGGAGGATAAGCAATACGAGACGCAGCTGCCGACGGAGGTGTCTGATTACTGCCCTGTGTAATGCTCGGTGGCAGGAGAGGCTTCCTAAGTTGAGCGCCGGAAAACTGTGGTGATGGAAGATTGCAGGAAGTGGTGCACGTGGTATAGAAAATTGGCGTATAGGGGCTCGAACTAGTAGAAGTTACAGGAGCAGGTGGCATTGGGATGGAGAGTGAAAGTGGATTACGAATTAACTTCTGACTTTCTGCATCCTTTGAATCGAAAATTGATGTAGTACCACTACCACTACGTACTCTTGTGAAAGAATCCGTGAACGTGTTAGACGTGGAGTGAGAACAAGATGTTGCTGACTGCGAGGTGGCTACCGTTGAACTAGACGATCCAGTTCGTGCTTTTAGTCGTTCCAGTTCTTCCTCGAATTTATAACTGCGTTGTGATGTTCCTTTGCGGTCATAATCCAAATGAGTATTCTGCTTTGTTTTCTAAAACATCAGAATTATGCAAAAAGGAAAGAAGTAAAAGAGATAACAAAAAATGAAGTTAGGTTTTAAAAAAATGGAATTATTAGCTCCTAAAAATGTTCGATTGTTTCCAGGTTTTAAAAATGTGCTGCATAAAAAAAAAAATCACAACTATCGCCGATCTGGAACGAAATCGAGCAGCTGGATTTCGAAAAACATTTAAAGGAAATTGCCATTTATGCCTAATTATGATACGAAACTTATCAAAAAGTTGTTCAAACCCTAACTCTTTGATCCAGCAAATACTATTTTAAAATACATAAATTTGATGGAATCAACCTGAAACTTTTGTTCGATATTTTGAAACGTAGCTCCCAATGCATCCAGCCGTTCGCGATATGCACTCGAGTTGTTGGCAGGCGAAGTATCTCCAAAAATATCTATGGTAGTTGTTATAAGCGAAGGTTGCGTAGTTGAGGGGTCAGGAGAAAGCATCGCTTCACTATTGCTTGATTCCGATCTTGATACCGATGAATGTGTTCGCCCTCTGGACACTTTCTGTGGAGGTGAGTTTTCCGTAGCGTTCCATTTCAAATTACATCCTGTAGAGCATTTAATAAATTTAATATTAAAAATTTAATATTTAAATAAATTTAATATAAAAACATGAATGCCTACAGATCAGGAATATTGGACTCCTCTCACTATCGCTATAATAAGCTTCATTTCTCTTATTATTATATGAATCCACATATTAAATACATCTAAAAGAACTTCAAACCACGACTATGCCAAACTATTTATCACTAAGCCAATCGGTTCTTTGAATGACCTAACTCTGACTCAGTTGTGTATCACTACTAAGCATAATCTGTTCAACATCCAAATTTCAAAAAAAAAAAAACACTCACAATGTTTGACTTTACTTTAAAGAAATAAAAGTGTAAAATCAATGTGCACGACTGACCAGGAAGACCAGAACTTGAAGCGGATAAAGAATTCCTTGGGCATTTTGAATCTTGCCTCTGTTGCTGCGGGGAACGAAATGGATCCGGTATGCTATTCCGACGTGAGCTTGGCGCAGAATGATGTTCATGCACAAATTTTGGTAATGGTAATGAGGTGGAAGCTTGCGACGAATACTTGCGATGACGCGGATCTTTACCTCGATTAGCACTCCCATCCAACGGAATCGCGCAGTGATTTTTAATCGGATCATTTCCTAGAATTAAAAGAAATCTCCAAACTCAAATACCAAATGCTTCTAAAAATATTCTACTTTAAACTTATTTTTTAATTTATATTACCTGCAGCGCAATTCGTTCCAATCCCTTATCGAAAAACAGGATAATTATAAATCAAAGAATAAGACATAACCATACTTATTTTTTCAATTCTAATTCTACATTTTCTCTTTTGAACTCTCTAGAAGCAGTACATGTTAAGATGAAAGTAGCACACACCCCATGGCCATTTGGTGCGTTTATTCAGAGAAGTAGACGGTCTACTGGAATGATGTCTGCTACTGTTGCAAATATCGTCAATAGATCGCTGGATTGAACAAGTCGACGAATGACTCTGATGACTACCACTCATTATAGCCAATGGTGCACTGGTTGTAGTTGATGTAGATGCTTTGGAATGATGCTGCAGTACGTTTACTAGAGTGTTAGCAATTTCTTCAATTCGATTTGACTGAAATTAATATTTCATATCATATTGATTTCAGTACTTTGAAATACTGAAAATTCAAGTTTAATGCTGGAACAGGCATCACATCAAATATGGAAAGATTTAGAGAAATAATTTCCTAGAACATCTTTCCAAAGCTCGTTTCCCTCATATTTATGCTTCAAATGACCTACTAATCAACACGACGCTTTGGCAACTTGAATTTCAGCAGTATGCAAATCCATACCGTAATCGTATTTATTTCGTTTGCAGTAAAATTCACTTCTGTTCCAGAGTTATAAAGCCCACTATCATGTGATTCTTTGTTTTCTAATCGCTTCGAATCACTGAAAGTTCAGATAGGCTCTAAATATTAAAAATAAGGAAAATCATTTAACTAGTAGTAACTAGAATACGTAATTACTTTTCACGAATATTATTCAATTTGAATTCAAATTCAGTACAACCTGTTATATAACTTGCTTCCTCTCTGCTCATAAAAATAATAAATAGTGGGAAGGTCCTGTATGTCTATTAAAACATAGCTGATGACCGTGACAGCTACACTGTACATGGTCTACTCTTTCGATCTAGCAAAGAATTTTCTTGAAAGACGGGAACACACGAAAAACATAAAGCAAAAATATTCTTCATTCTCATTTACATCATTGCATTGAGAGAGCAGGTAGTCTCAATGATCTAATAGAATGACTTACGGCTGCTGCTGTTCCGTTTTCTTGCTTCGCTGTTCTGCAGTCGATTTTCCGTTTCCTTCATGAGACAGTTCACTATCAACTGACAAACTTGATGATGGCGTAAACTGCTGGCGCTTAAAATCGATGCACCTTACATCTGGTTCATTTGTAGTTGGTTCTATTGGTTGGTGATACTCTTGTTGTTTCTTATCGTTTGATGTTGTTATAATAGGATTCAGAATTTGTGCCGATGGCATGGGAGGTGGGAGCAGCTGCACTAAGCTCGCTCTTGAGCTGCTACGCCTTGCAACTGTCTGCAGCGTGTTTCCGATGGTACTGTTAGATTGTTCAGACTTGTTGGAAGGAGAACTGTGTTGTCGTGAACTGGAAGGATATACTGGGGTCTAAAATATTATAATCGATGATAAATAAATTCGATCGAAATGAGAAATAATTCGAGATTTCATAAATTCATTGTGACAAATGGTATATGAAACCAGTATCATTCCTCTCCTCTCTCACACGAAATACCCCTCCGCTGTTCTCAACCACATTATATGTATTCCAGCATTTGTACTGAAGTTTAATTATGTTTCACCTTATCTCTGTGCAAACGTTGGATGTTACTCTTCGAGTGGCCCGTACGTTTCCTATCTGGCGTACTGGAACTACTTACATCAGAATCACTGGACGTTGAAGAGGTTGATGATGACGAAGGCGATATATCATTTCGCCTAGTCCTTTCACGCCGTCGTCGAGATCTGTAGCAAAAGAATCAATAATTGCTAGAAAATCGTTTGGCATCTTAAATTATTTATCAACAATTTGTGCTAACAAAATCAAAAAAAAAGACACACAACCTATTATACGACGAATATCGCAAAGAACGAGATGTTCTACAGCCATCTCGTTCATCACTTCTTCGTCTCCGCGACAGCATATTCGAACTCGACCTCCGACATTCAACCCTTAAGAAAAAATTACTGAACAGATACGATAACAACTGGAAAGTTGCACTACAAGTGGAGAGAATTGAGGATGAAGTTAATTTGAAGTATGCCATAAATTTGATAAGCACATCCTGTCTTGGAAAAATTTCGAGTATTTCCAAGAATGACGAAAATCAAGAATAGCAGACAGCAGGAAATCAAAGAAAAAGTCACCGTTTCCTACTGACACCGAGAATTTATCAAAAGTGAAGGAATATATAACTCAGTCTCAACAATCACGTTAATCTTTAGATGTACCCAATAGTTCAATAATGTTAGAAAGAGTAATAAATCAAAACAGTTCACCAAACCTAGATGATGTGTCACGAAGATGACTTGGTGGATCAGGCGGAGGTGCAAGTAACGATGAAGTAGACGTAGATGCGACCACTGAACCACCGCTAGAACAAGCTGTTGCGTTGTTACCAGCGTATGAACTTGGTCCAGTACTATTCACAGCTATAAAATTTGCATTTTTCAATATTTTATAAAAGTTTTGTTAGTTGAACTTTTTTAGTAAAAACTAAGCATCTCAAAAAAAACCTACGAGCATTTCCAGATTCACCACGGAATTTGCGGTCAACAAAATAATCATGTAGTTTTTCTGAACAGTAATCCACTGGTACGTGAACATCCTTTTTTTCGTCCGCATTCCAAAAAGCTCTGAAATAAATCCTATGTCTTACAAAACCCAGTTTTATGTAATATATTTGCATGTATATGTTAAAAAAAAAAAACGCCAAAATATGCCTAATCCCACACAGTGTGATGTTTCAGTTATCTAGCATTCTGCTTTACCCATTTAATATTAAGTTAGCTCAATAATAAAGAAAACCAAAGATCTCCACAAAAAATACATACACTTGCTTTGTTTTAATCATTGAAAATGCTCTCTGGGCACTGTCATTGTTGCTGAACAAAAGAAGAGCTTCCCGATGACGCGAATCATATATAACTTCATTAAACGTATCTGTGAACGATACTCGAATCTTTTCACGCAAATAATCTGCTGAACAACTAGACGGCAACTCGCCAATCCAAATCTTATTACTAACGATTGTACGTCCCCAATTCATCTGATGAAAAAAGCAATTGTAAATCTTCATATCTATCAAGTATTATTCCTAGCAATTTTCTATCGCAGTTTCTAAAATTATTCCTTTTCTTCCTTAGTATGATTTATCGATCGATGCATCTAGTTGATTAAATAAAGCTAAGCGCAGAACCCATCTAATCGAGTTACTGAAAACCGATCTATTCGAATTACTTGTTAAATACCAAAATATTATTGCAACCAAGCATTCGATGTAGAGTTTAGAGGATCAAGCAACAACATCCGGATAAAAGGATGCTAATGTTGCAATTATGTGCATTAACTTCTAGAACAGTAGAATTTAATTTTAAGCATAGAAAACAGTGGTAACTACCTTTAATTTGCTTTTGGCACTTGATGAATGTGCCGTTTGAACATGAGCATTAATTGCACAGACAACTGAATGTATATCAGCAAATTGAATAAAAGCAAACGGTGATGGACTTTCCCAGTTCTTAACCTCTAAATTCAAATTTATCAGTTCATCGTTTCTGTCAATAAGCTACTAAGAACATAAAGACATAGATATTCAATAACGTATTTTGCTACACATCACATTAGAAGTAGAAAAATAGATGGACTAGCATCTACATCAAGTAGAAGAGGGAAACTTTACAGCTCCTTGTTCTGCAAGTTACTTGTGTTATCACATTTTACAGACTAAAGCAATAAAGAGATTTCCGTTAAAGAAGGTTAAACACAGCTATCATGTTATACTGGAAATATGCAAAAATAACCTGTTTCTAGGATATGCCCAAAACAGCTAAAACGAGAACGAAGAGAATCATCCGTTGTCCGTCTTTCTAAACCGCCCACATATAAAGTTCGAGAAGCTCGGTTAGCGAGCGCATCGACTACGGAAGAACCCGATGTTGAAGCAGCATCTTGAGATGACAAGCATTCCTGTAACCATGTGCAAGCCTGAATTTTTCGAATTAAAGAGACTAACAACGGTGATAAATGCTCAATTCTTCTAAGTTTTTGAAAATTCATGAAAAAAAGTTTCTGCCATGTTGAGAACTGGCAATTCGTATTTTACAAACACGAAAATCTTTACATCGCCGAAAACCTTCGACACTAGAAAGTTTAGGCAGTTATATACTGCAGTAGAAACCGTTGCGATAAGTGAGATTACTTGTTTTAATCAGAATTCTATTAACCTGTCCATTTGTTGTCAGATAAGTGCTGTAAGCTTCTGTGACAGCAGTATGACTTGCAAATCTGATTTTCAACCGCAATCCAAACAAGTGATGAACATCTTTGAGTTTGTCAGCATCCAGTAGTCTGAAAGTTCATGGAATTTGGAACATTTAGTAATACTGACAAACAAACTTCAATCAGAAATATCTACATACGAAATTCGCTGCATATAAGAACACATGAAAATGCCCAGTAATAATACACTTAAGCACAACAAAATTTTTGGATTATATTTCATATCTTTTTTTTTCTTTTTAATTTTGGATTTAACACTCAAAACCAATCCAAACCCCATTGCATTAATACAAATAATACTTGATACAGCTGACTTTTTTTTAATCTGGTCTCATTTCTATCCTACTATTATAGGATACTTTAATTCCGAAAAGTAAAAATGTCAGGTTCCCTAACAATCACATATAAAGTTCTAAAAACATACCTCTGGAAAATGACGAGTGCTCGACGTTGTTCTACAAAATTTGGACCAGACTCCGTCTCAAACATGATATGAACTACTTTGCCAAATTTTTTAAAAAAATTCGTCAAGCCATCTCTCAGAAAGCCTTCTGTACGCGAAGATGGCAAATTGGACACATAAATACCTTAAAACATTATGTATATTTGAATTATTATTTCTAAATAGAAACAGAAGATAAGCTGAACGGTTTGATAAGCCATGCAACGAAAAATAATACAACAAACCTTGAAAGCCCTGTGAGGCACTTGATAGGCTGTCATGGTTACCACATGAAGCAGGCAATTCGTTACATGCATTTGTATCGTTGCGTCGCGAACCTGATGCTCCTGGCTTGATAATTGTTGATTGCACAGTATGAGTGTTGGATGCATAATGATGGTGTCCAGATGATCCACTAAACAGCAGAAATTGGAATGGACTGGAACAAAACGAAAACTATTCAAGTTAGTCAATCTCTTCATAAAGATATCCGGAAGAAAAAAACACTCCTACTTCCCATCATTTCTCATCAGTGCATAATACCATCACCTATTGTGACAACACAGCGTGCGCTGAACAATTCTTGACTACTGATTATCCTTCTATTCCTTTTGCACGTTTTTCACCTCCTTACTGTGTAATGATTACTAATAGCGCTGACAATGAAATTTGTTTCCCCTATATTTGAAGGAAAAAAGATAAAACTACTACACTGTAATGAATGTGAATGTGTGAACAAGCATAAAGACTGCATACGAACCATGTTCACAAGAAAGTCCCTTACTGATGAAAAAATAAAAGCGCAAAGAGTCCTCAGTAATAATTTATACTTTCACCTACTCCAAATACTAAGAGAAATTACATAAACCATAGATAAATTCAACAGAGAACATTAAAAAAAGAAGTTTAACAGAGTAATGCCGATAAAGAAGTATCAAGTAGAAGTTGAGAAAAAGAAGTTCCCAAGAGCCATTCCGTTTAGATTTGAATAAAATTCTGCACATAACATCAAGCTCATTCCAAAAATATATAATCGCTGCTTCAATCATCACCCAAATGAATGCACCAAATGAATAAATAATTTCGATGTGAAACTTCAAATTCTCAAAAATCTCTTTTCTGAGTTGAGCATTTCAAACTTATATTTGACTAAGCATACATTGTCCTCTCGTAATTCCCTTGCTGACATTGTTATTCTCAAAAACCGACAAACCTTGGGCTTCCTGAATCACGACTCGAATCGGATGATGCAGATGCGCGCGGAGAATGACGTGACCGCCGTGAAGTTCGTGAATCGCCACCACCAGCACCAGTCCGCCTAAAATCAGATCAGCAAGTAAGAACACCTACAAATCACCGAACGCTGTATTTTAGTGAACAGAAAATTTACAAATCCAATAAATAACACACATTTCGCTTTCTGGAAGATATCATGTCCCTTGTCGGTGTACTACACAAACTGATCACAACTTACCGATCGTTACTGCCTGAGATCCTGCTTCGCTGAGATCGTTCATCAGTCCTGCTTGAATTTCCCCGCTCTCTATCACGTTCTCGTTCTCGAGATTGTCGCCGTGATGATGACAGTCGATGTTGTGATATCCTACAAAAGACGAAATATAACTCTGCAAGCTTTGCGATCGAAATTAATTAGATGACATTTTATCACACAAATGAACGCAGTAATCTGGAGTTACTGCACAAATAACTTGCCGTTCTTTCTGAATCTGCTTTGATGAGGATGAATTCGGTGAATGGTGATCGGATGAACGCCGATGAGAATCGGTTGTTGTACTGCCACTGCTAGCATTCCTTGCATTCTGAGGCGAGCCAAGTCCAGCTGCGTTACTCGGCGTTGTTGGGTTCACCAAGCCGCTGCAACCAAATAGCATGATTGATGTTACTATGAAAACAGCCTTGACCAACTAACTACAAATTAAAGATCTTTATTTATAAATAATCTACCGAGTTCTTATAAAAAGACCGTTTTTAATATTTAAAGGAAAATGAAATCATGATGAACCGAATGTAGAGCATAAGAACGATAGACTGTAGGCAGGAAGCACATACCAACCACAACTCCCAGTAAGACTATGACGAGAACCAGTCAAACTGAAGGGAAAATGCAAAATCATCATTTCGACAAAAATACGAAAGTTTTCAAAACAACTTGAAAAACAGCATCACTATCAAATAACTTTTTTCCCAACTTCGCCCTCCTTCACTCTCCTTTTATTCTTTTTTCAACATCACTGAGTGGTGGAGACATCGTTTCTACATGTTTGATGAAATGTCTATAACAAAAATAAATAAGTGGGTAAGAATTAGGGCAATTGAGTTTTTCGACAAAAATGACATTGCAATGGAGAAAAAACAAAACAAAATTAAAAAAGGATAATAAGATCTAACAAGGAATTGCCAGTGAAAGAAGCAACTTGTGAAGAAAAACGGCAAAAATAGATGTGCTCAGTCATTAAAATACAACTCATTTTGAAATATATGGTAAAATTTATCATGTGTCTAACCGTATCTTGAAACTTATGTTAGCTCATCAAAGCATATTGTTTTGGCAAGCCCAAAACTTCACTCGGTAACCGCTACGTCATGTTCTCTACAAAACTGCGAAGTAAACTACCTTCATTGAAAAATATTTTAAATTTAAAGTGCTACAAAATGAACTTGCTTCCGAACTCCAAAGAAGGTTTCTTTTTTGTCATAGCTGTCACTACGTCCGAACTACAGGTTACCTCAAATTAGATTACACAAACTTTTAAAATTTAGAAAATCTCAGCATAATTCACAAAGTTACGGGCACCACTAAATTCTACACTACCTCCACTTTTTTCCTGCTTCACTATTATGCAATGCATGCAAACAACGATATAAAAGGACAAATCGCGTGAAAAAGGACGAAAAAAGTGTTGAGGATCATCATGGAGGGAAAGACTTCAATCATTCTGCATTTCTGACGATAAAAAGTGAGGAGTAAAACGAACAAAAAAAAACTCACAACTACAATGGTTAAAATTAGCAGTGCTAGCACTGAAAAAAAAAAAAAAAACCGAGTTTTACAACAGTCAACCAGTACATGAAAGGTTAGCTAGCATTAAACCATCTCAGATATTTCCTAAAATTTTCCCTTGAACAGAAGGAAATATCATTCAACTACAATGCGCAAAAAGGCCAATGTAGCAGTCGTCAATGAGTAAAACAAAGGAAAATATCTCATCATGACAAATTTCCCTACATTTATCATCAATCGGCTAATTACTAACTCGTTAAAGACAACTTTCGTAACAAGGTAACAAGTACTGAAGTGTCAATTTCAATAGTATGTTAAAGACTCTACATTTGTTCATGCCAGTTAAATTCATTCGGCTGTATCCAAGAATAGCTTCATTACCATAGCACACAGTATAAATCCCACTTATTTTTCAATCATTATTCTTATGATGGAAGTAGAAACATTTTATTGGATATTTCAGAGACGAATGAACATCCACACTTTCAGTAAATTTTTTGACTTTGATACTTCAGTCAATTATGTGTTGCGCAATTTTAATAAACTGAGTATGAATTTCAAAAACAGTACGTTAAAGATTCTACATTTGTTCATATCAGCAAAAAAACAACGTCATCCTAGTAGAGATAAATTCCATTGTTAATCAAAAATGGAACTTCTTTTTCCTTGCAATGTGAAATCTGATTCAAGTAACAAATGACACGGTGGTAAGACAAGGTCCAAGATCAAACTGCCGGATAGATGGAAAAATGGAATAAATATAAAAATGATCTAAATGACAAAAGTACCCTATTTTTCTGCGGTTTATAACACAACACCTACTCGATTCTGATATCCAGCTCCACCAAAGCAGACGGACAGCAGCGACAGGAAAACCGATGGATATAGCAGTGGCGTTACATGTCCATGCAAGATTAAATTGAGCAAGACGGTGACGAGAAGTTCGAGATAGATTCTGGAGAAGATCCGTCAGAGACCGAAACAGTTCATAAAGCGGATAAAAATCCACCAGAATTAAATAAGTTAACTCGAACTACAATAACATGTGTGCCACACAGGTTGCGGCACCATCAAAGATATAACCCAAGCACCGAAGGTACTAAGGGCTATATAAAAAAGAACTTCCGTTCGAAGATAGATAACATAGATGTAGATGAAAGCGGTAAGTGTGAAAACTCAGCCACAAAGTGGCATTTGAACCGCAGAAACAGGTAACATTGTAGAAAACGAAAAAGAAACCAAAGCCGAAGTAAACTAGCTTAAGAAAGCTAGGCATGTGGCTCAACAGTCAGTCAGCCAGATAGGTAAGTTGGTAGATAAGTTAGCAGCTGCAGAATTAATTATAGTTAATTCTCATTTTCCACAATAATAGTAATATTTATGTAATCTGCGATATATGTAGTTTTCCGCTCACTTCTTGCTCTGTTCGTGAAATGCGATTCGCAACTGGTGGCCTTGAAATTTCGGCTCCGCTGAATGAGCTTTTTGTGCCGACCGAACATCCATGAAGCTAACCACAAAACCAGTGGTACCCAAACGCTCCACTTTTTGCACACGACCAAATCTGAAAATTAAAAATAAAAAAGCCTTTCAACCATCGAACATCATCATTGTACCCTATCACACAGCTCTCACCAAAACGAAATTTTTATCTCTAGTTATCTTTTTTTGAATTATCAAAGTTAAAAACCAAGAAACAAAGTTAACCATATCATCTACAAAAGATATGTGACATAATTCACACAGAGTCTTTGCTGTCATCTCTCCCATGTTGAATGATGTTGCTAAAGGGAAAGAGAAGAAAATGAATGTTCCGCTGTTAGCGCCACTGACACTATACACACACATGAACTATCACTACTCAACTTTTACATATTATCACGTCCTCAAAGTTTTTTAAGCAAACCTAAAATGGTAACACTCGTATCACAGTGCAAAGTTTCCACTTGCGTACAAATGAAATAGATAAATTACATTACGATTACCATAAGACAAATTTCACCTATCACCACTAAATCCGTAGGATGCAAGAGAGCTAACTTGCATTTTTTTAGACGAAAGGTTAATAGAGTGAAGAAAATTGTCAGAGAGCAGGTAGGGGTATCACGCTCTTTCCTCCTATAGCGACAAAGAAATATCCCGATCTTTGGTCGTCGGAGATTACAATAAATAACTATTAAACCAAGAAATGATGACTAGACGTTTTACTACCCTATTCCGCAAGCTACAACTCATCATGGTACAACATACTACGCGCACCACGACCACACACCATGCACAAAATTTGCAGCCCAACAATATGTGCATGTACGTAGAACTTCAATCACCCTTCATCTTTTTCTGTGGTACGGTTGCAATTTACTAACATCGTATGCTAAGTACCCAACTCCATAAGAAACCGACCACTAAAGAGTTCCGTAAAAGTTCATTTAAATTTAAAGTACCCCATTAGAGTAATTATAAACCAACAAATGCAAACCAACTCCCATTGCGGCACAACGATTTCTGCAAAAAAAATCATACTAAATTTTGCATAAATTTGCAAAATACAAAGAAAAGCATTTTCCACTTCCATATTATCTTAATCGCTTACCATTGTCAACAAACACCTTTATCCTTCCTATTATCATAGCTTTTGGTCAATATTAAAGTCATTTGATGTGGATATCAAAAAGCATCACCCAGAATCGACGACAACCATTCAGTATTTAATTCAAACACTCCCTCGTCATTCAAAATTGAAATATGGCTGGTTAGCTCGCCAGTCAGTCATATTTATCATTTTTGAAATTGAAAGACGTTGTAAAGTCGCCGTTTGACAGAAAAAAAAAAGAAAAAAAAATGGTTATGACAAAATGCTACATTTACTTGCTATCGGAGATCGTCTTCCTCAACTGGCTAGTAACTGAGATGAAGTATTAAAAAAACTGCTAAAAAAATGTTCGGATTACTTTCTTCTAGTTATTAATAAAGCTTTTATGAGTTTACCATGAATCCGAAGGCTTCCTCCGGCGTTACCTTAAACCTCAATCAGCTGATTGAAGCATTTGTTATGTCATAACCACTTTTATCGAGAAATTGTCTTGTATTCAATTTCTCATTATAAATTAGACTATTAGGGCTAACAGGTGTAAGCGTTACGTGTTTTGACTGACTACCATAAACCTGTTCCTAAAGCTCATTTACCTAAGCAACACATTCCGTGTATATTAAGACCAAAATTAGTCGTAGGACTACAAGATTTCGGAATAGAAGCGCGTTAAGATATTACTAACTTTCTGCATGACAATTCTATGGATATTAGTTTTCCTCATGAGATTTGTAGATGTCACCGTACGATACATCAAACAGGTCGCTGACATCACATTTATACTAAATGGTAAATACGATAACCCACAGAAATAGATAAAAAGAACGAAAAATATTGTTTACGTGGAAAAAAATGATGAAACTCGTTCATCCGAAAGACTATCCGGTAGGCCGATTACATGGACATGACGACTCTCTCGGCTCATATCCTGCTCTGTCGTAGTGTCAGGAACAGTTGTTGTGGAAACCGCTGTAGTTGCTGGTATCGTCGTGTTCCTGCTATCAGCAGCAGTAGCAATGATAGAGATATTAGTCGTTGGTGTCACGATAGGATTCGGAATACAGCTACCGATACTGATACTATCAATCAGCACAGTTAATTGTTGCGCAGCTGTGGTAAGATTTGATGAGCAGCAATTCAGCAGCCACTTAGGATGCTGCTGCGGTTGATGCTTAAACCAGACTGCAGAAGGAGTTTTCGCAACCGATGAATTGATGCTACACTCTTGATTTTTTTGTTGCTGATCTTCCTGATTTTCGATTTCGTCACCAGTTGTAATTTTTTCCGTTCCTGATGATTTGTTCTTATTGCCAATGCAGGATTTTGTTCCTTTATTATTATTGTTACCGTTACTACTGTTGTTGCTGCTTCCGCCAACGTTAATACTAAGCACTTGGGCGCTGATAACCATTCCATGGAAGAATTGGCAATACTGCGCGTGCAACTATTGATTGCTTCGTTGATCGCCAACAAATCACAGTTTCCTGGATTGTACTGTGTATAAACAATAATAAGAATTACTGCACCTGTAAAGGCTAATTTAGTTTAATATTCCAATTCCTTCCAACTTTCCTGCTCAGTCGTGACTTTTTCGCTTCTTTCCCTCTTTGAATACTTTCGCAAATGAATCTGAATCCTCCTGATTACAAAGCAGTATTTCATACAGTAAAGGATGATCCCTCATCCGTTATATTCCACACAATAATTGCTTGTTAAACGTATGTCTGTCACACCGTGGTCCTGGAAAACATGAACTAGATCAAGACAACGCAAACGAGAAGAAAAAGAGAAAAAAAACGTTTGCTGAATACTACACAATTATTAATTTGCAAATTATAATCACATAACACAATTTATCAAGCAATTTCATAATCATGAATTATTTCAATACAGGATAACAATAGCAATCACTATTTATATATACTTTTGAAGCATCAACAACCCGAAGTCTGATTGGTATTTGGAAATCTCTAACTTAGAAACTTCTCCCGACATATTTTATCTAACACATTCAATGCCTCAGACGTCATCCTTACTCCTTCTTTAAAATAGAAAATATACAAAACTTAATTTCAATTTCCGAGCCAGAGAACGAAGTCAAGATGAAACCTCATATTTAATGGTTAAGAAAGTCAAATGTGGCAAACAACAAATCGCATCACCAGAATGTTAAACACTGCTCAAAAATGCTTCCATCTCTCTTCCTGAAAACGTTTTTCGATGCTTCCAGTGCAATTCAATCCAAAAAAACGATGGGAATACGAATAAATAGCGCATGAATCATCATGGTTTCCTGAATCCCTTCACCAAAAACTAAACAAGACATTCTCAGTCACGTCCCTATTTCCAAAAACCTTTAATGAATATTTTCACCGGGTAATCCTCATCTTGCCAATAATCAAATGTTTACAACTGCTTTCCACATTAAGTGCAAGTGTGAAATGCCGAATGAAAACAAAAGGTGCTTCACTCGCTTCCACAAATCTTTGACCTATGGCTTGAATCATGCACGTTCTACTCTACTGTTGAAACTTCAGCTAAAATGGTCAATTTATCAGTTAACGTAAATCAGGTAAGAGTGGAAAACTATGTCAGTTTCATCAATTGCAATTAATCGTATATCAACATTACTGACTTCCGAAGTATATTTAATTACTCAAAAAATACTTCTCAATTTCTACCACGTTGCACATTTTCCGAATAAGTTATTCTCCAAAAAGCGAAATGAAGATCAACGTTTCATTTCCGTAATCCAAAAGAAATAAGATATGGTAGGACAGAATTCCAGGACTGAATGAAATAATTGTACCTATCCAACCAGTAACACAGATAACAAGATGATTAGAGGTCAACAAAGATAAAGCTTGAGATAAAACATCAGGAAAGAACGAGCAACAACAATAGTAACCTTGGCAGCAATCAGAACCTTAGCAGCGAATAAATACTAAGAACACAACTGTTGAGCAACAGACTCGAACATCCCTCTTGATATATCATATTTCTTATTTTATATCACCACCATATTCTCTCACATGTATCCTACCGACAATATCAGTCCGAAAATCAAAGAGATCAGTTCTCGTTATGAATAGGATATATCGACACATATCAACTTTCCGTTTCCCACAGTCAAATCCAAGATAAAACAATTTTGAGCCAATAGCAAAAATTGGCAAAAAACACACTGATAATGTACTATTCAAAAACCACTTCATCAAAACGAACTTGAAGGAATCGCTCTTCTTTGCTGAACATTTTTTAACTACCACTGGTATTTGCCGAAACCACTGACTGGTAAAGAAAATATGGCTTTATACCCCTAAGAAATGACTGACCCACGTCATGCATCCATCAAGTTATGGAACTAAACAGCAAGTAATAGAAGTGACCTAACAAAAGAGTGTGGATAAACAAACTATCGATCACACATATCCCCCTGAATGGTCAACCTAAACTGTTCGGAGTAATTATTCGCAACATTAACAGATGGATGGTTAGAATTCTCGACAAAACATGCGCACTTCGATTTGATAGTATTTGCTACACCTCACATATCAACGTTACGGAAAAGCGCAACCAACAAATTTGATCGCAACATCTATCCTATACATGAATTCAATCATACAATCCCACAGAAAGCAGTGTCGAAGGCGAGAAAAATGCAAGGAATAAAATGAAAACGGAAATTCAGTCAGCAAAATGTCCATCCGCCAACGTGAATCTAATTTTAATGCAAAAGGTGAAACACACAGGGAAGAGGGATATGAACGATAACTAACATCTACATATGTGGAGGTAAGCAACTATGATAAAAAGTTGGATCTATTCGGGAATAAGAACAACTAAGAATGGTAATCGTACTCCTTGTCACACTAACTGTAACTGTAATTGTAATAGCTATTATAATAGTAGTAGTAGTAGTCGTAGCCATCGCCATCATCGCCGTCGTTGTCAGTCAGTCAGTCAGTCAACAGCAGTAGCAGTAACAGCAGCAGCAGCAGCAGCGGAATCACAGGCAACCATTGCACTGACGTGGCAAGCACAACAACCCTCCTCCTCCACCCACCCCAGAAAGCACCAAACGCTTACACCCAAAGGATGAGGGAGGGGTCCACATGCCTTTTTCTCTCTCTTCTTCCCGAGCAGAATGTGAAACTCTCTCCTTCCCCCTCACACCCAATCTCTCTAGAATGCGGGGGGTAGTTAATAATGTGAAGTACCGTTTGCCGTTCTGGAACCACCCACCTATTCATCTAGGCACCGCCCATTCAACCTCGTCTACCACCCATCCCATAGCAACCTATTCATTTGTGTGTCGTGTCGTCGAGGAGGATGGTGCAGCGATGGCGTTGGTGGTTCTTGACGACGTTAGTGTCTTCCTTCTGCTTCCTGCATTGTGTGTTGTGATGAAATTCTGTGGTCGAATTCAGATTCGACCAGCAAAGACTCATCGCTATCTTAATTGGGCCTCCTCCTTTTCCCTACATAGAAATTTCAGGATACCTGTAAGTGTAAGGTAAATATTTCCACCCCTTTCCCTTCACACTCTTGTTCCACTCCTCTTCCACACCAAAACAAGATATACCATACAACATGCCTCACCTCTTAATTGCTGAATGCATTGCTAAAGCACCCCCTACCTATTCTACCTACTACCCTTAAGTCCTCCTTAATATCATACTGCATAAGAAATAGTAGGTAACCTAATTACAGCTCTATCCCGCCAATTAGGAAGAGAGATCCCATTTGATTCAACATAGCAGTGCACAATTTTATCGCAGTAAACAACTCATGAAACCAAGGTTTGATAAGGTGACGAGTTACAAGATAATTAATCCTACCCTGTTCTGCTGATTACTTCTATTAAATAAACTGCTGGTGGAAGTTGCCATATTTCACAGAGCTGTAAAAGCTTACAATTCACAAGAAACTAATCGCTATATATGTTTAGGAACGCTTGAAGAAATGAAGCTTTTGTTATGAGGCACAACTATACTCGTTATTTCACATTTAGGAATATTTTGTCACATCATTAGCTACTTTAATCTGATATGAATCCTTATCAATGATGTTTGTCCTGCAACAGCTTCAGGGTGCCAGCCCCCATTTCATATCTTCAGTATGTCATACGATTAAGGTCTACAGTGTACTGGACTGTTGTCAACCATCAAATAGTATGTGGATGTTTAAAGGATAGATGCAGAAATAGGATTGCTATAAATTCTACTATAACCAGTGATAAAGTACTACGGATAGAGGATTGACAACAGTTCTGTCGATGTTCTATAAAGGTCATCAATTCTTACCTGAATTAGGCATCGATTGATGTTTGCCGACTGACAATTATTTGGTCCTGGAAAACAACAACCTTAGAACTCGGTGATTGTTGAGAAAATGTTCATTAATAGCATTAAAGAATTTGCGGTACATATTGTAATGCAATTAAAACACTAACTGAAATTCGCTGATTTCAAAGCATCTCGAATACGTTAGAACGAAATGCTCCTAGTATTTCCATTCATCCTTTTCCTCTGAAATGGTAGGTGCTTACTGTTGATGTGTAAACGAATGTATTTCACAATACAACCTACTTTTCACATAAATTGCGCATAATAAGACTAACCGTATTGGCTTACATAAATTGATATTAGAACACCCAGATTTTCCGGGTATGTGGACCATCTCGTATATCTCGTTATTGCATAACAGTGCTAGACGCAGACGTGCTAGACTTGCGGGGGAGCCCCGGTCGTGGAGGTAGCTGTTGAATTCACCTAATGGAATGGAATAGCGAATAAGTATAATTGGTGGCAGTGACGTCTTGACTCAGGTGTTCTTGTTGATAACGTTATGAGTGTTGCCGTCATACTGTCCCCAGTTTGATTGAAATGCAGCCTGAGAAGAGTTAATTAGTTAGTATGATGAACATTGGAACATCCCTTTAATCTTATACGAGCTGAATATACTGTTAAACCGGGAGACATGACACATTGTATATGTGTTAGCAAATTTCTAAAAAGATCCTTGTTGTTATAAAATACGGATCACAAAGATATGCTGTGCAATCCTGAAAGCCTTCTGGTGACTACATCACTGCTGTATTCTCGAACATTAGTATGTAAGCTTCTTACCACGTTATCAGTACTTCACTGTGCTTGGAGAAATATGGGAATAGCAGCAGCTAACTGACAGTATAAACTCACCACTTAATTGTTCGCATTTTTTGACCATTTTTCTGCGAGATGTAAACTTCATTAAGTTTTTGCATAGTGTTAGTAGTACTAAGTCTAGGAGTAATACACTGGGATTAGTTTTAATGGAAGCGTCGCTAGTGTTGAGTGGTATACTAAAATATACGATTATATGAGTGCTTCTTTCATCGGGACTTATATGCTAGTCAATATTAACAAGCGGTACTTCCATCAAAGATTTAGCTGCTCTGCTCACGGTGGAACGATATATTACAATGAGCCTAAAATGTTTTCCTAGTCTGTTCCCGTGAAACGTTCCCTATAAACTGCACAACGAACCAACCCATATTTCCGTATCGTTCCACTTCCTCCCTAGACTCCATTTGCAATCCGATGTTTACAATCTGGCAACTGAACAACTACCCATCCATTCACACCTAACTGGCAGGTTGCAAAGCATAACAATGGGAGAGAAGGAGAGATTATGAGGATAGACTTTATGATCGTTAATCTGCTCACTTACTTAGATGGGCAAATAGAATATGAAGGCTGCAAGTGACACAAGTAGCATTTCCCTAAAGCGTTGTGCTACACGTTAACTTTACCCTAACTGTTCCATTTTAATCTTTCCTTCCCATCCGCATAAAATGAAATTACATAGCAGATGACAACTGCACACAGGCAAGCAGAGAAAGACGAAGGAAGGGATAGAAAGGGATGGAGTGGGTGAGGAGAGAATTATTGATGGCGCTCGTAAACATCTCAGTCTATTCTGAATTTCTTTCCATCCCGCCAAACCCTCCTCTCCACTCGGTAATTGATCGAAACTCGCCTATACTCCTACTCCCTCCACCTAGTGTACCATCATCACGAATCGATCGTCCAAACATGTGACCTCTCTCTCCTGCCCTCTGATCTGATTGTAAAAGAGGACAATGGAACGCTCTGTGCAACCACCCTGACACACATACCAGAGCAAAGCAGACCCACAGACCCGTACTATAATTCCAGTGGAAGATTAATGACTTTGTTGGCGGCAGTGGTTGTTGTTCATTGCACTCACAAAGGCCATCACACACACATACACACACACACATATATATATATATGTTCAGAGACAAATCCCACTTATACCGCACTAAGGGGGACCAACCTCCTTCACTAAATTAGATTCATCCTGACGAATAATTGTAGCTGGTACAGAGCAGGTCAAGAGCTGGTGTAAGACAGGGGATGAATTGTCGATGCACATGCACACTCCATGCTTACCAGTCATCAGTGTTAGCCTGGATTTAAAACTGAATGAGAAATTCTAAGCACAAACTGCAGATAGCTGTGTTAATGCTTCAACTGAAGAAATCAATTCGTGTCATTTATAGCACAAAATCTGGGGACTCTTCCGTAAAATGATATCTTTGCAATTGAGCTGTTCCATATTTGAGTATTTCTATAATCTGTGAAACATAAACTTTTCTAGGAATTCAAATTCTATTTCCCGTATGTTGGAGGTATATATGTTAATAGTAGTATGTCAACAATAAGGAGGAACTCTTTGATTCATTTCTTTTATTTGGTGAATCTTATAGGTTGCTTCATTTCGGGACAGGACAAAGTCAAATAACCCACCAGTATTGTTTGTTAGGCTGCTTAGAATCCGACTCATCACCATCCATTGTTTGATAATAATTATGGGGAGAATTGATCATGCAATTAAGGGTTGTTACAAAGGGAAAACCTGTCCCTTGAGGAGAGACAAAAGAATACGGCAAGAGTGTGCTCTTTGTTCTGCGAATATCTTGCGGCATCGATTGACTACCCTTCCTAACTTGCAATTATTGGCAAGAAGCATTCAGTCGTGAATGCAACTGCACAATTATAGCCTTTCCATTGATTAGATGTTATCTGATCAGATACGTCTGCTATGTGCCAATAACCGTTCAACTCACAATGAAAGGCGATGGCACGATGGTGTCTCGTCGTTATCATCACCTGTCATTATCATCAATGTTATCACTACCGCTGAACGGAATAGACGAAAACATTTGTTACAACGAGAAAAGAAATATATTCAAGCAACAGTTGTTTTTATGTTTAAGTGCTAGAAGAAAAGGCTTCCCATAAATGTGAAGAGAGAGAGAGAGAGAGAGGATAGGAGAAGTGATCCTTATTCCCTCTTTTTTCCCACTCATTCTTGTCAACCCTTTTTCTCCTTTCATTCTCATTATCTTCCGTCTACTCCTCATCTCGTCATCAAATATCATCAAACCAAAGAGGGGTGGCATAGAAGAGAGAGGGAAAGAAAAACGTCAACAACAAATAATACACAAATGCTTAACAAAGCAATTTGTAAATATTAAGAATGATGCTAGGTAGAGAGAAGTAGGGATGACATGCAGAATTGGAAGTTTAGAAAAAAAGGTGAAATGTGGTAGGAAGTATATGTAGAGTGAGATACTATATAATCTAGAAGAGGCAATATTCTTCAGAACAGCTGTGAAAGTTAGACCTTATCTTTAAGTGTATTGTGTGTGTGTGTGTGTGTGCAGACATACGTCATCGACGTCATTATCAGCATCATCGTTAGAACCACTTCAAACTGCTTCAGGAAAGTTGAAAACAAACAAAGGAATGAGAAGGGATGGTATTGATCTCTTGGACAAGTGATGATGACGATGATAAATGCTTGCTACAATATCCCATTGGGACAACCTTAGGATTAGATGGTTGGGGCAGAAATATGCCCGGCAAGTTGGAAATATGTAGTAATTAGTGAGGAAAATGGAAATAAATGCGTTGGAAGAGTGCTCATTCATCCTTTTGTCGAGAATTTGGGCAATTTTTTACCCAAATCTACCAGTCCCTTCCATACACTTCCCTCCTTTTTTTTTCCCTCTCTCTCTCTCTCTCTTGCTCTCCTTCATCGACTCTCGTGTAAATCGATAGAAAGAGTGGGCTTTGCATTGTTCGATTCATACATACATGCACCATCCCCTCCATACACACCGGTACATCCAGACACACACACACACACACATGCACACACTTGGCGGGGAGCGGGGGAATAGGGTGGAACCAGCCAACATCGACCCCTCTCCTCACACCAATAATTGCCATTGCCGAATAACAATTTCGAGGGACTTTTCTCCAATGCAAAAAATGTGGGAAGATTTCTTTTTTTTTTTTTCATTAATGTAATAATGATTCTGCTTAAAACTAGGCACATGGTAGTTTTCTTTGTTTACAGTTTCAATTTAATTATGCAATTTGTCGTATCGTTCACAGTTCATATGTTATCATTAACTGATATAAGAGCAGACAAGACAATCTATACAACCTGAAAACTACACGTTCACGTCTGCTGGCTTTGTATACAATTCGAAAACTTACTGCACAGAAGAATAAATAAACAGTGTGAAGATTCCGCATACTATGCTCAAAAGGGATGTAAAGCTGAAATTTAAATTGAACCTACCAAATTTAAATTTGACATGAAGATAGAAGGATGAAGGGCTAATAAATGAAATGATAATCCATTCACGTGTATTACTGTGGGTATATTTCAGCTGTGATCACTTGCATACTTAGACTTCCTGAAAAAAGATTTATGATATTATCATTAATTAATTGTTGAGTTAACTACGGTAATTTCAACTTCTCATGAAAGACTTGCCTATTTTGATACAATCTGTCCTCGTTTCCAACAATTCCTAACAAAACTTATATTTTTTGAAAAAAAAAAAGCAGTCACTCTATCCAACACAAATAATTGTATTGATAAAATAGCAGTGGTCGAAAGATCATAAAGTTGTTCTCTGATGATCATATTATCTTTATTGATTAACAGTATAATCGAAATAAATTGAACGGAAAAAAAAAGGAACAGTTCATACAGCTATTATTATAAACAAATTATAAACAGGAAAAACTGAATTTAAATCATTGGAAATACGCGATTAATCTCTGACCTTATTCAGAAAAATTCGGAACTTTATGGGTAATATCTCTTTTTTCAATAGTCCAGCAGAACATTTATAGCGTGACGTCATTTGTAGCTGATTCCTAAAATGAAATACTTAAATACACGTTGACTGTCATTGTAAAGTTATTGGGTAATTTATCGGAAAATAAAAGAAAAATTTGCTATACTTGCATATTGCATGAAACAAATCTTTAAAAATATATCAGTTTTTGTCTTTAAAAAATAAGATGTAGAGTATATTTACAGATTTTAAAAGTTTGCAATGTCTTCTCTCTCTGCCATCAGTGACCAAATAACCATATTGCAAAGCTACGCTTATTTACACTCATGCAAACATGTACACTGATAACGTGCAGCAATAAGTTACATCCTCTAAATTTTTACCAATTAAAGGATGAAAGAATAAACATACAGTAAGTTTCACTAAGTAATCAATCAATAATCATTTTACATTATCGAATGAAATGTTGAAGAAAGACTAATTCCACTCAACGTATCGTATCATATCATATCAGTAAGTTAATTACATCACTCCAATGCAGGACACTTTTCAAATAAGCTCTCACCTATGTTAAACAGAATGAAGTATACTAGTATTACGCAGCATGACTGTATCTTTAATCCTACTCAAGCATGCAGCGTGACGCATTTCCATTGCTGTACTCAATTCCTATTCACGTACGTGTAGCATACCGTTCAGCGTACTCTACATAGGGCCGACTGGTATTTCATGGTGAGCCAATAACTCTGCCTGTTGTCATTGAAGAATATGTCAGTTGTATTTGTTGTTGAAGGTGCGTGGTTTTCAGTAGGATACGTGATCCACTGTGTTCACGTAATTTGTTATATTGACAGATCTTTTCTCTCTGCGATCATAATTTTTCCTTTGTTTATAATTTCCTTCATTGTTAACCATTTTTAAATCATTATTTATCTTAGTGTTGTTCGATGGCTACCAAACGATTCACTCAAAGTGCTATCAATTTCAAAACAGTTAGTGATTTGGTTGGCGAGAAGCATGCTAAAGAAGTTACCGCATTAGCAGTGAGTATTTGACTTTCTTTTTCTTACAAAATTATCAGCCGTGCTCATCATGCACTATATGATAATATTTCTTTCCTTGTTATAATTATTACCCTATTTATTATATATTGATAGTTCTTTACTTCTAAATTATCACAGCCTTCCGCCCGCGTTTCTCTCATTTTAATCATTAATAGCATAACCAAAGTTTCATTGCTGTTAAAATGTTAAATATAATTATTAATTCTAATTCGCTAGCAAGGAATGTTTCATCGAATGTGTTTTCAAATGTTTCAGCAACATCATCAACATTACTTGAGTACCGTGATGTCTAAACCTGCGGAACTGCCAAAATATGATTTTGCTAAGTTGAAAAAGCAAATGCCTGAACATGCGATTGCTTTGGACAAGCTGCAGAAGCAATATGAAGCAATCAAAATACCGTTTCACTCAGTACCAGAGCAATTCATGAAAGTACGATTTTCTTTTTTTTTTTGGAATATTTGTCCTTAGTTATGTTTTGATGCAAGACAGGTCATTAAGTTTTCACATTTAAGATAAATTTATTCCTCTTATTTGTGATGAAAATATGAGAATTTTGAGTCGAGAACACTAAGCAATGCTTGCAAGTTTGGGACATAGTACTTTTCGCTGCTGTTTCAGAACATTTAAGTTCATGTTCCTGTATTTAGTATCCTATGTGCAATAATTTCGGTGTTTTTTCTTTTTTTTTTTTTTTTCAATAAAACTCTTTTATTTCTATTGTGATATCCTCGATTCTCACTCGTATTTCAAAAAGAAAAAAATCTATTTAGGAGATTGATGATTATTTGAAATACGTTAGCACAAAAATGGATTTTCTCAATCGTAAGCTGACTGATGCTGCGGAAGATGAAAAAAAAGTAAGCTTTCCAGAATTTGCATTCTTCTTTTTTTCTTCACAGTAGGCTTTGGTATAAGTCAAGTTAAATTATATAGTAAAGGCTACGAATTATATTGCAGTACTTTTTCTGAATTGCAGCTTATCCGATCTTAGAGCGTTACCATTTTGCAATCTCTTGCACAATAAATTCAAATAATAAATATGCAATTTTATCATTTCGTAATCAGAAGATTTTTATTTTCATGCGAAAAATTTCCAGATCAAAGCGAAATATGAAAACATGCCACCGATTGAACATTTTCGACCAGAACATTATGGGAAGTTCTTTCCTGAAGTGCACCGTGACGTCCGCTTGCCAATTGATCGTTTTACGACGGGTTGGGGTAGTACAAATACTCCCGAGCATTTCCAAGAATTGAAAGAACTCTTTAAAGATTATCGATCACGTCCAGTTCCCGAACACTTGCAGAAATGATTGTGTTTACATGTAGGTAGCTCTGTAGAAGGATTTTTTTTCTGTGGAATTTTGTTATCTTTTTGTGTGAAATAATTTAATTCACTAATGATAAAATCTAGTTGCTTTTTATTTAGTTTTTTGTTGTTTTGTCCAGAGCAAAACATATTATTTGTTTTTTCTTTCTCTGTATTGAATTTTCAAGGCTTTACCTCATTTTTACAGTTAAAATACCTTTACGAATTTAAGTTCGATTTCGCATCTAAGTATTATAAAAGTTTGCATGAATATTACTGAATTTAATATCTTTATTTGAGAATTGCAAGAGATAATTCTGAAGTCAGTGTAAAGCATATTTAGACAATTTCGTCGAGATTCAGTCTTATCTTTTGGAAGATGAGATAATTTTTTCCATACTTTTTAATACATTACGTTTTAAACGTGGCTCATTTTAAGCAGTAAAAGCGCAGTTGATCTGTTAGGAGTATGTCGGGCTCGCTTGATGTATTTGTGAAATCAGTTATGGGGCTTACTGTATCTGGTAAGTTACCAATTTTTGAGATAATTTAATCGTACAATATTCTAAGAAGTCGCGGTTATAACTGCGATTCGTTGTTGCATGCCGTTTTGTCACAGATGCTTTCTTAGGAGAACCTGGAATATATGTGACGCTTATAGAGGTTGTGCATCATTGACAAAATGTAAACTATTTTGAAAGTTGTTTATTTATTCATAACTTGAAATCACTATAAGTAAGTTTGTTGTGTCGTACCATCATTAATTGGTCTCAGAAAGTTATACAATTTAGCATCATGGCGAGAACTAGCTGATCTCCACCGAAAAGCCATTTATGATGTTCTGGAACGGAATATTTCTCATTTGGATAGTGTATTAGAAACACTTACTATTGACCGATACTCGATGTCAGTTGTATCAATATTGCTAGTTAAAATGAATCAAATTTATACTGAAAATGTGAAAGACAGGGTCAGATTTTTAAATTATATTTAAAATTTGTCTTTAGTATGCTTTCTTTATAGAAATCATTTTTCTAAAGTTTTCGTACATCATTTTTTATCAGCATATCTTCGGATATGTCGAATAGGAGGCATCATTTTACATTTCATTATGTTGCAGTTTATGTTTGAATCTCACTTTGTTTTTTGTACTAAGAATGAAGATGAATTAGCAAAAAAACCTTCGCTGAAAGTAGAATGGTAATGATTGAAGTTCTGTTATGAAAAAAAAATCTGATTTATAGTTTGAACGTACTTTGTCACAAGTGGAATCAATGGTTCCGTTTTTTGATAGTATGCAGATCTCATTCATTCCTGATATTTGTGAGTTTATGTAATTTTATTTTCATAAGTTGTTTACAGGTTTCCTTTGAGATTCAAATTTAAATAATGTAAATTTCATACACACAAATGGTGTTATGTCCTATCACTTCTATTTTTAGTTGTGTTGCTTTTCCGGAAAGTATACGAATATTGTCTTCTTCAAATTAACAAGGTATATTTAATATTAATAACTATACTATTGGATTTTTTATATGCTGCTTTATAAAATATAGTCTAGATAAAGAGGTATTACCTCTTTATCTAGGTAATAGCTTTTTTTATATTCATATGGCGATATGCTTGGGAAAATTTTCACCGATGGAAAGTTCTCATGGCAAGTGACGACCCACTGAAGTGATTTCCAGAAACTATTTGCCTAATTTCATCACATCACTTGATTTCCTTGGGAAGCAAATGAACATAAGCTTTGCTCTTGCTAGGTTATACATTACACGAACTACAATAATTGGAAGTACCAAAATTATTGAATGTCTTACACTATAACCATGCTGTGAGAATATAATTTTCAAGTATATAATGAAATTTGCAGCCAGCTCGTGGTATTATGTTACTTTCAAATGCAATCAGTGTATTGGTAAAAGAAGAAAAGGACATCCTTACCTCGCTTCATCCATGTCTTTTTTGTTTGTGCCTTAAGGCTCGTATACATGATCCAGCCATACCATTCTTACATCTTGCTGTGCCGAAAATATTTAAGGAGGTAGGCATGATCAATAACACTTTTATTTCCACAATTATATTTACACAGATTGCAATTTCCTGTATAGTTCTGCTGGAATCTAAAGTAAGTGCTTTTTATTTAGATTGATCATGCGGTTTATTTAGATCGATCATTTATTTGGTTACGTAGAAACTTGGTGTGAAAATACGATATATAATCGCTTCTACATGCTTAATATAATATTGTCCTGATTGTAGACTACAAATCAAACAGGGCCCTATATGGATCCAAAATGGGTGGTGTTGTATTTTTACTATGGTGGTTTGCTTTATGCGGTTCTAGGCCGTTATGAAGAAGCATTTGCAATGATGCAGAAAGCGTGCTGCATTCCAGCAATAGCTCCTAGCGCGATAATGCTTCGAGCTTATAAGGTTATTTTCTGATATTAAGATCATAGAGCTAAATACGGCGATTATTATATTGGACGGAGTTTAATCATGAGCATGTAGTTAGATCACATATACATGTTATCCGCAAAGAAGTTTGGGTACATTAATTTTCATTTGCTTTTCATTAATTTTCATTTGAATATCTTCAATTACTTTATTGTCACACTGGAATAGGAATAGTATTTGGAATAGGTATTTGGATGAATTTTAAAGTAAAATTTATACAAAATTTGCATAATTTTCCCATAAATTTGTAGACGTATGTGCTATTATCATTGCTTCTGCATGGGAAAATACTTCGCTTATCTAATTACCGATCGCCAGTGATAACCCGCAGTATTATTCCACTTTGTCCGGATTATTCAGCATTGGAAAGAATATGTGACAATGAAGAAGAGAATTTCGATAAAGCTAGTGCCATACTTGAATATCTGGAAACACATTACGCTACTTTCGAAAAGGTATTTATTCGTAAGTAGTTTTTCCAATGGATTTTGGGGAAAGACAAAAATTGTGTAAAGGTCTGGAATAAACGGGTCTAAAACGGTTGTGCTATGTTATGCGGTGTTACCGAGTTTTTTTCTGCTTAAATCTTTTACTGACGTTAAAGAAAGGAAAACTAACCTTTTAAAGTAATTTAATATTTTTAAGCGAAATCAGTTAAATATAAGTTCGTTATATCAGTTCGAAATGTATTTTCTAATTTATATTTTTTACAGGACAAGACCGTTGGCTTGGTGAAACTTGTAGTTAGAAGTATTCGTGAAAATTCAGTTAAAAGGCTAACTGAGGTTGGTTATTCTTAAATGTATTTGTCGAAATGTAACCAGTTAGTTACTGTTTGCTATAGAGTTATATATCTTCAGGGCATCTTTTTTTCTGCTAGGGTATACTACAAGGAGCTGGAAAATGTTTCTTATCTGAGCTTTCAGAGGTTTCTTGATATTGGTAATGAAACATCGCTGTAGATCAACTGATCTATAGAAGTCCACTTTGGAATTTAGTTAGCAGCATGAAAGAAATGAGATTATGTTGATTATGTTGTTGACTGAATTTTAATTTTGAACTTGATAGGGCTGCAAAACTTTCTTATATTTATTTTAACTCACAAACGAAATTTTTACGACTGCCAAAATATCTCCGAAGTATTAATCTAAGTTAAGTGTTCATTTGAAATTGATTTTTTTCGAAAAAGTATTGGTAGAGTCTTTTCTAGTTCTTTTGAACTTTTGATTTTTAACGGAGTTTTTTTATGTAGTGTTTCATATCAATTTCACTGTCGGATGTAGCACGACGATGTCATCTAGATGACAGTGATCACGCTGAATTCTATCTTCGTGAAATGAATAAAAATGGGAAAATTAATGTGCGTATTGACAAGAAACAAGGCGTTGTTTATTTTGATGAAATGAAGGTTTGTTATATGTTCACTTTTATAATATTGTAAATAGATTAAGATTATTAAGCTAGCATCGAAATGACCAATGTGCTCAATGATGAAAGAGGAATGAAAGAAATATAGAAGAAAATTAAATTTTAATTTCACTAGTGACTTGATTTTGGATCTTGAAAAGAATTATTACTTTTAATTCACTGACGAGAATATTCTTTTAAGACAGAAGCAGATGAGCATAAAGTGGATAAGGTCGCAAATTCTATATACACGTTGGATGCTTTAATGAAACAATTTGACGATCGGATTCGCGTTAATCCTTCCTACATTTCACGCGTTGGACGACCATTAGCACGAGGAGTTCCTGCAGTTCCTCCGGATGAAGGTTTGGGACATCCAGGCTCTATTTTTATGCCTAACGTTAATGTTGGTGATATTGAATCAGCAGCTGGTAGACCCATGGATATGGTTGATTAACTGTTGCTTTTATGAAAATATAGCTCTCTACATTTTTACAGTGTTTATCTGAGTTCCCAAGTGACCAGTTTCAACTTAGATTGCATCACAGTGATCATGAAACATTAAGCGTGCGCTATTTAAGGGAAATTTCGTTTTCATGAAAAGAGACAGACAGCCTTTCCATGTTAACTGTATATGTTTTTTATTTCTCTATTTCTATCTTTGCACTGTTCCATCTTCATTTTCTAATAAAAATGTATTTCAGTTTGGTTGAAGCAAAATATTATTGTATCCATATTTTCTTAAATAGGCTGGTGACAGTTACATCTGACGTTGTATTTGCAGTCATTACTCACTGTAATGTGGATTCTGTTTCTCACACTCCCAGATATATGGATAACATTTGGCAGTTTATCCTGATAGCAAAGGCCTCCTCTGCCTCATCTTTAACTGAGAAGTGAAGTAAAACAAATAGACTCTCGATGGACGCACAATAAAATATCGTAAATTTTTTTGAAATAATGTCCAATAGCACAACATATAATATAACTGGCCCATATAATCTACATTGCTATACTACATATATCTGCATATCCAGAAAACTCCTGAAGTTACTCTCGAGTTTCTGAGAAATATACGAAAAATACATTTAAGAAAAAATAGAGAAATATATATATCTCCACATAGGCCCCTATAAATACTATTTTACAATAGTCATTGGAGAGAGAATTTCTAAACTAATTTACAATAACAACAAAGTAACATTTGTTGTACAACAACAACAATAACATTTGCGTCTTTTTTACAAATTAAAAATTTAAACTTCGGGCTATATTGGCATTTATTGTAATGTTATGAAGAAATTGGCCAGTGTGTTTCAAGAAGTGTTGGCCCCACAATAACAACAATAACAACACAAGGCCATAAGTTATGTTAGATTTGCTTCATAATTTGGCATTCAGGTTACAGAATATTGCAGTGAATTTTCAGAATCAAAAGAGAAAATCTATTTTTGCAAAAGGGATTTGGCATGCATAAAATGGTCCATAATAAAAATTTACAAATGAAACGATGCGAAGGTAGCGATAAAAATAACAAAATAACAAAAGATACATAAGGCAATACCAAAGTAGTACAAAAAAACAACAATGTGGCGATTGTTTGGAAAAAGTTTTTTCAACAAAAAACAATCATAATAAACTTTCCAAACGTATAGGAAGAAGGAGCGAAAATAATATGAAAAGAAAGTGGTAACAATCATAGAAAGTATTTTAAAATCTTTAACGATGTCCAACAATTCTTGGCATCGAAACAGAAGTTTAAGTTTCAATTTTATCAGCCGTTGATTCAATACACATCGAAAAGCATTGCTCATTCGCCAATCCTGCTGTTGGTGCTGTTGGTGCTGCTGGTGCTATTACTGCTGCTGTTGGTGTTGCTGGTGTTACTGGTGCTACTGGTGCTGGTGCTGCACTATGATTGAGGTGAATGTTTTGGCTTGGACGGTTAATATATGGATATGTGGCACTAATTGTATCAGGCCACCAGCTCATCTAAAAATAAGACAAATTAGATTCTAAATTTTTTCTACATTCTGAATTACCCGAACTTCTTTTTTACTCAAATTAAATGCTGCCAACTATCTAATCCACTATTAGCTAACCTGTTCTAAACCCGGTGTTAACGACATACTGTTTGACTGTACTGCTCCGGTACTTAACCAGTGGTTATATGCTTCATTTTTTGAAAAATCTGGTTGTTCCCGATTTATTAATAAATCCAATGGACGTAACTAGAATTGGCTTAATTTATGATTCATTTATTATCCTTTCTCATTTACTATCTGAAATATGTGCCGATAGAAGCACACGTAACACGTAATAGCATCAAATGTAATCTCACGTGACAGCATCAAATGTGATCTGAAGAAACCGAAGATGACTGATCCTTTTTGTTGAAAGAAAATAAATTTTGAAAAATCTAAAAAATAATAAAACCAACAAGATGTGGTGGCAGGATTCTGTTATCACCGGTTAATGGTGTCTCATGAAATGGGGAAAACTGATAAGATGCACTATCCAAATTTTCTCTCTGAAATTATCCTTGTTAAATTTTCAAGAATGTTACTAAACCAAAAAGTTTTAATTGTAAGAGAAAAGATAAAAAGATGAAAAAAAGAACATCAAGTGTAGTTTGTCACTCATAAAATGTACATTCTGTGTAAATTAAAATTTTTGGGAAGAATTATTAAAGAGAAAAAGTTTTATTGGTAACGATATTATTGTTTATTAAATTTTTTTTTTCCTTTATTTATAAAGACATCAATTTTTTGATATAATATTTTCGACAAATTCGTCAGTGATAGCTAAATTATTGAAGCTTTATGCATGCCGTAAATTTTACAGAACATTTATCGAAAGTTCCCCAAACAACTTAAACTTACATATTTTGCATTTACTTCAGGTGAATTGTTGGTACCTGTACTTCCAATACCAGAATCACCGTCTGATACACGTTGCGTTGTACGCCAGCTTTTTGAATTCTAAAATTTATAATTTTAGAATACTAAGATAATTAGAATATCTTTGATATGAAAAATTTTCTAACCGTATTCTCGTGAATCGGAGAGATGCGACGAAGTTTACGTTCATAACCAATTGGTACATTTTGACCCATTGGAGTGATTGTTACAGGTGTAGGTTGTAGACTAGTTATTGGATAATTTTGCTCCAAATTCCAGAAACGCTGTAAAAAATTGAAACTTTTTCAATTTTAAATTTTTATAGCCTTTAAATTTTATAAGTTTTAGAAACTTTAGCATTTTGTAAAATTTTTAAAGAAAACATACACGTGCAGAAGATGATGATAATGTATTATTTGGAGTATTCATACGAATTTCATAATCATACGGTTGTAAACCAGGATAAACAAAACGTGCAATACGAAGTTCATGTGGACCATGCGCAAACCTGAAACTTTACTTTTACGTATTTCTGTTGAGAAAACAAAATTTTAGGATTTTTTATTGAATATAACCATATGATTAATAATAATAATAATAAAACTATTTACAAACCAACAACGTTCACCAAATCGGCATGGTATTCCGGCACTCCAAAAATCGCATAATGCTGTTTTATATAATTCACGATTTCGTGGACTTGGCGTTTTTGATGTACGAAGCTAAAATTACTATGTTTTGTAAATTTTTTTGAATTTTTTAAAAATTTAAAAAAAGTGTTTCATATTTTTAGTTGAAATTTATATGTTACTTACATATTTTATGCAGTAAAATTGAGATATTTATTATTGGATCTATAACGATATTATTGCTACAAATAAATTTGCCCACTTTTAGGATATGAAAATTAGTAGTACATTTAAGTATCATTGTAATAATAGATTATTAAAAGTACTAATAATTACTACTAGAATATTAGTACTAACATGAATTTCATTTGGATAAATTAATGGAGCATTCTGCATTTGAGCTTTTCGAAGCATAAATTCATTAAATAATTGTTTCTGAGTTTCTAGTTTTAGTGCTGCCACTTTTTGCTCTAATGAAGCTTCATCCCATTTTAAATTATAATTCTCATATAGCCTGAAATGCAAAAAAAAAAAAAAAAAACAATAAATTTGTGAAGTAAACAGAAACTTTCACATTGATCAGCTTTAATGATCTATCCATTACAGATCATTATGATCACTTTAATACTCATTTAACAATCTTAAATTTACAGCACAAAAGTTTTAGCAAATCTTACAATCATATACAGCCTAAGAAATTGCACATTTTAAATTTATTCTTTAATAAAATTAACAAATTTTTGCTTTGAATTAATATATAAAATGAATTTAAACTAGAAATTGATTATCAAAAAACTCCCAACTCTAGAATTTAAAATCTATCTCCATATTTTTCTCTTATCCTACATAAAATGATTCACACTTACTACCTCTTACTTAATTTTCGAAGTCTTAAAAGTTTGAAATTTATAGATATACTTGCTAACAATCTAAAAAAATCATAAATCTGTATTCTGTTTTAATCCAAAAATTATTTCTCTAAAAAAAAAATGTTTTGCTTTAAAAAATATCTTTAATTTTTTTGCATTTATTTGAATTCTTTCACATATGAAATATTTATATGATTAATTTTAATGTTTACTATTTGATTTAACAAATATTTTTCTATAATTTTGTCAATATCAACTCACGTTTGATCTGCTAATGTTGTTGACAATGATGGTAGTGTAGTAGTAGTAGTTGAGATGCCGCTTAATTTAGGATAAAATATATTTCCATCACTATTAATAGTAGTTATACCATTTGTTTGATCATGTTGTTGTAAATTGGATAAATTAGACATCGTTTTTTAGACTATACTGATAGTAAATTGTTAAACCACCTACTCTACGACAATCTGAAAAAACTAACACATTGAAGTGGAAATTGTTAAGCTAAATAACTAACCTAATTTATGATCTAAGTTGCAAAATTTTTATATGATGTTATAGATATGAATAAATCAATCATTTCTTAAAACAAAACATTAACCATTCTCGAACTATATTTCATGCTGTAAGCATTTACTTAACTAAAGATTAACTGATAATAAATAAGTTATGCTAAGCTACTGATTTTTTCAAAGCACTTCGATGTAATCATACATAAATAAAAGAGTCAACCTAGATTTATCCAAATTAACTAATTCTAACCAACCAAGAAGTAAGCCATAGGAAAGAATAATGGCTAAACATTGAAAGATAAATAATGATCATATCAAGGCGCTAAGTGTATCCCGCTTTTTCCTAAAATATCTACTTGAATAAATTGGACTAAAAGTGATCAAAAGTTAGTATCTTTTCCCAGAAATCGCTAATTCCAAACTTCCATGCATAAAATAAATTATGCAAATTTTCGATACTTGGTACTTTTCTGGCTTTATAAGCTATGAAGTTTACGAATCAAGGAATTTTAAATCTTTAGAATAGCAGAACTTTTTATATATCTGGTGCTCGACTTTAAATAAATATACCTGTAGCGCATCTGCATGCCAAAATACTTCATGGTATCAGCCGTCTATCAGTTACAGATTTAAAAAAGTTTTAGTTTTTTTTGAAATCAAATTGCTCATTTCCAGCTTTCATATTTCACAGTACTAAGTTCAATATTTGCCAAATTAACCAGTTTGACAAACCTACATACTACTTGTTAATCAATGCTAATAATTCAGTTAGGAAATCCTGGAATAAACATATTGTTTCAGCTAATGACATCTTGAATACTCAGACTAATTCATTTTCCAGACCGAACCAGTACTGTTAATATACCAGACTTTAAAAATTTATGAATTTGATCTCTGATCACTGCTTTGGTAATTATCATCTAAAAAATTTGCTTTACAGACTGTTAAGCACAAATAAAATTTAACCACCGCAATGGCAACCTGAATCTTTTCGCAACTGTATTATGGCTGAACTGAGCAGTTCGTTTTCATGTCAAAAAATCTAACACCTTATAAATTTTTTCACAATATGAGACAAACTTCCGAAAAAACATTTAACTAAAGTTCGAGTACTTTCTTATCCAGGAGTATCCGAATAAACAATAACAGCTACCAATCATGAAGTAACGAACATTGAAAGAAAGCTTCCCCATTTGCAAAAAACAACAGTATACAAGTGAAACTTTAGAATATGCTTCCAACAACTTTGATCCTTCACTAATGATATTTGAATCAAACACCCATGTAATTACAGGAAATCTTCCGAGCCTGATTAAAGTCAGCATAACTAGTCTTAAATTTTGACAAAAACGCGAACTAAATTACAGTCGAGCCAGAAATCTAAGGCGAAAATACAATTTTGAACAGAGACAAAATGAGATTCCTATCATGTTGCTGCAGTTATCAACTTTTCAGATTATCACTGTTATCAGCCTTATTAATCCCTTGAGTCGTTTTCTCCAAATTTTCACTGCTATCAACTATTTTCTTTTCTTGCATCCTTGTTTCATCCAAGGAATTTTTTTGTTGGTTCTCTTGAATGCAGCTGGCTCGAGTTAAAAATCCACGGTATTTTTCATCGTATTCCTTTTTCATTTGCCTAATTTTATCACGATCTTCATCATCTGCTAATCCAGCTTCTTTGACAATATAATCTGTTTGAGGTAATCCGTATAGCTCTTCCAAAGTAATTAGTGTAGACCAATGCGGATATTTTCGCCGACCACTCGGTGAGACGTCTTTTGTAACATCCTGCTTTGCACTGAAATTTGGAAATACAGCTCATTCTTATAATTTGAAAATAAAAAACTTCAAATCAGACATGACATACCAAGCTATGATATCCTTGATATACTTCTCAGGATCAAATGCTTTATAATCTTCCAGCATTTTGTGCATACGATTCCGGAACAAATTTTCTGCCTGTAATTCCAAAATGTATTATTTGCCAATCAGAGCAGAAGAGAATTACCACTCATAATGCAATTTTCCTTATATTTCTTTTTTAATTGGTTGCAAAATATCTGACTGACAATCAACTGAGCGATCTAGTTATAATAAATCCGAAAACTGTTTCAGATTTAATCTCTAAGTGAAGAAACCACTATATCGTTCTGAAAAAACAAGCTCAAAATTATTACTTTAGCCTTCTTCTGCCGATGATATTTTTGATATTTAAAATAATCTCTATCGTAGCGCTTTCGACGCTTATGCTTTCTCATCTTATGCCTGCGAATTTTTAACATACGTTCTCCGGTGAATATCTCAACCATTGGTGACTGTTGAGGTAACCGTAAGGGTATCTAAAATAAGAATGATCAACAAAGCTTACTGTACTGCCTATTTTACAATTTGAAAGTAAAATAAGAAAAATATCTTAAAAAAAAGATTACGAAAAAGAAAAAGAAAAAAAAAAAAAAAAACAACCAAAGCACACACTTGAAATAACGGAAGAGGGTCGAATTTTTTCAAAACTTCATTTACCAATATACCAGGTACGGAGATATGCTGTCGATTCGCACCTGGGAAAGTAAGTACCTGGAAAACAAATATATATATTGGCACGAAATTTGGCGGAACTCCATAAAATGTGATAAGTCATTTCCATCCTTCGATGATTGATAAGATGCTCAATGTTTAATCATTGTATCTTTATTGAGAGATTTATCGATCACAAGGATACGATGTCGAATTTTTTGATCTCAGTTTCAGATAAAATAACTTCCCTAACAGTATCACCCAGAAATTTAAAAAGTAAGCAGCTAAATTATGGAAGAATGACAAACCATCTCTTTTTGCTTACTTGGCAGTTGCCAAGGAAATTTCTGTAAGATCGGATTTAGAGAGAAGATTTTTCGCTCACCAGTTTCAGGATTTTGATATGATAGAGATAACTGATACATATGGGTCAGTTTCATCGTTCGATCCCTTCCTGAAATAAAATGGAGAAGTTTTAACAAAGAAATAATTTTATCAGCTAACCAAAAAATGCTGAGACAGAAAGAAAACTAAAAAAAAGTTAGAAATGCCAGAATTTTCACAAATTGGACAATGGTAATTCGAAGCGTGAAAAGAAGCTATATCTAAAATCGACATAATCAGCAAACAAGAAGACTAGAATCTACAAAGGTATTTACTAATGACATGAATGCTTCAGAGAGCATCAATTTTCTTTTGAAACAATGGCCTTATTCTTAAGTCCATCTGTTCAACTTATCAACTGAAGAGATTGTTTATATGTTTATATAACTGCTAGTAACTTATATACTACTATATAAGATAACAGAGAATACCTTGTTATAAAAATTTCACAAATCCTAATGAATAAATAATGAAGATACCACTGGAACTGGCGCTTTTGAAAGCGAGCTGTGAAAGATTTCTTTCAAATATGGTCCGAAAAATGTTCATCCCGTAAAGCAGCTGATCAGTTTATTGCCCAAAGTAGATCAGAATGATATGAATTATGCCCATTATCGCTTAAAATCATACAACGTCAAATATTTTAATCAATGTTTAACTTAATAACATAAGTCTCTATTAAATGGAGAAGAGTAAAAAGCAATGCCATACCAAATGTTTTAATTACAACACGAAATCTTCATAAAAGAAAGAAATATACAACAAAGATTTGAATAAAATTTGAATTCAACAACAACACCAGATTTTCACTGTTCGGATTCTGAAACTTTATTAACTTCCATAACTTTTAAAAATGAAGATGCCATAGATAATACAATCAATCTATGAACTATATTTTATAATCGATGGACAGTGGCTAGTTGATGGATCGATATCACAAAGCTTTCAAGTTTTTAAAAAATTTTTCAGAAAGAAAAAACGAACTAAAATTAAAATTTGAAACAGTAACAAAATTGCAATAAATAAGGAATCAATCCCCAAGCCCTTCCCATCCTACCATATTTATTGAAACACAATTTAGCAACAACCGTAGATCTGCTTCTCTCAATCAATCTGCAACGGACCAACCTGTATTTTGAAATGAAACTGTCACATCCTAACACTTTTGATACATTATTAAGTGTTGTAATTCGTTTCTAATGTGATAAGCAGCAAATGTCAGAAATTTCCTTTTTTTTTTCTTATTTCAAATTATTTCTGTTCAAAAATTCTGATAATATAAATGTTTAATTATTAACTTTGAAAAAATTACGCAACATTTTAAACAAATTATTAAGCAAAGCGAATAAACAACAAAACAAGATAAATTGCATATGTGTAAGAAAAAAATAATACTAAGAGTAGTAGCCATTCTTTCGAATTGTTGGCGATATCCGAAGTGGTCGATGATATTTCTGATCGTAGAGTTTTGTTACGTCATATTTCTCAATTCTTTTCGTGTCGTATGATTCACGCAATTTTCCTCGACCAATATTTCTTTCATTACTAACACCATTTTGCTTTACATCTTTTGCTATTTTCTTATTATTATTGATATTATAACCAATTGGTTGATTACCGGTACCTTTTACCGGTTCATTACTGTAATAACGTGGTACATTTGTATTTGTATATTCCGTGTTTTTCGATTCAACTGGTTTGCTGTTTACGGCGTTGTATTCGGAAGGATTTTCTGATACTGATGACTCTTTCGGCGGTCGACAATGATCACAACTGCCTGTTAAGTTATCAAATTTAACTTTTTGATTGAAATTGTTCTATGTAATGAAAATTTGGGAAAAAACGAGGTGGAAATGAAAATGCACCTTTGTTTCCTTGTCGTCCGGGAGGTCCTGGTGGTCCCTGTAGTCCTGGTGCACCATCACTCCCTCTTTCACCTTGCTCTCCACGCATTCCTGCAACACCTATTGCTCCGGGATTGCCATCACTGAAAACTTGTTACTTAGGCAAATTTTCACCAGTTTGCAGGAAATATATTCTTTAAAAAAATGATTTTTACTTACCGTCCAGGACTTCCGACACGGCCCCGCGGTCCAGTGGGTCCTGAAAATATATACCTTCGTACTCAATCTATAGGAACTTGTGAGAATTGCGAAGAGCCGCTATAATTGGAATTTGTTTGATTAAAACTTACCTGGAGGGCCTCTCAGCCCAGTAGGTGCTCCATTGAGTATGCGCCCAGGATCACCTGGTGGTCCTTTTGGTCCATATGGCCCAGGAGGACCTCTAACACCTGTTGGTCCTGGAGGTCCTTTTCTTCCAGGAGAACCGTCATCTCCAGGTACACCTGGGTTTCTGAAGTTTGAAGTTACGTTTTATTCATTAAGCTAACTTATAAAAATCTCACTTCTTAATTATTATTTCGACTAATTATTACCATGTAAATAACGATACAGCGTACTGACTTGTAATATGAAAAGCATAACTCTCCTTAAGCAGTAATCCACTTTACTGAATCAGAAAATAAAAAAATATCCTTTAAATATATACCCGCGTGGTCCTCTCGGTCCTCTTTGACCAACTAGTCCGGGAGGTCCTGGTGGAGCTATTGGACACTAAACCATTGTATATCGTAGAATTAAATTAATTAAAATTATATCTCTACTTAGCAATGTTAATTAAAATTTTTCTCGACATTAGGAAAATGCTGCTTGTCGAGAATACTAGCGCTTTCATCATATCATAGCTTTTGAAATAGTCATTGAAAAGAAATTCAAATAAAATCAACAAAATGAATAGTACCTTTTGACAAGTGTTTTCATCACTCTTTGGTGGCATCATATGTTGGCCAGGTTTACCATTTCTTCCGGGTAATCCCGGTGGTCCAACGGCTCCTGAAAAGAAATCATTTGATTCAAAAATTCTAGAATTGCATATCGTGGATTTATTGTCCCGTATAACATTCAAATGTATGAATACTTTTCAAATGCCATCTTTTTAAAATCTTACCATCTCGTCCAGGATTTCCTGGTTCACCTGGAGGTCCAGGTTTACCCTGCTGGCAACTGCAACCTGGAATTGTCCCTCTTCAAATTTATATAAGATATGAATAAACAATTGTTAAGCTATCGATAAAGTAGAAAATTTTAAACAATTTCATAATTTCATCATTCAAAGTAAATTTTGTTTTGAATATAAGTTAGCTTGGTTTGAACATCCTCTCTTTGTCACTAGAATGTACTCTTCTTCATCAATTACTGAAATGTAATGTAAAGATTTAGTGTTACTTAAAATTAAAAGCTATCAAGTCTATCTTAACTGAAATTAATACTTATAATTTTTTTTTAAATTTAAAATTAATATTCAAATTTTGAAATGTGAATTTATTGTCTAAATTTTTCGGGATTGAAATTTTTTTTTTTTAAAAAAAAAAAAGGAAAAGTGTAAACATTTGGAACGTGGGCGATCGTTTGTTGGAACATCGTAAAATCGACGTTTACGCGATTGAGTATTAAATTGCAATTGCAACACATTCCTCCACACATCATTGCTATTAATCTAAAATATACGAATCTTTTATCTACAATTGAATTCATTTAAATTTCTATTTTCTATTTTCATTATTATCAATTAATATCATTTTAGATTCGCGTTGATCTGTGGAATAATCAATCAATCAATCGATCAATCAATCAGTAATTTCATTTATCTACTTGCTATCAATTGATACATCCATACAAAGACACTGTATGTCAAAAAAAAAAAAACAAAACAAAACAAAATTTCATAACTATTTGACAATCGAAATTATCATTTTAGTTTCAAAATTTTACTTACATAACATTTGTAAAGCTCTGAAAGCAGTGCAGTGTTGGAATGTTGAATGTAAGTAAAAAATGATGGTAAAATGATGATGATAAGAAGTAATGAGATAGTTGAGAATAAGGTAGAAAGAATGACCATCAGATGTGATCGTTCCATGATAGCGATTAATTTGCTATATGAAATTTATCAGCAGCAAATTTATGATATGATATTTCAGTAACTAGATGCAACACTTTTAGTTAAATTTGCCAGCATTCAGCCCGATGAATTATATCGATGTGTCGGGCGGTCAGTTCACATATCGATGATACATCGCATTATTGCATTTGGTTGAGATATTTAGGTATATTAAATTTGAAACTGATATTGTCCTAATTTCAATAAATAATTTTATCTTATCATTATTACTATATGATTTAGAGAAAGAGAAGAAAATAGAAAGAGGGATAAAGTTTTATTCTCGTGCGACAATATTTCAACCTGCACTTTTCTTAATGATTAAAAAGGAAATTTTAATGGGGTTAAGCAGCATCACTATTATACTCTTATCATTTATCACTTAATTGAATGCTTTTTAGGAAAGCAAGTCTAATTTACATTTCAGAAAACTGAAAAAGTTCTCGTTTCGTTACTTTAACTTACTAAATCTGAATAATAAAACATTGATGTATTTAAAAGTGTTTCTCGAGCATAAAAATTACATTTTTATTAACAAAATATACAGATATTGAAATTTTCTTTTTTCGTGACAATTCTAATTATCACTGCATAAAAAGAATTGCATTTTTTTTTTTTTATAATGTGGTTCAAGATTAAAACATCAATCAAATATCCATTTATCATACTGTACACTTCTGTAAATGATATCACAGATTGCAATACTACAAAACCAGTATGATAGCATATTTAAATTCAATCTTTTTTGAGCTGTTATTGACTTTTTAAAAATTATATAATAAACAAATAGTGCATAAGTATTATCAGCTTTAATTCTTTCATTTCACTGTTTACATTTTTCATCCGTTTACATTCCTTCATGGATATAATTATGATCAGAAAAGATTTAATCAATAATTTGAATCACTACTATCAAATTAAGCAATGAAATGGTAATGAGCAAAATTTTTATAACATATCAGTATTTAATTCAGTTAACTTTCAAAATATGGTGCACATATACTAAATGATATAATTTTGTTTGAAGATAAGAATAACAAACCCAATAAGTACCAACGTATTTGATAATACAATAAACAAAGATTGATTTTAATATTTTGTCAAAATAGCATTTACACGTTAATGAATCTATTTGAAAGACAGTAAGTACAAAATCCATTGCTGATAATGATAATGATAATGATAAGGAGAACATATCTTATTTCTTTCCTTACATTCATTACACTCTCAAAAGTGTTCAAATCTCAAAAAAAAAAAAAAAAAAAAAACTCAACAAATATTTTCTTTAATTCCTCTCCTGAATGTGTAGAGGAAGCATAACACAAAAAGAGTAAAAAATGAAAAATGAAAAAATAAATATTGATACTTACAATTTCATCAAAAAAAAAAGGAAAAAAAGATAGCATAGAAATCGTTTCATTTCATTTAATCAGTTAAAATCATTCATGTTATCATCAATTTATCATATACCGATTAAATATTTAAAATGACTTTCAGTAAGAATTGTAAACCGATCAATAACTAATCAATAGTTTTCATCTTTAGCT